ATGTCATGTCTTAATATGAAGACAATCCATTTATTAATAACAATTTTATAGCCACTTACAGTAAAAAAAATGAAATTTCAATAATTTGACCTTCAAGGTCAAGGTCATTTAAGAGTGAAGGTCAAAGTCTGTCTGATTACCTAAAAGATTATTATATTTAAGTTTGAAGACAATCCATTCAAAAATAGTTATGTTATAGCCACTTGTAGCAAAATCACCAAACAAAAGGGCCATGATGGCCCTGAGGTCGCTCACCTGTATATAGGCCCCCCGGAGCAGGGCCAGTTTAAACCCCGGGGCTTTTATTTGAACAAACTTGGAAGACACCCATTGGAAGATAGAAGATGTTTCATGATGTTAAGTTTTTACTACACACATATAATGAAAAACAATAAACAATGACCTCCCCCCCCCCCACCCACCCTCCGCCGGGCCAATTTTAACCCAAGGGCTTTTATTTGAACAAACTTGGTAGACACCCATAAGATGTTTCATGCTAAACATCTTAGCTCTAACCCATTGGGTTTTTTTAAAAGAAGATTTTTTTAAGTTTTTACTGTACACATATAGTTAAAAACAATGACATCCCTGGGGCGGGGCCAGTTTTTACTCCGGGGCTTTAATTTGAACAAACTTTGTAGACACTTACTAGAAGATATTTCATGCTTAATATCTAAACTCTAGCTATTTGGGCTTTTTCAAAGAAGATTTTAAAGTTTTTGCTTATATACACATATAAGAAAAATTAATGGCCCCCTGGGGCAGGGCCAATTTTGACCCCAGGGCTTTTATTTGAACAAACTTGGTAGACACTCACTAGAAGATATTTCATGTCAAATATCTTAGCTCTAGCTCTTTGGGTTCTTTAAAAGAAGATTTTTTAAGGTTTTTACTATATGCATATAGGGAAAATCAATGACCCCCTGGGGCGGGGCCAATTTTGACCCCAGGGCTTTTATTGGAACAAACCTGGTAGACACTCATTAGAAGATGTTTCATGCTAAATATCTTAGCTCTAGCTCTTTGGGTTCTTTAAAAGATTTTTAAGTTTTTACTATACACATATAAGGAAAATCAATGACCCCCGGGGCGGGACCAATTTTGACCCCAGGGCTTTAATTGGAACAAACTTGGTAGACACCCATTAGAACATGTTTCATGCCAAATATCTAAGCTCTAGCTCTTTGAGTTCTTTAAAAGAAAATTTTTTAAGTTTTTACTATATGCATATAGGGAAAATCAAAGACCCCCTAGGGCGGGGCCAATTTTTACCCTAGGGCTTTTAGTTGAACAAACTTGGTAGACAATCACTAGAAGATGTTTCATGCCAAATATCTAAGCTCTAGCTCTTAGGATTTTTTAAAAGAAGATATTTAAAGTTTTTTCTTTCGGTTGCCATGGCAACCAGAGTTCTGCATGGAATTAAATTCTTGGAACAATTTTTAAAGGTGACCACCAAAGGAACATTCCTGTGAAGTTTGGATGAAATTGGCTTAGTGGTTTATGAGGAGATGTCATTTAAAGTAAAAGTTTACGGACGGACGGACGCCGGACGAAAAGCGATCACAAAAGCTCACCCTGTCACTTTGATGGCCCTGAGGTCGCTCACCTGTATATAGCCCCCCCCCCCCGGGGCCAATTTTTACCCAAGGGCTTTTATTTGAACAGACTTGGTAGACACCTATAAGAACATGTTTCATGCTAAACATCTAAGTTCTAGCTCATTGGGTTTTTTAAAAGAAGATTTTTTAAGTTTTTACTATACACATATAGTAAACAAGAGGGCCATGATGGCCCTGAGGTCGCTCACCTGTATATAGGCCCCCCCCACCCCGGGCCAATTTTTACCCAAGGGCTTTTATTTGTTTATTTGAACAGACTTGGTAGACACCCATAAGAAGATGTTTCATGCTAAACATCTAAGTTCTAGCTCATTGGGTTTTTTAAAAGAAGATTTTTAAAGTTTTTACTATACACATATAGTTAAAAACAATGACACCCCTGGGGCAGGGCCAGTTTTGACCCCGGGCTTTTATTTGAACAAACTTTGTAGATATTTACTTAAAGATGTTTAATGCTTAATATCTAAACTCTAGCTATTTGGGTTTTTTCAAAGAAGATTTTTAAGTTTTTGCTATACACATATAAGGAAAATCAATGACCCCCCCCCCCCCCGGGCGGGGCCAATTTTGACCCCAGGGCTTTTATTTGAACATACTTGGTAGACATCCATTAGAACATGTTTCATGCTAAATATCTTAGCTCTAGCTTATTGAGTTCTTTAAAAGACGATTTTTTAAGTTTTTACTATATGCATATAGGGAAAATCAATGACCCCCTGGGGCGAGGCCAATTTTGACCCCAGGACTTTTATTTGAACAAACTTGGTAGACACTCATTAGAAGATGTTTCATGCTAAATATCTTAGCTCTAGCTCTTTGGATTCTTTAAAAGAAGATTTTTTAAGTTTTTACTATATGCATATAGGGAAAATCTATGACCCCCTGGGGCGGGGTCAATTTTGACCCCAGTGCTTTTATTTGAACAGACTTGGTAGACGTTCACTAGAAGATGTTTCATGCCAAATATCTAAGCTCTAGCTCTTATGGTTCTTTAAAAAAAGATTTTTTAAGTTTTTACTATATGCATATAGGGAAAATCAATGACCCCCCGGGGCGGGGCCAATTTTGACCCCAGGGCTTTAATTTGAACAAACTTGGTAGACACTCACTAGAAGATCTTTCATGCTTAATATCTTAGCTCTACCTCTTTGGGTTCTTTAAAAGAAGATTTTTTAAGTTTTTACTATATGCATTTAGGGAAAATCTATGACCCCCTGGGGCGGGGCCAATTTTGACCCCAGGGCTTTTATTTGAACAAACTTGGTAGACATTCACTAGAAGATGTTTCATGCTTAATATCTAAGCTCTAGCTCTTACGGTTCTTTAAAAGAAGATTTTTTAAGTTTTTACTATATGCATTTAGGGAAAATCAATGACCCCCCGGGGCGGGGCCAATTTTAACCTAAGGGCTTTTATTTGAACAAACTTGGTAGACACTCACTAGAAGATGTTTCATGCCAAATATCATAGCTCTGGCTCTTTGGGTTCTTTAAAAGAAGATTTTTTAAGTTTTTTACTATATGCATATAGGGAAAATCAATGACCCCCTGGGGCGGGGCCAATTTTGACCCCAGGGCTTTTATTTGAACAAACTTGGTAGACACTCACTAGAAGATGTTTCATGCCAAATATCTAAGCTCTAGCTCTTAGGGTTGTTTAAAAGAAGATATTTAAAGATTTTTCTTTCGGTTGCCATGGCAACCAGAGTTCTGCATGGAATTAAATTCTTTGAACAATTTTTAAAGGTTACCACCAAAGGAACATTCCTGTGAAGTTTGGATGCAATTGGCTCAGTGGTTTATGAGGAGATGTCATTTAAAGCAAAAGTTTACGGACGGACGACGGACGACGGACGGACGGACGGACGGACGGACGGACGCCGGACGAAAAGCGATCACAAAAGCTCACCCTGTCACTTTGTGACAGGTGAGCTAAAAACAATGACACCTCTAGGGCAGGGCCAGTTTTGACCCCCGGGCTTTTATTTGAACAAACTTTGTAGATATTTACTTAAAGATGTTTCATGTATAATATCTAAACTCAAGCTATTTGGGTTTTTTCAAAGAAGATTTTTAAGTTTTTGCTATACACATATAAGGAAAATCAATGACCCCCGGGGCGGGCCAGTTTTGACCCCAGGGCTTTTATTTGAACATACTTGGTAGACACCCATTAGAACATGTTTCATGCTAAATATCTTAGCTCTAGCTCTTTGAGTTCTTTAAAAGAAGATTTTTTAAGTTTTTACTATATGCATATAGGGAAAATCAATGACCCCCCGGGGCGGGGCCAATTTTGACCCCAGGGCTTTTATTTGAACAAACTTGGTAGACACTCACTAGAAGATATTTCATGTCAAATATCTTAGCTCTAGCTCTTTGGGTTCTTTAAAAGAAGATTTTTTAAGTTTTTACTATATGCATATAGGGAAAATCTATGACCCCCTGGGGCAGGGCCAATTTTGACCTCAGGGCTTTTATTTGAACAAACTTGGTAGACACTCATTAGAAGATGTTTCATGCCAAATATCTAAGCTCTAGCTCTTACGGTTCTTTAAAAGAAGATATTTAAAGATTTTTCTTTCGGTTGCCATGGCAACCAGAGTTCTGCATGAAATGGAATTCTTTGAACAATCTTGATAGAGCTTCATACAAAGAGTATTCCTGCCAAGTTTCATTAACATTGGCCTTGCGGTATCATAGAAGATGTCCTTAGAATATTTAAAATGTGGACGAACGACGGACGACTGACGACGGACGCCATTTGGTTGGCCATCCTAAAAGCTCACCTGCACTTTGTGCAAGGTGAGCTAAAAACAAGCAAAATTTAGACATTTGAACTTGTTGAAGGTCAAGATCATTTATGCATGAAGGTCAAGTTAGTCTGGTCTACTTGAAGGTATTGTCCTAAGTGATTTTGTGGCCAAGTACGAGTATGAAGACAATCCCCCAGGAACTTAAAAAGTTATGATCAAGGCTTCAGTTTGCGGACAGCAACAGCAACACCGACATGACTGTAACAATACCTCTATCAAAACTTATACCAGAGAAAAAAAAGAAAAGAAAGAAAAAAAAAGGAAAAAACATGCTCTGTGCGACTTTTTAACTGCTTCTTTCAAGTGAAGTTTGTCAGGTTACTGTAGATATAGCAGAATATTCTCCCTGTTATATATATTAAAACAAAACCAGTAATTCCAGTATTTTCACTTCGATATATTACTTAAATAAGGATTTTAAATGAGTGTGACCTTGATCTGAAGGAGCCTAGGAGGATGCACAGTTGCACATTGTGTCATTATGATTAACAGTTCTGCCAAAAAGTTTCAATTTTCTTCGATTGGCTCAGGCCTAAAACAACATTGCAAGAAATGATAACATATACCTATGTATTTTTATTTAATATAAAAGGTTATGTTAATATACAAAGTTATGCTTAATATACAATTTTATACTATTAAACAACATACAATCTGATAATTCTATATCATTTTACATATTTTCTATACTGACATTCCACCAACTATTGCCCAATATTGGGAACAAAGTGGCCATGCAGGTTTATATTTGAACACTATCACAGACTTTACAAAAACTCTTTCATACAGAAAATATAATATGAGCAAAAACTCTCTCAGTAAAACGTTTTAAATGTAAACATAGTTTACAATATTATTATTTAACAATATCATTACACTTAGAATATATTGAGGAATTGGTCATTTTCAAACTAGGCAAATATGGTTGTTCCCCATCTAATACCATGGTACAAAATATCCTACAGTTACAACTTGGTAAATAAATGGAAAATAAGCACAATGCCTTGATCACTAACTTGTTAGGAAAATCCCTTATTTTCCGAGTTTGAAAGTGTCTTGATTACATGTCTGATACCCTAATATCTATTGTAAATAGGCATATTTTTGAAACAGTTTTTTTATCATAAGCATAAACATTTCCTTAAGATACACTTACAATGAAAAATACAGTGTGTAAATGTTTATATGCTCTCAGTAATTATGTACATTTTACATACAATGTACCGTATTTCTGCCAGAATTTCCATTTAGTTATGATAAATGTATATCAATTTTATCTGCATTTAAATATACTTCTGCTAAAGTGAAACTATGGTTTTAAAGATGATTGTGAAATTATCAAAATATAAGTCACTGTTATATTTCAGTAATCTACTGAAAACGAAATAAATTAATAATAAAATAAAGTAATAAACTTTACATGTAAGGCAGTTTTCTTTAAATGTATCACAACATCTTTTCTTTCTTTTAGTTGTCATTCACATAATTTAACATTAACGATATCATAAAATATCTTTATATTTTAACACTTTATAATCATTACTGATTGTTCCCCTCTCATGTATTATATTGCTGTCTGTGGTGGGTTGGGCGAGGGACTATCATAAGATTGGTCCATATCAACTTTGGGTAAAGATACTGTAATACCTCTATTCAGTGGTGCACTCACACTTGTATCCTATGAAATACAATAAAACAAATAACAAAATAAATGTTAAAAAAAAACAACAACAGTACTTACAACATAATCAAATAGCAGACTTCAAACTCTGAACTTTATAGCACTATCTTATGTACATACTTATCTTAAGCCGGCATATATTTTAGCTTTAAATATTGCACCAGTGTGCCAGTCAACAGTAACTGTCTGTTTTGGAGATAGCTGGGGTGGGGAACAAATGAGGGACCATAAAATACAGTAAATTTACATGTAAGATTAACTCAAGTGACAGCAATACTATGAAGAGATTGATTCATTAGACAACCCAATTATAAAATATAACTAATTCTATAATCCCAATCTGAGTTTCGGTAGGTATCACTATCTTACATTTTCATTCCCTTTGAAAAACTATGTACAAAACCAAGCTCGTATGATGTGTTTGTTTGTGTTTTTAGCTCAGCAACACCCACAGCAGTCAAATACAAGACTTTTTATCATATCCCTCATAATTGACACATATTCAACCATTCAGCAGGTTATACCAATACTTTCTATACATTGTATAATCTGTTTAAATGATACTTTTAGTATGTATAGTAATAACAGAAAGTTATAAATTGACAGAAAACATTATACACTACCTGGCTATCCACCGACTGAAACATCATTCTGTAACTGTCAGGTTTCTGTGATATTGGTGAAATATTTGGAGAAACTGGATATGCTGGTAGACCAGGCTGAAATATGATGTTTCAACATTTACTTATATTCCAATATAAACAAGCAATTATCATAGTATTGCAAGCAATCCATAAGTCCCCTACCGGTAAGAGCCCAAGCAACATTCTGAAGGGCCATTGGCCATTCACTTAGGTTCCTATTTTAAGTAAATTTGTTGAAAAAGTTCTTTAAAAGTGATCACAGGAAACAGTTTTTATGTACAGACAGACGGACTGAAAGACACTCTAAAGTTATTTTTTAAACATCCCTGTTATCAAAATATAACATTTTTAAAATCCTATCATGATTGAAGAAGTTGGAGTAAAAATTACCAATTTCTAAAAAAAAGTCTAAGTTCAAAAGGGGCATAATTCTGGAAATAGTCTTGCTAGAGTATTGAACACTCACAAAATTTAATGTTGAGTGATAATAAGAAACATTTATATGAAGTTTGAAGTAGATACATTCAGAAAAAGAAGTTATTAAAAAAAACAATGTTTTTTTCATGAAAATTTTAAGTTCAAGGGAGGTAATTCTGATAAATTTTGTGCTAGAGTTGTAAACCTTGTCACATATGATGTGGTTGATGACAAGCAACTTATATTTAAAGTTTGAAGAAAATACCTTAAGAAATAAAGAACTTATAGTGAAAAAACTTAAAAACTAGAATCAGAAATCTTGAAATTCAGTCTATTTGTTGCCATAGCAACCAGAATTTTAAACATAGGAAGACAAGAAAAGGATGTGCATAATTTCCATACTGCCATCTACCCATATGTCAAGTTTCATAAACATATTTTCAGTACTTTTTGTGTTATCACTGGATCCAGGTTATGTGTAAAATTTGCCATATTTTCAGTCTATTTGTTGCCATAGCAACCAGAATTTTCAACATAGGAAGAAAAGAAAAAGACATGCATAATCTCCATACTGCCATCTATCCATATATCAAATTTCATAAAAATATTTTCAGTACTTTTTGCGTTATCGCGGGATCCAGGTTATGTGTAAAATTTGCCATATTTTCAGTCTATTTGTTGCCATAGCAACCAGAATTTTCAACATAGGAAGAAAAGAAAAAGACGTGCATAATCTCCATACTGCCATCTATCCATATATCAAGTTTCATTAAAATATTTTCAGTACTTTTTGCGTTATTGCGGGATCCAGTTTTGTGGACGGACGGACGGACTGACGGACGGACAGACGGACGGAGGGTAAACCTAAAGTCCCCTCCGGTAAACCGGTAGGGGACTAATTAAATAAATAAGTAATGAAAGACACAGTGATTTATATCAAACTCTGAATCTAACTCATTTGTTTCTTTATGAAATGTTTAAAGTTGAAGATATAATAGATAAATTACACAATGGTCCCTGAAAACAAAGACAAATCATTTTCCAGAACCACTGTATACAGACTACAAGAATTAGAGGTTACAATAATGTTGAACTTTTGCTTTACACGTGTTCTATAACAGGGAAGAATGATTCAGTTAAAAAAAAATCCAACAATTAACCTTTGACAAAATAGTATGGTCAATATACACACTACTTTACTCTTAACTCATTCACTAGTAAGCTATGCAAAAATTAGTTTATTCTCTTATTACAGATTTTTATAAAAAAAGATATAGAAATTTCTAACCTGAATTTGAACAGGTCTGTATCCTGGTAATTCAGTTGACTGTCTGACATTTGCTGTTCCATTTGTCATTTCTCCAGGTAAAGCAGGTCTAGGACGTTGATTTTGTTGTTGCTGTTGTTGTAATTGTTGTTGTTGCAACTGCTGCTCCTGTAACTGTTGTTGTTTCTGTTGCTGTTGTTGTTCTTGAATCCTTTGTTGTTGTTGCATCACCATTTGTAGAAGTCTCTGTTGCTGTTGCTGCTGCAGTTGTTGTTGCTGCTGAATTCGCTGTTGATTTTGTACAACTTGCTGCCTTGCTTGTTGGTCCTGCTGCTGCTGAATCTCTTGTTGCCGCTGTTGTTGTTGTGCTAGTTCATTTTGACCATGACCAGCTTGTTGCTGATGCATTAAACTATTTAGTCTTTTCTGAGCTTCAGCATGTTGTTTGTTCAATTCAGCAATTTGTGAGGCAAGAAAATCTCTGTCAGCACCTGCAGCCATGTGGTCATGTGACCTTTCAGAAGAATTTGACTGGTCTTGTGAAGATGAATTATTTTGGTCATTAGAGCGTAATGTCTGAGGTCTGTCCTTTGGTACAACAGATATTGGTTGATTTTTCTCATAAAATGATAATGGTAATTGTTGAGACCCTCTGTAAGGCAGTCCACTAGAATCTGATGGCAAGGGTATTCCTACATTACTCTGGACTAGAGGTGTAGGTCTGGGAACATTTACAGAGTTTACTTGGACAGTTTCAGGAACTCTAACCTGTGACTGAGAGACTGGTTCTCCACTTTGTCCTCTCACTGGTTGCTGACTTACACTGTTTGGGTTGAGGACTTGAGCCAGACTTGTTGTACATAGTCCAGGTAGTTCAACAAAATCATCATGTAGAGTAGAACTCTCTACACTTGATATATACTCCTGGTAGTCCAACAGTGAGCCTTGCTGTCCTACAATATCAAACATTTTTAACTTAAAATGAAGGCTTTTAAAGATATAAAAAAAAACACCATAAAATGAGAAGATATGAACACATGTTTCAAGAGTTTAAGAAAGGTGTTTTAACAAAAGCTTTGCTGAGACAGGCCAACATACCTCCAATGGCAAATTCAAAAGAAGGTATTACAGACAAAAATGCCTTCAGTATAAATCGTTCTAAAGTTATTCTGCAGAAACCAATAATTTTACAGTAAATTTGCTTTAAAAGGGGCATTACTCTTTCAATAATATGCAGCCAAAATTTAAGCTTGATATAACATACATGGCAAATATAAACACAATACAAATTAAAATCCTTCAAAGTTATCTTGAGGATAATCAGTAATTTCATTGTAAATTTTGTTAAAAAGGGGCATAACTCTATAAGCAATAATTTAACTACAGTAAAGAAACAACATTGACCTATGTTTTGATATAACATTCTTACATGCCAAATATAAACAAAACCACTGAAATACTTCATAAGTTATCCTACAGAAACCAATAGACAGACAGATGAACAGATAACACCATAACATAATACATCCTGAAGTTTCTTCTGGCGTATGGTAAAATTTTAAAAACTAAACCATAGAAAAATGTACTGTGTTAACATTAAGACATAAATAAAATGCAATGCTTACTTGCACCATTTTTCTCAGATTCTCCCACCCTGGATCTTCTTACAGGAGGAGATAACATCACAGCTGCAGATACTGGTTGTAGATGTTCTCCAAACGGGTTTATCTCCTTTGGTAGTTTACTGGGCACATCTGTTATAGAGAAAACTGTTGATTAAAGCGAAAACAAGCTTCCAAAATTATGCCAAATCTGATATTATTCAGACTTCAATAGAAAGTATTTTTCAGACGTTAATAGATAAAAAAATCTTTTTGCATTTTTGTTATGAATTTTTGTTTTGTGTTACTTTAATTATGTATGTTAATTGTACCTAATTGATTATACATGAATATACAGTATATCAATTGATATGAAACTATTACTCGTTTATCAATGACTGAGTATATGGTCTGTTTTACTAAAACTAAAATTTATCTATAAATAGTATAAATAGTCATTCTTTTCATTTGCAAAATTTATACTCACAATAACATTTCTTATGAGACTAACAACTTGAAAGTTAAGAAGTTATTAAGGACAATACATTCATATAATGTCATGATAATTCAATATACTGGGTATTTCCCCACTCGCAAAATTCAAGCAAAACTCTAGAAGGATATTCATTGGTAAGGCAAATTTGTACAAGTTGTTGAAATGTCTATATATATTATTTATACATGGTTTTAGAAGATTGTAAACTTTCATCAAACACCGTATAGAAATACATACTTTGTACACCTTGGTGGTACTGCTGGGCTTTAGGTGGTGTCTGGGTTTGTACAGGTTCAGCCGGGTTAGAGTTGTCCGACTGGGCGGGACTCCACTGTTGTGAGGACGGTGGTTGCTCACCCTGTACCAGAAATATGTTAATATATATTTGTAGCCAGTGTATACATTTAATTGAATATTACATCAAAAAGTGAATTATAAAAGTTTAGCAAGCTGTCAGCAAATGATTATACCTATGAGACAAGTGCAGACCAACATCTGCAGGCTCATCCATGCATTGTGCACTATTCAATCAGTAAATAATTTTAAATTTTCCCTAAATAATGGGATAAATAATTTTGTCCAGACTGAAACATGAACACTTCCATTTAGATATTTAGCTTGGCAAGTGTTGATAAATGTTTCATTCTCTTGATGTCCAATCTCACAAAAATTTACATATTTAGTAAATTCAGTCAAAGATTGCATCATATAATATATTATATATCATTAACTTCAGTATTTTGTCATGATTTAACTCACACATCAATATTAATGTTTTGGTAAAATAAAATCAAAGAAAAACCTTCAATCTAGCTATCTCAGCTTGTGTTTCTTGTCGGAATTTCCTGAACTCTGCAGACATTGTTTGAAATTCTTCTTGTGTAACAATTATATCCTAAAATTTATAAAAAAAAATATGAAACATATATTTCAATATAACAATTCAATGCCACCTTCATCTTAAAAAAATCCTTAAAAACAACCATATTCTTTATAACCTAATAAGCCCAGAGGCTGAAATTATAAACTATTTTGTTCTAACACATTGAAATATCCACTGAGTTCTTTACAAATTAATGCATATATTTGTTAGATGAGTAAATTTATTCTTAACAAAACAATACAAATGCATGTAGATGTAGTGTTTCTATAGCATTTTAAGTGTTTCTGTACTTTCAGGGCTTTAAAATTGGAAGTTTGGTAGTTATTTACTCCTGATTTTGGCTTGTGACTTCCAAAATATAATGCTTTTCCTTCTTTATCTATATAATGTGAATATCAGACATTTTGCAGTATCTGACTTCCAAATTTTTTAACTTAACGGAATCCCTGACTTTATTACCTTAATTTATCTTCACCATTTTGACAGCTCACAAGAATTAGGTAATATTAGCATCCGGTCAAAATTATTTCCTAGTCAAAATCAATATTTGTGTACTTACAGAGGTAAGTGCATCAACAAGTGCTTTTGACTGTACAACATCCTGGGTCAGTTGTTCCCTCACAGTGATTTCCGCATGTAATCTAAGCTCACACTCTCGTAAATATCGTGTCAATTTTGTCACTGAGTCGACTATTGCTAAGGTATACCCTGAGAAAGACTCCTGTCTGTGACGTTCTGCCGGAGGCCGTCGACCCGTCAGCCGTTCATACTCTGCTACTTCATCTTCCAGGGTCTCTAAAACCTGTAAAATTCCTCGTCAGTCTAACATTTTCTTTAAATTTGACAGAGTATTAGTCAGATGTCAAAATGGTATATACACTTTGCTGTGTCAATTATTTTCCAGCTGAAACTTTCTTAGAGTGGATGTCATCTTATCAATGGAGTATGCTTGCAACTTGTAAATCTTATCCAAACATTACAGAAACAAGCCTATAAGGATTAATATTGATTTTCATATTTAACATATAGCCATAAAATAGTGAATGAAATATTATTTAGATTTTGTCTAGTTGTTATTGATCAATCAATTATACCTTTCTCAATTCATTTAGAGTGAGATTTGAAGTATTATGTTCTGGCTGTGGTTTAGGAACTCTTGGTTTAGTTTTATTGATCTTATTTGTATCATTTATAGCTGACTTTGGTGGTTGTAATATTTCTAGAGATTCATCTAAATGTTTCTTGTTTTTGGGTGGTGTTTGAAATGATCCATCTGAAAAAAAAAAGCTGAGTTTTATAGAAGCTCATTCAATTTATGTATTAACAAATAGTAACAAACTTAAGTTACAGAAGCAACACATGAGTATATAAAATAACAGTGGTAAATCTTTGTAAATTAACACATGACATGGTTTTAATTAATATTTCTACAAACAATATTATTTTAGGTATTTCATAAACAGTATTGGCATTTTGTAAAATGTATTTCTATGAATTAGTTTGGTTAATGTAATACACTTATGCTATTTCTATGAAATTGTTAGGTTGATCTAATACATTAATGCTATATCACCTTTAGATGTAGCTGCTGTAAGATCTGGTAGCTGTGAACTTTGTATAATCTTGCTGTTTAATTGACTATTTAACATCTGATCAAGGTGACTCATTCCAGCCTGACCACTGATTGTACTTAACGTTGTGTTCTTCTCCTCCGCCTCTAAAAACTGCTGGAATCTTTGCATGTTCATTTTGGGTTGGTATGATAGAGGTATAGGATGAGAATCATCTAAATCTGTAAAAAAAAAACCTGTCATAACAGGCAGTACATGGGAATTCTTCTTTAACCCTTAAGCTGCTATATTTCAATAGTGAATCTGTCCAGCTTTGAATTTGAAACAGTCCATTCAAAGTTCAAGGGATTTCAATATAAAAATACAAAAATTAAGCTGCCAACAATATAGAGCCTGGTCAGACTGCCCAGATGTGCAGACTGGCCTGGCTCTATACTGGTGGCAAAGGCTGATAACTTATGGTTCCTGCAGGTTAAGGTTTAATGTAATATATAAAGTTCTCCCATTTTCATGTTTTTGAAGAGGCTGCCATTTTGCAGTCTATCAAAATACAAAAAAAAAAGATATTTCAACTGACAAACAGTCATAAAATATTTAGAAGATTTAGAATATTTCAGAAGATAGTGAAATTATATATTGATAATTTCACAGTGAGATTATTAAAATATTATTTTCATAAGATCTGGATTGTTATATCGGTCCGAGTGGTGTTTATCGGCTATTTAACTCCGGCGTGGAGTTTTGATGCATAGGAATTGACCACGAAGAGTGTTAGAATATATAATAATTGAATATCATCAGGAATACACTCCTCGTAATTAAAATATGTTTGGTTACGAGAATCACATGAGTATCTGCACATAATAAGTAAGAAATGTAACAAAATTGTGAAATTTTAAAAAACATATTTTTTTTAACAAAAACTGTATAAGTTCTTGCACATATTGTCCATTGTAAAAATTAGTAAAAAAAAATATGAAATAAGAAATTGTTTCTTTTGTATGTAAGATCACATTATATTTCACTCAATACCAGCTCTTATATTTTCATTTGTGGACAAGCCACTCGAGAAAATATTACATCTGGTGTTTACTCTGAAATATAGTTTCCATCTTAACTTTACTGCTATGCCATGTTACTCTAATGTTACAACCCAACAAAAAAATTATCTTTGCTTGACTTAAAACTTCAAAAAAGTGACAAAAAATAGCCCTAAACTTTCACTTGAATAACGTAAATATTTGTGACAAGTGTAAAGCCCCCATTTTTAAAGGGAATATTTTTTTGATTTTATACCCGATTTCCCGAGTCCTTTTCATTAAGAGCCCCTTTTGGGGTTTTGGGGTTCCGCGGGGGAAAGCCCGCAAATCTCTGAAAAAAGTCGTAATAAAAAATATTTTTTAATAAATTTTAATTTCTCATTTTAATAATTGGGTCAATACAATTTGTTGAAAAACCCCAAAAAATAATTATTTTTTCCCGTTTATGCCTTTAAATATATCGCTGGTATATAAAAAACTTTTGTTGGAAAAAAAAGTTAAAAAATTTTAATTTTTCTTTTTGTAAATTTTAAAAACTGTTTTTTAAAGGGATACAACAAACTATTAAAAATTTTCTGAACGTATCAAAAAAAAAAATTAACAAATCAAATGTAGCTAGCATGCGTACCCTGGGATCATCTCCAAACAAATCTTTCACCACTGCCATCATTGTGTCTGACTTTTCAAGCACATCCTGTAACTATAATAAACAAAAAAACTTCTATACACAAAAATATGATAAATTTTCTTTTGAGTTAGAAATACATTTAACAATTTTAACCTTATCAAGCTCTAGTGATAAAAACTACAATTAAAAGGCATTTGAGTAGCTAATGTATAATGTGTATTTCATATTGATATAATACCCATTTTTAAACAAACATAAATACTATATTCAATTTCAATTTATTATTGAAAAACACAGCATAACTATTTAAATCATACCTGACTATACAAATGCTGGGCATAAAAGCTCAAATAAAATGTCTATCAAAAGTTGATAAAATGTGTACAAACCTGTTTCTGATCATATAAAACTTCCTTCATGATGGCAATTTTACGAGCCTGTGAGTTGTTCTTAAATGGACTAGCTCTTTTACCTAAAATAATAATAATAATTGATAGTTATTTACATGTATAATTACAAAATGTACATGTATAAAAATATATATTTAACAAGGGTGCCATACAGGCTTTCTACTGCCTCTACCAAAAAAACTAGGGAAAAAGTAGGGCATTTTTTTACCAAAAAGTAGGGCAAAGTAGGGATTTCTGATGTTAAAAACTAGGGATAAAGTAGGAATTTCTTACCGATTTAGTTAAGAATTAGCAAAACATACCATCACCGAGACCACATCAGGCTGTGTGTATCTTCAGTTCAGTCCATGCTTGAAAGACAGGCACCTCATAGGCAGAATGTTGCTGAATGTTTTGCCAAGGCACCATGAGCAGAGCTGCATCAGTACTAAGGGTGTAGTACTTAAGTACCAGTACCAGTACTTGCCAAGTTTTGCAGTACAGTTTCCAGTACCAGTACTTGATTTTAGCATGGTACTGCAGTACCAGTACTTTTTTGGGGGAAGTAATTAAGAACCAGTACTAATACTTTTATATATTCATCAAAGTTTGAATAAATACACAGTTTGTTTGTTTGTTTCATTTCACGCCTTTTTCAACAGTATTTCTGTCATATAGGCGGGTAGTTTCCTAACCATCGTTCCTGGAGAGTTACACCAGTACTAGACTACCTTCTATTTTACCAGTAAAGAGTTATTGACTCTGTTTATCTCAATTTAATTTTACTTTAAGTCTTTGGTGTTTTTTTATGATGAATACTATGTTAACATTTGAAGGAATATTGCAGCAAATTATTTATAGATTTGATAACTTACTTTTTCACAAAAATAAAATAATACATGGAATTTACAGCTTTACTTTATGAGTAAAAATAATGACATTTTTATCAAAACCAAAAATACTGCCTAGTAATGCAGTAGCAGTACCACTTTTTTAAGACAGTAATGCAGTACCAGTACCTGAGTAGTAGCAAAATTTTGTAAGAGTAATTCAGTATCAGTACCAGTACTTGCAAAATTGCTCCAGTATATATACTGCAGTACCAGTGCCAGAAATGCAGCTCTGAGTCTGACCATGAGTCTTTCAAGGATGGACATCACAAGGAGACACACACACACCTGAACTACTCATCAATTGCAACTGAAAATACAACTGAAATACCATTTTAAATATCTTCTTTTTTTCATTTCATTTCAAAATGAAAAAGTAGGGATAATAGGGCTATTTCAGAAAAAAGTAGGGCAAAGTAGGGATCAAAAGAAAAAAGTAGGGAAAAGTAGGAAAAGTAGGAAAAGTAGGGACCAGTAGAAAGCCTGTGCCATAGTCACAAAATACGCCCGTTTACGAAAGCTTTAGATGGAGATGGGGGCATTATGGATAAGTGTTATCTAGCAAGCAAGTTTTTATTCTTGGCACTGTGTTGTTAAATGAACCTTATAACAAATCAGTAGGGAAGATATGCACAGGATGTGTGACCTTGACCTTGGTCGCAGGGACCTGAATTTTATGTACTGCACTCAGCCTCACAATGATGAACATTTGTGCCAAATTATATTGAAATCCCTCTATGCATGTAGAAGTTTTGCTCCAGACAAGCGTTTTTCTATGAGCTCTAACTGTGACCTTTACCTTTGACCTAGAGACTTGGTTCATGTGCAGGGCACTACGTCTCATGGTGGTGAACAATTCTATAAAGTAACATTAAAATTCCTCCATGCATGTAGAAAATATGCTCCGGACAACATCTGGATATTTAATCATCTCCAGTGACCTTGACCTTGCAAATATTAACCTAAATTAAATGTGTCACACCTGTAGTCATGATAGTTACCATTTGTGCTACAATCCATCAATAAATGATGACTGAATGGTCCCTATACACATCTTCAAATTTTTATCTGAACTTTGACCTCTATGTGTAACCTTGACTTTGGTCGCAGGGATCTGAATTTTGCGTGCGACACTCAGCCTCACAATGGTGAACATTTGTGCCAAGTTATATTGAAATCCCCCTATGAATGTAGAAGTTTTGCTCCGGACAAGCGTTTTTCAATGAGCTCTAAGTGTGACCTTGACCTTTGACCTGGAGACCTGGATCATGCATGGAGCAATACATATCATGGTGGTGAACATTTCCATAAAGTATTATAAAAATTCTTCCATACATGTAGGAGATATGCTCCAGACAAAATCGGGATATTTCACCATCTTTAGTGACCTTGACCTTGCATATATTGACCTAAAGTACATGTGTCACAGCCGTAGTCATGATAATGACCATTTGTGTTACAATCCCTCAATAAATGATGATTAAATTGTCCCTATACACATCTTCATATTTTTATCTAATCTTTGACCTCTATGTGTGACCTTGACCTTGGCTGCAGGGACCTGAATTTTGTGCGCGACACTCCGCCTCACAATGGTGAACATTTGTGCCAAGTTATATTGAAATCCCTCTATGCATGTGGAAGTTTTGCTCCGGACAAGCGTTTTTCAATGAGCTCTAAGTGTGACCTTGACCTTTGACCTAGAGACCTAGTTCATGTGCGTGACATGGCTTCTCATAATGGTGAACATTTCTATGAAATTTCATTAAAATCCCTCCATGCGTGTAGGAGATATGCTCCGTACAAAATCTGGATATTTCATCATCTCCAGTGACCTTGACCTTGTATATATTGACCTAAATTATATGTATCACAGCCATAGTCTTGATAATGACCATTTGTGTTACAATCCCTCAATAAATGATGACTAAATGGTCCATATACACATCTTCATATTTTTATCTGAACTTTGACCTCTATGTGTGACCTTGACCTTGGCCGCATGGACCTGAATCTTGCGCGCGACACTCCGCCTCACAATGGTGAACATTTGTGCCAAGTAATATTGAAATCCCTCTATACATGTGGAAGTTTTGCTCCAGACAAGCATTTTTCAATGAGCTCTAAGTGTGACCTTGACCTTTGACCTAGAGACCTGGTTCATGTGCGCGACACTGCTCCTCATAGTGGTGAACATTTCTATGAAGTTTCATTAAAATCCCTCCATATATGTAGGAGATATGCTCCGGACAAAATTGGACGCCGCCCGCCCGCCAGGGGCGTTCCCATAATACGTCCCGTTTTTCAAACGGGCGTATAAAAAGAAAAGTCCATGAATGAACTCCAATAACATTCAATTCGCAATTTCTCATATGAGACTTCTTTATGTCAGAAATTATACATAGCATAAATGTTTTGTTTTTTTTATTTCTAAACACTAAAACTCAATAGAATATTCACATTGGTTCAAATTGTACACGGAAGTTCCCTGCTCAAACCCACAACGCTTGGGTTGAGAGGCAAGCATCTTAACCACCAGGTCATTGCTCTGCACCATAATTGTGTATTTAGATTCTTTACCTTTTCTAGCAGATCCAGGTCTGGTAAGATGTGTAGATACAGCATGTTTAGATCTGTGTGCAGCTTTCCTGTAAGCCTGAAACAATCATGTTAATAACTCATAAAACATATAATCAAAACAGCTAATCTCACACTCTCTCCATTTTCATAGATGGAATTTCAAGGTTAAATGTTGGTATTTCAGAGCTATTAATTTTTCAAATATCACAGACATTGAAAAATTTTGCCTTAAAAAACAAATAACAAACAATGTCTATTTGAACTGTAAAGAATATACATATAGCAGAAATACATGTTTTAGTTTCATTTAAACCATGAATTTATCATCTTCATCAGATCTTCTACCTTGTTGATATGCAATTATGATTATCTATTGTCAATTCAATACTCCTCTATATGCTGTTTTGTTGATAATACATGCACAATACAGTCAATATCATTTTCGTTATAAAAACTGCCATTTTTTAAAATTTTTGCTGAGTGTATGGGAAATAAATGTACATGTGCTTCATGTCACACATCTGCTAACTCCTTAAAATATTTTTGTATCAACAAGTCTATAACAGACATCTTATCTTTTACTTCTTCTCAACCAAAAAATATTACATGTACATTGTATACCACATGTTATTCTTAAATAAATGATAAGAAAATGAAGGAGGATTTTACTTACAATTTCATCTGGGGTAGCTTTGTAAGCATCTAAGTCATTAACTGTGTCCTGAAAACAAGAGGGCCATGATGGCCCTGAAATCGCTCACCTGTATAAAGGCCCCCGGGGCGGGGCTAATTTTAACCCAGGGGCTTTTATTTGAACAAACTTGGTAGATCCCCATTTGAAGATGTTTCTTGATAAATATCTTAGCTCTAGCTCTAAGAAAATCTTTAAGTTTTCACTAAACACATATAGTGAAAAACAATGACCCACACCCTCTGTGCGGGCCAATTTTGTCCCCAGGGCTTTTATTTGAACAAACTTGGTAAACACTCACTAGAAGATAATTCATGCTTAATATCTAAACTCTATCTCTTGGTCTTTTTAACAGAACATTTTTTCAGTTTTTACTATATACATAAAAGGAAAATCAATGATCCCGGGGCCGGGCCAATTTTTTAACCCCAGGGCCCTTAATTTAACAAAAATGGTAGACATCCATTAGAAGATGTTTCATGCTAAATATCTTAGCTCTACCTTTTAAGATTTTTTAAAAGAAGATTTTTTATGTTTTAACTTATATACATAAAAGGAAAAACAATGACCCCCTGGGGCGGGGCCAAATTTTGACCCCAGGGCTTTTATTTGAACAAACTTGTTAGACACCCACTAGAAGAGGTTTCATGCTTAATAGCTAAGCTCTACCTCTTTGGGTTTTTTAAAAGAAGATTTTTTTAAGTTTTTACTATATGCATATAGGGTAAATCAATGACCCCCTGGGGCGGGGCCAAATTTGACCCCAGGGCTTTTATTTGAGCAAACTTGGTAGATATCCATTAGAACATGTTTCATGCTAAATATCTTAGCTCTAGCTCTTTGGGTTCTTTAAAAGAAGATTTTTTAAGGTTTTACTATATGCATATAGGGAAAATCAATGACCCCCTGGGGCAGGGCCAATTTTGACCCCAGGGCTTTTATTTGAACAAACTTGGTAGACACTGGCTAGAAGATGTTTCATGCCACATATTTAAGCTCTACCTCTTTGGGTTTTTTAAAAGAAGATTTTTTAAGGTTTTACTATATGCATTTAGGGTAAATCAATGACCCCCTGGGGCGGGGCCAAATTTGACCCCAGGGCTTTTATTTGAACAAACTTGGTAGACACCCATTAGAGGATGTTTCATGCTAAATATCTTAGCTCTAGCTCTTTGGGACTTTTCAAAGAAGATTTTTTAAGGTTTTACTATATGCATATAGGAAAAATCAATGACCCCCTGGGGCGGGGCCAATTTTGACCCCAGGGCTTTTATTTGAACAAACTTGGTAGACACTGACTAGAACATGTTTCATGCCAAATATCTAAGCTCTACCTCTTTTGGTTTTATAAAAGAAGATTTTTTTAAGGTTTTACTATATGCATATAGGGTAAATCAATGACCCCCTGGGGTGGGGCCAATTTTGACCCCAGGGCTTTTATTTGAACAAACTTGGTAGACACCCATTAGAGGATGTTTCATGCTAAATATCTTAGCTCTAGCTCTTTGGGTTTTTTAAAAGAAGATTTTTTAAGGTTTTACTATATGCATATTGGGAAAATCAATGACCCCCTGGGGCGGGGCCAATTTTGACCCCAGGGCTTTTATTTGAACAAACTTGGTAGACACTGACTAGAAGATGTTTCATGCCAAATATCTAAGCTCTACCTCTTTGGGTTTTTTAAAAGAAGATTTTTTAAGGTTTTACTATATGCCTATAGGGTAAATCAATGACCCCCTGGGGCGGGGCCAATTTTGACCCCAGGGCTTTTATTTGAACAAACTTGGTAGACACCAATTAGAGAATGTTTCATGCTAAATATCTTAGCTCTAGCTCTTTGGGTTCTTTAAAAGAAGATTTTTTAAGGTTTTACTATATGCATATAGGGAAAATCAATGACCCCCTGGGGCGGGGCCAATTTTGACCCCAGGGCTTTTATTTGAACAAACTTGGTAGACACTGACTAGATGATGTTTCATGCCAAATATCTAAGCTCTAGCTCTTTGGGTTTTTTAAAAGAAGATATTTTAAGTTTTTTCTTTCGGTTGCCATGGCAACAAGAGTTCTGCATGGAATTAAATTCTTTGAACAATTTTTAAAAATGACCACCAAAGGAACATTCCTGTGAAGTTTGGATGAAATTGGCCTAGTGGTTTATGAGGAGATGTCATTTAAAGTAAAAGTTTACGGACGACGGACGGACGGACGGACGGACGCCGGACGAAAAGCGATCACAAAAGCTCACCATGTCACTTTGTGACAGGTGAGCTAAAAACCCACAAAAAAAACCCACAATAATTTCTTGTCAATTAGTTGAAATATTTGGCCTCCAGGACAAAAGACCTCCTGTCCAAAAATGACAAGGCAGACAAAAGCCCTCCTGTAACAAAAATATATATGTAAGTTGAATACCTGCTTTTTCCAATGAACTCAACATATTAAAATTGTAGCATCTATATTTGTTGTTCTTTTCAATTGGCCTAAGTTTGTGTATGAGCTAGAACCGCCTTCCATTCAGAATATACCTTTCTGAAATGTTTAAAGAGGTAACTTTTCACACGAATGTCGTTAAAAACAAAGTCACATTTAAATTGTTCCAAGGCATATTATAATAAATATAAATGTCTTGGACTTATAATTTTAGTTAATTTAAACTTGTTTTCATCCTTTATTACTCTATTAATCTTAACTTCACATGGGAGTAATCCTTTTGTATTTACGTGAATAAATTTGCACTTACATATTTTACCACTTATTATTTAGATGCCTGTCAGGAATGTGCTGAAGCTCATACAAACATGCTTATGCCAATGGAATATAAAAATAATCATGATTACAATTTTAATATGTTGAGTGCATTGAAAAGAAAACACAAAGTATTCAACATACATATAATATATGTATTTGCTGCAAGAGGGCTTTTGTCCGCCGTGTTATTTTTGCTGGAGGGCTTTTCCGCCCAGTCATTCTCATGGGTGTGCTTTAGTCCGCCCTGTCATTTTCACGGAGGGTTTTTGTCCACCTTGTTATTTTACGACGAGAGGGTTTTTGTCCTAAACTCAATATATTTTCCCAGCTTAGAAACTGGTACAGCTCTTTTTATTCTATTATTAATCTAATTAAGGAAAGAACTATTAATTTTTTAAATGAACAGATAAAAGTACATGTATTTAAAATTACCTTATTCCATGTAGTTCATTTTAATGCCATTTAATATTCTGTTTGTATGGTGGCTGATTTGTGCCATTCATGTTTTCGCCCAGCGACCCCGCCATGCGAAAAGTCGAGAATTAATAAGTTAAAATGATGGGGACTCGGAGCGAAAACACGCTAATTAGTGGGGGCGTGGGGCGAAGTTTGATAAATAAAAACATGCTAATTAACGTTTTATTGTTTTATTAAACTCCCTCCCCCCACGCTAATTAGCTTTGTTTTTGCTCTGCGCCCCTGCCATTTTAACTTGTTAATTTTCAACTTTTTGCTTGGCGGCGTCGTGGGGTGAAAATACGAATGGCACAAATCAGCCACCATAGTTTTGACTTCTAACTTGTGATACGCATGAATGCCCACTTCTTACCTTAGTTTTATCACAAATTGGTTATCACTTCCAAAATTCACAAAAAGGCAACCATACTTGACAATATAATGACATAAACTTACATTCCAAGGTTTCGGTTTTACAGTCCTTTTTTTCTTTGGTGGATTTCTACCTCCAACTCGCACAAAAGACATCTGAAAATTACAGAAAAATATTGCTTGTGTAATTTGTATCCTATTTTATTTCAAAATATACGCCAAGTCAAAACAACAGTAACAATACGGAAAAATCAGTTTGTAAATAAATCAGTCCATCTTGAAGTCGAAATATTGAGACAACTTAGAAATATACTGTTAAAAAATAATGGCATACAGGTGCCTCATATTTCCGTGGTACTTAACTGTGCAACACAGACAACGAAAATTAGAAGAATAAAATTTGCGAAAGTATGTTGAATATTGTAGCAAAGTCAAGTCAATTAGATCTACATCATAGTTTATTCCATTTAATATTTGCATGTAAGCAGTTATGTACACAACATGGCAATTAACACCATGTCTTGACTTTTGTCGTCCGCTCCGGTATTGGTCTATTCAATAAATATTGTAGAGTTTGAATCTTTTCCACTGCCAGTTTTTAACTAATTTTGATTGAACTAATTTATATTCTTGGACAAAACTATTTCACTCGGAAATAGGTACCATTTGTTTACGACTCTATAAGCGAAGGAATTTTGTCTTATTGCCTTTAGTGGTCTTAACTTTTTTACCTCAGATTTCATGATTTGTAACAGATAATTTGAACAACTTTTCATAGTCAAAATCGTCTATTTTGTGAATAAGTTTAAAAAACGTGTATCATATCTCCACGTTGACGTCTGTAATCAAGAGTTGGTAAATTCAATGCCCTTAATCTTTATCATTTAACATGTTTAACAGTTTCAAGTAACAATAGATCAACTTGTGATTCCCCGTTTTCATGATTAAGGAGTAAGTTCTGATTGGGGCAGATTTGATTTGTGGTTAATTAATTTGACTTGCTGTCAAACTTATTTAATTATAGAACCTAGATTTTAAAATAATTTATCATCATGATCATTGCAATGCTTGTCTGTTCTTGTCAAGAAGCAAATAGTAAGAATGTTGCACTGCTCCAACCGTTTAAAATCATTTTTAAAGAAGTTAGGTGACTATGTTTTAAACTATATGCAAATAAAAAAAATACTATGTACATAAAGAAAATTACTACACTCACTTTCTTATCAAAAACAACGGAGAGTCGGAATTTACATTTCTGCCGCCATTTGTAAATAAATAAGTAACCGTGCGTGTGATTGGTTGATTTATGATAAAAAAAATCTTAAAACGCGAATCTGTATAACAATTACCGAACTGTCGATAAAATGTCTAATCTCCGGATTGGGAATGAAAATACCCTCTTTATTTAATGATAGTAGCTTATTATTAATCAAAGCATCGAAAATGAAACATATGATAAAAACTCCTTTTTTCAATACGACTTCAATAAACATAAAAAATAGAATATTATCTCTGAAGTAATAAATAATAGAGATCATAACATTCAGTGCATTTTATCCAAAAAAGAAAAAAAGAGAAAACAAACATAATAACATATATAGTACAGGTATATTGTCTATAATAGGGAAAATATACCAAGTTTAAGTACTTTGTTTTGGAAAAAGATATCAATTTTGAGTGCAGTGTTGTAGAATAATGCACAATTCGAGTTAAAAAGCATATGAATATAATAATGATCAATGATTAATAACAAATCATTTGAACGAAATATGTATGATAACTTTTCTTTGAAGTCTGATGTTCATTTTTATAATAGTAGAAACAGTGTAGGGAACTTTTATAAATCCTATGTTCTTGATTATGTTAATAGTTTCACAAAAAGTACATTTTTTACCAAGGTATTAGGGATTGGAACATGTTCCCAATTGATATTAAAAGGGAAAGTAACTTTTTTAACTTTAAAAAGAAAGTAAAAGCTCAACTAAGTGAAAACATAAAACAATTTGAACAAGCTGATTTTATTTTTTACTAATTTTGAAGATATTTTTTTTATTAATAAAGTATGTTTTATATAAATGTATCTTGTGATTGGTTTTGTGATATATATAATGAAATATTTTCATTGGTGTGATAACTAGTCCTATTCATAGTATTAGTATAGTAAACAAGGGATAATAAAATAGTGCACCATCCCTCACGCCCCCTAGCACCGACTTCAGTGGTATCCAGACATGAGTGGTACTCAATTTTCAACACTTAAAAGTTCTGGAATCAATGATCTGTTGCGCAGTTTAAGTTAACATGGGACACATGTTCATAACTGTGAGTTCATGTTTAAGTACATTTATATATAATAAAGATATGAGAAAGTCATGTTGCATTATATATAAATGTAATTAAACGTCGAGATGTGATATTGACAAGTTTATACGACTTTAATTGATATTATAACCATATGCCTTCTATAAATACTAATTAACTCATTATTGACAGCTGTTTAATTGAATCACTGAACGGTTGTTTTTAACTGTTAAACACCCCTTACACCACTATTCGGTTATCGAACGTCGCTCAGCGTCAGTTGTAAATAATTAAAACAGTTGTAAAAGTTGTATTAGTATGTTGATACAAAAATAAATTTTTATATTATATACTGTATAGCTAATAAAACAGTTAATTATTTCATGGGTGTTTGTAGAACAGAAATCTGTTGTACGGTAGCCTATCAGGGATGACATTTGGAAATAATTCCCTTGGTCTTGGGCCTCTGGCAACAGTTGCAAATGCCATCGGCAACAGTTTTGACTGTTTCACAAACACCCATGAAGTTATCATTTTTAACATGGAAAATGTCAGGAACGTTTATAAAAAATGTTTATAACATATATCCCTGGCAAATTATGTAGATATAAAACATCTAAAATATGAATTTATGTATTTGTTGTTCTTTCGTTTGAGCGTATTTTTTTATTGCGTTTCATGTAACCGTGAAAACGCCGCAGATTCGCTTATGATCAAATTTTGAAACAGACTATATAAAAATATGTCAATAGACCGTGTCTGTTTGGCTAATGCGCGGTGTAGATGCGCGAACGATCTCGTGTAATCCACCGGCTCAAGCTATTTTTGTGTATCGGTAAATTACAACCGGTAAGTTTACACACGCGGAAGATTAAAAGAAAGCACCGCTTAATGTATATAATTGATACAAGTGTCAAGATTTACATGTGAGGTCACCTGGTAAGTCTAAGTTTCTTCAGTTCTCTTGGTTTCGGTTAAATCATCTGTCCTTTGTTAGCTACATTTCAAGGCTGTTATGGCGTCTGTTATGTTCGAAAATGGTGATTTGGGTTGGCAAATTACAGGGTTTTGTGAGTATGAGAATATATCAAAATGAAAGTAGATTCTAATAATGTAATTTGTCTATAAGTTATTTGTAGAATGTGTTGTAAATGAGTTGATTGTTGAGATTTTTATCACTATTAAATTGTGAATCAATGAACAGCTATTTACTATCCACATACTGCCAGTTTTCAATCACAACCACTTTTCAATCACCCCTAGAAATTTTTTATTTTTGACCTTATTTGTCATGTAACCAAACTGTAAGCACATCTTGTATTCCCCTTGACTAAATCTATCAGCAGCAATGTCAATTTAGGCGATAAAAAAAGAAAATGCTAGCATTTTAGTTCAAAATATGTAAAATGTGTGTTTTCCACTAATCCTTTTATTTACACAGTTACAAATCGCAATAATTTTCTAAAAATAATTGATATACAGACTCAGTTTTTTGTCAGTCTGCAGAAATGGATATTAAGTTGGACAACTGTTTCAATATCATGAAGTCATAATGTATACTGCACTTCAAAAGCTGTAATTTTAATATGTACATATTTTACCATACAGTTCTTAATTGAAAGGTAATACATCAGTATAAAGTAACAGTCACTTAACCAAGGAAAAATATTCTCTGTGATAACTTTTCAGTAAGCAGTCACTAGAATGGGGTCATGATCCTAAAAATTTCACAAGAACATGCTTTTTCTGTTATGCAAATTGAAATGTACATCCATACCCCAATTGTGACAGCTTTACCACTGCAAATAGATATCTAGATTGAAAAATGGCATTATAATTAGGTTAAAATTGTTTATTACCATTTATCTGAAGTTGAGTTTGTCAAAATTTCTCCAAAATACAGAACTAATTATATTTTAACATTGTATGACAATTTTTATGTGGTACAGTTTATATTTTGTTAACTGATTGAAAAGTGGTTGTGAAATTTTGAAGAACAGGAAAATGGGTCATTAATGATTTGTCCTCGATTCATAGTAATAATTCAAATAAAATTTTAAAAAGTTGGTGCATTTATTAGCTGAAATGATAATATTCGCAGAATTGAAAGAGAATTTTTTTATATATAATTTCACTGTCAGTTATTGTTGAAAAATCTGTTAGCTGATCGGAAAGAGGCAGTACGGGGATATATTTAGGTATTGTCTAACTTATGTGTAGATCATAATATGATCTATATTATATTATATTAATATCTATATTATAGAAATGTTCATCTGGCGTGTAGACCCTTATCACATACAGGCCAAGAATTAATTTGAATTAGACATAGGGAAACCTCTGTGCTGTACAAAATATGATTTGAAAAAATGTTGAAGCTTAACTTGATCATTTGATGAACAAACTGGAGACGGCTTGGGGTTTCTTATCAGTCATTATATTGATGACCAATTGTTTCAACACTGTAATTACAGAACATGCCGGACCTATTCTGTGTATATTTTTTATCCCAGAATTTAAGTACTTTTTTCCTCAGACATTTCAGCCCCATTTTTACCCAAAATGTTTATTGGGTTTCATTTTGAATTAGTTCAGTAAACATTAACATGTTTTGAATATGTGCTAGAATGGTAGAAAGACATTAACTAGTAGAACATGACACTTTAAAAGAGCACATACAGCCTCAATGATTTAAAGTCAAATCATCCCTTGTTCTACTGGTCATATGTCGTCCACACGGTGGTAAACTCATGACCTGTTTGGTCAATTTATCCTCAGACTGGTCACATATTTTTAATATTATCCCCGCCGAAAAGGCGGCGGGGGATATAGAAATAGTCTCCGTCCGTCCGACCTTCTGTCCGACATTTTTGTCCGGAGCATATCTCTAAAAGTATTTGAGTTATCAACTTGAAACTTCATAGGTGGATAGACCTCATTGAGGAGGAGTGCAGTGCACAAGAATGATAACTCTACCCTGCATAATTTTTGAGTTATTGCCCTTTGTTATTTTTCAAAATTGATTTTTGTGTCGCCTCTACGGAGTAGTGGCGACATATAGGGATCACTTCTCCGTCGTCTGTCTGTCCGTCCGTCCGTCCGTCCGTCACAAAACTTGTCCGGACTACTCCTCTTATACCACTAATGCAATTTCAATGAAACTTTACAGGATTGATCTGTAGCTCAAGTCCTTGCGCATATTGCACGGGTTTCCGGTTGAATGATTTTTGGCCGAGTTATGGCCCTTTGATAAAAAGGTTTCTTTTTCTGTGTGTTGCCAGATACACAAAAGCTTGTCCGGACTACTCCTCATAAACTACTGGTGCAATTTCATCCAAACTTTACAGGAATGATCAGTACCAAGTCTAGTTGTGCATATTGTCAGCATTTTCCGGTTCAATGATTTTTGTTTGAGTGGCCCTTTAATAATTTTTATTTTTAAAGTTTGTCCAGACTACTTCTCTTATACCACTTATGCAATTTCATTGAAACTTTACAGGATTGATCTGTAGCTCAAGTCCTTGCGCATATTGCACGGGTTTTCCGGTTGAATGATTTTTGGCCGAGTTATGGCCCTTTGATAAAAAGGTGTTTTTTTCTGTGTGTTGCCAGATACGCAAAAGCTTGTCCGTACTACTCCTCATAAACTACTGGTGCAATTTTATCCAAATTTTACAGGAATGATCAGTACAAAGTGGTTAGTCTAGTTGTGCGCTGTCCGTCTGTCTGTCCGTCTGTCACAAAATTTGTCCCAACATGAAATTGGCCATCATGAGGCGACACATGTGATTACTGATCGCTCTTGTTGTCCAGAGCATAACTCCAAAAGCCTATGAGATATCAACATGAAACTTCATAGGTGCATATATCTCACTCAGGAGGTGTGCAGTGCACAAGAATGATAACTCTACCTTTCATCATTTTTGAGTTATTGCCCTTTGTTATTTTTCAAACTTAATTTTTCACCTGAGTGGAGCAAAACTCAAAAAGTTTTTCAGATATCAACATGAAATGTCATAAGTGGATAGATCTTATTGAGGAGGAATGTTGTGCGCAAGAATTATAACTCTTCCCTCAAGTTCCCTGTACAATTTTTGAGTTATTGCCCTTTGTTCTTTTTCATGCTATTTTGTCCAGAGCTTATCTCAAAAAGTATTTGAGTTATCAACTTGAAACTTCATAGGTGGATGGATCTCATTAAGGAGGAGTGCAGTGCACAAGATGATAACTTTACCATGCATAATTTTTTAGTTATTGCCCTTTGTTATTTTTCAAAATTAATTTTTGTCCACAGCATAACTCAAAAAGCCTTCAAGATATCAAAATGAAACTTCATAGGTGCATAGATCTCACTCAGGAGGTGTGCAGTGCACAAGAATGATAACTTTACCTTTCATAATTTTTGAGTTATTGCCCTTTGTTATTTTTCATACCTAATTTTTCACCCGAGTGGAGCATAACTCAAAAGTGTTTGAGATGTCATCATGAAATGTCATAGGTGGATAGATCTTATTGAGGAGGAATGCTGTGCACAAGAATGATAACTCTTCCCTATAAAATATTTGAGTTATTGCCCTTTGTTCTTTTTCATACTTTTTTGTCCGGAGCTTATCTCAAAAAGTATTTGAGGTATCAACTTGAAACTTCATAGGTGGATGGATCTCATTGATAAGGAGTGCAGTGCACAAGAACGATAACTCTACCCTGCATAATTGTTTAGTTATTGCCTTTTTTATTTTTCAAAATTAATTTTTGTCCAGAGCTGATAACTCTACCTTTTATAATTTTTGAGTTATTGCCCTTTGTTATTTTTCATACTTAATTTTTCAATTCAATTTTTTTCTCAAAAAGTATTTGAGGTATCAACTTGAAACTTCATAGGTGGATAGATTTTACTGAGGAGGGATGTAGCTCACAAGAATGATAACCTACCCTGCATTATTTTTCAGTTTTTGCCCTTTGTTATTTTCAGCCATCAGTATTCACATAGGTTTCAAATCTGTAATCACTATAGCCATCAGTTTTTATTACCAAAAGACCTCTTAAAATGGAATTATTCTGCTCTACTACATATTCATTCTTCCAATGAGCAAACTCATTCGGCGGGGGATGGCCATGTTGACATGGCTCTTGTTTATAATCTATATTAGTGGAAAATTCTCAAACTTGACATCCAACCAAGTTAACCATAGTTAGATATAAAATTTAACACAATTAGACAAAATGTCAAGTTATTTTGATTTTTAACTGTTCACTGACCACATAGAGTATTAGTATAAATTTTGGTAAAGAACTTTTTTTCACACAAAAACAAAGTTCTTCGAACCGCTTTATTCTGCGGGATTTACATGTATATTACTATATATATCAAAAAGCAACAAGTTGACCAAAAGGATGACAAGTGGACAATGGAACAAGTTGATCAAGGGACAACTTGACTAGCAGAAGTTTTTGTTTGTTCATTAGTCCTTGTACAATAACAACCGTTAATCATGTCATACTTTGATATTTGATAAATAAACTTTATATGTTTGCTGACCAGTACTATTTTCTTTGTTGTACAAACTCAGTTTTTTACTAGAGCATATAACTATACATAATATATTAACAATAAAGACAAAATTTTATATTTTTTGTCTTACCACAGCACATAATCACATCTAATGTTGTTATATTGATTCCATGAAAAATGTTTATAAACAGAATATAATGTTGTTCTTCATCTCAATTTGTAGGATACTGACTGAAGTCAGGTAAAATACACTATATTTGAGGTTGTCATAGAATGGCATCAGGAGATGGGAGTCCTATGACAACCCCACCACCTGGACCAGCTTACACACCTGATAATATACAGAGAATGCAACAAGTGAGTCAAAATTTTAAATAGTAAAGTCATTGTTAATAACATACATAACCTATCAGGATTTCTTTGTAGGGAAAACATTTGACACATGGTTCTTAAATCACATTGGATTCACATGCTTGAGTCCGAGATATTGTAGAATGCTTTTTTTTTCATGAAAAATTGATTGAAGACAGCAATTATAGTCTTAGAAGTTAGAAATAGCGTATTGAAATTTATCTTCTTTTACTGATTCAAATTACTTTATTATTAACATCACTAATTAGTTTGTTGAGTATTAAAATTATGTTGTGAATTCATTGTTCCAAAAATTTGTTTTAGATCAGGGAAATTTATTTAGATATTGTAAACAAGACAGATATGCAAAGTTACATATTGTAATGTATGTTATAAAAGCTTCATGTCTGATGATTTCTCCATCAGTGTTTTACTTGATAATGAAAGCCACTTTGATATGAATACACACAATCACATCATTTTTAAATGATATTTTAAGTTTTGATTTTGTCATAGTATAAGAAATATTTAATCATTTTTAACAAACAGATTCTAGTTTTTTTTTTATCAATCTTTCTAGAATATCAAAATGGATGAGAAGGGAATGTCTCCAAATCCTCAACAATATGGAAGTCACATGCAAAGACCTGGTGGCATGCATCCACAGGGCATGCAGGGTGGTCCCCAGGGTATGCCTGGACCTCAAGGTATGCCAGGTCCACAAGGTGGTCCAGGGGCACCTCAGGGCATGTCAGGTGCTCCTCAAGGAATGCAGGGTCAGCAAGGAATGACTGGATCTCAACAAATGCCTAGTGGACCACAGGGTATGCAGCCTCAAGGGATGCAAGGTCAGCAGAACATTCAAGGTTCAGGTCCACAAGGAATGAATAACATGCATCCCCAGGGCATGCAGGGAGGAAATATGGGACCAGTTCCGAATATGAGTAATCCAGCCATGGGTGGACCTAACATGACTGCACCAGGTGGTCCTGGCATGGGAAGACCTGGTATGCAAGGCCCGGGACCAAATATGGCAGGTTATATGAACAATCCAGCAATGATGAGTGGGAACCAAAGTTCAAACATGCCATCAGGACCTGGTTCTAATATGCAGCAAGGTCAGCACATGGGACAACCCATGGGACAAAACATGCAAAGCCCAGGATCACACATGGGTGGTAATATGGGTGCACCTGGACAACAGGCGCCAAACATGGGCAATCAGATAACAAGACCTCCAAGTAGTGGATCTGATGGACAACACATGAACATGCCTCAAAACCAAGCAGGTACTCCGAACCCAAATCCTGAGGGCACAAACTACAACCAAGGTATCTTTACGTAAACTGCATTTTTTGTGTGATTTCATTTGTAAATATTAACTGATTTCATTTGTAAATATTATCAGCTCACATAAACTAAAAAACAGATGCTAGTGCTAATTAGGCATTGTATTTGATATTAAAATTATGTGAAATAGGAGATGTTTAAGTTCTTTCTTAACAATTTAGGTATGAGTATGCAAGGCAGAAATGTTGGACCTGGTTCCAGTCAAATGGGAGGTCAAATGTCAGGGAACCAGATGGGTACACCTATGATGGGAGGGCCACAAGGTCCTGGGAACCAGATGCCAGGCCAGTCACCCATGAGGAATCCAAACTTCATGCCTCAGCAGCTTCACCAGCTCAGGGCTCAAATCATGGCATATAAGTTATTATCAAGAAGTCAGCCACTTCCTGACCAGTTACGACTAAGTTTAGAGGGGAAGAGGACATTTCAGCCTCCTAGACCACAAGGTAAAAAAAGCTCACTGTATTATAATCAATGCTTGTAACTTGTACCATGTTTAAGTTTAATCTAGTATTGTTTTTTTCATCATTAAATGATAAGGTTACTCAGCAAATAATTGAATTTTTATCATCATTTGTAGCAATAACTTCGGTTTGTGAAAAAATGGTTATCAATATTGGACGAAGTGATTACAATAGTTATTTAATAGCATGCTGTTGAATTTTGTTTATTACAGTTGATCAACAGCAACAGAGCATGAGGATGCAGCCGCAGCCTCCACCTCACCCGCCTCAGTCACAGCAACAACCACAAGCTCCACCCATGCCACAATCTCATAGCCAATCACAGTCTCCTGGAGCCACATCTGCTCCTCCTCCTCAGACAGCCACTCCTGGTGGACCACCTAGTACAACACCACCCCAGCAGAAGCTAGGGCCAGGTGGGACACCACCAAACGCCTCCATGCAGGCTTTAATGAGCATGCAACAGAAACAGAACAGAATTGCTCCTGTAACTAAACCTGTTGGCCTTGATCCCATTGAGTTACTAAATGAAAGAGAAAACAGGTACTTTAGTAGTTTATTACTTTTAATATTAACTTTTAAAATCATATCTTTCAAATGATTGTGTTAAACTTAATAGTTTTGTAAATGGTAAGATATAGAAATTATCCTGGATATTAACTTTGGTAGGGATATTAGCATCATTGTTTTCTGAGGTTAATGATTTAAGATATAGAACATAGATTAAAAAAAATGTGGGTTTTTTTATTGTTTTTATTTTGACAGAAAAATTGTAAAAAAGGTATGCATAAGAAAAACTGTTAAGCTTGTAATGTATGATAAACTCTGACAAAAGTAATTTATATTACAGGATAGCTGGTCGAATATCAATTAGGATAAAAGAACTTCAGAACATTCCTATGACTCTAACAGATGACATAAAGACTAAAGCAACTATAGAACTGAGAGCACTTAGATTACTTAACTTCCAAAGACAGGTATTCTATTAATGATATATGAGCCGCGTCAAGACAAAACCAACATAATGCGTTTGCGGCCAGCATGGATCCAGACCAGCCTGCGCATCCGCACAGTCTGATCAGGATCCATGCTTACGCTATCAGTTTGTCTACTTGTAATAGGGTTAGTAAGCGAACAGCATGGATCCTGATCAGACTGCGCGGATGCGCAGGCTGGTCTGGATCCATGCTGGTCGCAAACACATTATGTTTGTTTTGTCATGTCGTGGCTCATATATCTATTCAGGTCCCTATTTTATGAAATAATAACCACAGTGATGTTGTATAGCTCTTGTATTCTTATTAAAATAATTTGTGTCTTGATTCTTTGATACCTATTGTTTCTGGCATCTACATAAAAGAACCCAGTCTTTAGATTCAGAACTACTTGATATCCATGCTTGTTTTTACAGATTATACATGATTTTATTTTTTTTTGCAATAAAGAGCAGTAGTATGTGTTTCGTTAAAAGTTTGGTATCGAAATCCTGACTTTAAAATATGATAGTAATTAACAACTAAGCTGTGTGCCATAATAGATGTTAATTATAAATATTTTTAATGATTTTTTTTTAAATCATTCACACAATGTTTAAAGAAAGAACTGTTCTATTTCATGATAGTTACGACAAGAAGTTGTTGCCTGCATGAGAAGGGACACAACTCTAGAGACAGCTCTCAACTTTAAAGCATATAAACGAGGTAAACGTCAAACACTAAGAGAGGCAAGATCTACCGAGATTCTTGAGAAGAAACAAAAGATGGAACAAGAAAGAAAAAGACGACAAAAACATCAAGTATGTTTTATATTAGAAACTTTCCTTAATTGTTTTGTTGCAGTAATATTAAAAACCAGTTATTGCAAAAGCTTACTATAGAAACATTTATGTATTAAAAGAACTTGTAGTAACATTCTATGTTTTTATCTAGTACAAAATAATAATAACTGGTATATTAAGTACTAAATAATTGTTACTAGTAATAGGTATTTTTGATATATTCATCAAATAAAAAACTATATCAACAGTCTGTACTTGAAATATACATAGGAAAAGAAAAAGAATTGAAGATTGAAAAAAACATTGAAGAAAACAAGTGTCATACATGTATTCATCATAATAATATGTATATTTTATTGTAGGAATACCTTAATGCTGTGTTACAACATGCGAAGGAGTTTAAAGAATTCCACAGATCAGTCACGTCTAAAGTGGGCAAGTTGAACAAAGCTGTATTAATGCATCATATGAATACAGAAAGGGAACAGAAGAAGGAACAAGAAAGATTAGAGAAAGAACGTTTAAGAAGGCTCATGGTTAGTAACTTTCTTTTATTTCATTATGTTTACTTTAGAAAAAAAATATTCAAACTGTTTTGAGAAAAGTTTTCAATAACAGGTATTATTTATGTACATAAGGTGCAATTTTCAGGGTATAATTGGATCACATTATTGCTGATGGTAAATGGTGTTGAAAGATGTAAAACCATTTTTATACCCCCAAAAACGAAGTTTGGGGGGGTATATAGGAGTCACCCGGTGGTCGGTTGGTCGGTCGGTCGGGCGGTCGGTCGGTCGGTCCAGACGTCCGTTGCATTTTCCTTGTCCGGACCATAACTTGAAGACTAATGGTTGGAATTCAATATAACTACATACAATGGTCAAGCACATTGAGAGGAAGTGCAGTGCACAAGAACCATAACTCTATCTTGACTAATTACAGAGTTATTGCCCTTTGTTACTTTTCCTTGTCCGGGGCATAACTTGAAAACTACTGATTGGAATTCAAAACAACTTCATACAATTGTCAAACATAATAAGGGGAAGTGCAGTGCACAAGAACCATAACTCTATCTAAAGTAATTACAGAGTTATTGCCCTTTGTTACTTTTCCATTGCTTTCTTTTGTCCGGACCATAACTTGAAGACTAATGGTTGGAATTCAATATAACTACATACAATGGTCAAGCACATTGAGAGGAAGTGCAGTGCACAAGAACCATAACTCTATCTTGACTAATTACAGAGTTACTGCCCTTTGTTACTTTTCCTTGTCCGGGGCATAACTTGAACACTACTGGTTGGAATTCAAAACAACTTCATACAATTGTCAAACACAATAAGGGGAAATGCAGTGCACAAGAACCATAACTCTATCTAAAGTAATTACAGAGTTATTGCCCTTTGTTACTTTTCCATTGCTTTCTTTTGTCCGGACCATAACTTGAAGACTAATGGTTGGAATTCAGTATAACTACATACAATGGTCAAGCACATTGAGAGGAAGTGCAGTGCACAAGGACCATAACTCTATCTTGACTAATTACAGAGTTATTGCCCTTTGTTACTTTTCCTTGTCCGGGGCATAACTTGAAAATTACTGGTTGGAATTCAAAACAACTTCATACAATTGTCAAACACAGTAAGTGGAAGTGCAGTGCATAAGAACCATAACTCTAAGATAAAGTAATTACAGAGTTATTGCCCTTTGTTACTTTTCCATTGCTTTCTTTTGTCCGGAGTATAACTTGAAGACTAATTGTTGGAATTCATTATAAATTCATACAATGGTCAAGCACATTGAGAGGAAGTGCAGTGCACAAGAACCATAACTCCATCTTGACTAATTACAGAGTTACTGCCCTTTGTTACTTTTCCATTGCTTTTTTTTGTCCGGAGCATAACTTGAAGACTAATGGTTGGAATTCAATATAACTTCATACAATGGTCAAGCACATTGAGAGGAAGTGCAGTGCACAAGAACCATAACTCCATCTCGACAAATTACAGAGTTATTGCCCTTTGTTACTTGTCCAGAGCATAACTTGAAAACTACTGTTTGGAATTCAATACAACTTCATACAGTTGTCAAGGACATTAAAAGGAAGTGCAGTGCATAAGAGCCATAACTCCATTTTGACAAAATACAGAGTTACTGCCCTTTGATACTTTTCCTTGTCTGGAGCATAACTTAAAACGTACTGGTTGAAATTCAAAACAACTTCATACAATGGTCAAGCACAAAAAGAGGAAGTGCAGTGCACAAGAACTATAACTCCATCATCAGTATTTATAGAGTTATTGCCCTTTGTTCCTTTTCTTTGTCTTTCTGGACTTATTACAGAGTAATTCAATAAAACTTCATCAATGGCCAATCACATTGAAAGGAAATGCAATATACAAGAACCACAACTATCTTTAATTGCCCACAACCATAACTCTGTATTTCAATTCTTTTACAAGATATTCTGTTACTAGTAACATCCTCATTTCCGAAGCAGTCTTGTGGGGGTATTAATCACATTTAGTGATAGTTCTAGTTGTCTTAGTACCATATAAAACATATAGTCAACCATGTCTGGAGTCACACTTGCATGGAACTTTTTCAGGTGTGTGAAAATAATCTGATATGGTCATATAAAACTCTTATATTGAGGGCCACATGTAAAAAAAGCATCAACCCACATCCTGAAATTACACCAAATAGTGGCTGATGGGGGTTGCATGTTGACAAAAGAATTCAAAGAATGCAGACTATGGTAAAAAGCTTGCAGATAAAAAAAAAAGATTCTTAAAATATATGATCAATAGAAATATTTTACTTTGATTACAGGCTGAAGATGAGGAAGGGTATAGAAAGTTGATTGACCAGAAGAAAGATAAACGTTTAATGTACTTGCTACAACAAACTGACGAGTATATTGACAGTCTCACAAAACTTGTAGAGCAACATAAAGTGGAACAGAAGAAAAAATTACGTAAAAGGAAGCGAAAGAAGAGGAATGATGAGGTAAATATAATTTCAGAAACTACAACAAATTTTTAGTTTGCAGATATATGTTATTTTTCCTACTATTGTAACCATTTAGCAACTGTGTTTATCTGGTAAAGCATGCCCTATGTGGTCAGTGCGTATAAAAATGCTATTGATTTGATAGTAAATGGTAGATATTTATGTAGGTCAGTATTTTTCCCCTTTCATTGTTAGCAGATGTAGGTAAATGGCTTCCGGTATAAATTGATAAGTTAACTAAAATAACTGTATTTTTAAATAGAATATTGATAGATAATAAAATAGAATTTACGATACTCATTACATAAAGCTTAAAAATGTTAAATATTAGCATGTTGGTGTATACATAACATATTTGTATATGTAACTGACATATTTGTATATGTAACTGATGTAACATATTTGTCTACTGCAGGAAGAAGTAGTGAGTGGTGAGGAGACACATGTATCTGTTATAGAGAAGGAGACGGGTAAAATCCTGTCAGGTGAAGATGCTCCTCTCTCCAGTAACTTGAAGGAATGGCTAGCAATGAATCCTGGGTATGTAACATCATACTATAGAAATGTTTTCATAAAGTAAAACCAGTAGATACACTTGTTTAAGGGAGAGTCATTTAGTTAGACATTCATATCTAGAAATCAAGTTTTTTAATGAAAGATTAAAATTTAAGTGGCCTTTCACAATTTTGATAACCTTAAATATTAATGCTATTTTTTTATGCTGAATGATCATGATCATTTTGCTTAATTCTGTACAAAGTTGGAGCTACAGGTATTTCTTTAATTACCCAAAACTAATGACTGTTTTGTACATCCCCTTGTCATCTGGGTCTTCTTTGATCAAAGAAGCTGGGAAATCTCTGTATGAACTTTAAAGTGTCTGCGTTTTAAATAAATTAGGGATAGCAACGAGTAACCGGTCAACTGAGTACTATATCGAACATCTAAATATCGGTTTACAGAATTGATATTCGATCACTTTGAAAAAATATATAATTTCTATTTTTTTTTGTGATTTAGAAAGATTAGTGTATCCAATTAATTTAGAAATTCATAGATGTACATGTGTCTTCATAAATACCTGTTACATACAATAAAACATCCTTGCAGAGGTGCGAAAATGATCTCGTAAATTTAATGAGGCGATCAACAGTTTGACACACGCATGGGATTGAACACATGTGTCGCATACATCATTTGGCCTTTAATGATATTTAATTACCTTAAATTGTACATTAATTAAAAAGGTTGTAAAATATAATGTTGTTGATTAAATTTTAATTAATTTGTTTATTAGTTATTCCAAGTTACCTCCCTTACAGTCCTATTTGTAGATACGAATTTTATGAATTTAAATAGAAAACAAAAGTGGCATGCTGTGCTGTTGATATTGTGTGATTAAACTTTGAAGATCATTGGTAGTCCTCCGAGTAACCAAGTACTCGATCGGAAAAATGACCAAGTACTCGAGTATTAGTTTTGGTATTGGTTGCCATCCCTAAAACAAATACATTCTGTTTAGTAAGTTGGAGGATGAAATTAGAAATATACATTTATTGTGCATGACATTCAATCAGGATGATAATATATTGTAGATATGAGATAGCACCTAAGGAGGAGGATGATGAATCTGGGGAGGGTGAAGAAGAAGAGGAGGAGGAAGAAGAAGAAATGACATTGTTCTATGGTGAGGAGGAGAAAAAAGAACCAACAGAGAAGAAAGAGGGACCAGAAACTGCTGGGTATAGTCATTCGTTATTGTATCATGATTCTTGTCTTTTTTAAGCTAAAAGTATGTGTACAATAATATTATAACAAGCTGTGCAGGGCTTCCATTAAGTTTCAAAACTTGGAAGTCAGACACTGCAAAATCTCTGATAATGGAAGTCACATTATATAGGTAAAAAAGGAAAAGTATTATATTTTGGAAGTCACAAGTCAAAATTTAGGTGTAAATGACTCTCAAACTTCCATTAAGCCCTGAGCTGTGAGGATATTTTGATGCATTTGGTCAATTCCTTGTTAGTTTAAATTTATATTAATTATATCTGATGATTTGTTTGTCTGAATAACTGCAGGGGATCCTTCTCGGTGCTTATCTTTCTGAAAGACCACAGTTGTCCTTAATCAACAAAATGTTATATAGTAAGATAAAAGACAAATGAAATAATCTTAATTATAATTGTGAAATTAAAATGATTTTTTGCAGTGTTCATGATGATGAATACATGAGCAAGAAGAATTACTATGGACAAGCTCATGAAATCAGAGAAATTATCAATGAGCAAGCTGCTATTATGATCAACGGCAAAATGAAAGAATATCAGGTAATTTTTCTATGTGATTGCAATTATTTACTAAGAATGTTTTAAACTTACTTCCTTTGATATTGAATATAAAATTATCAGATTTTGTTAATCCGAAGTTAATCTTGGGAGGTTTACATTGTCTTTTCCTCCAATGTTTCAACATATAAACATATGTGATTTAAAATGTCAGTTTTACAGAGAACAAAACTATACTGATAAAGTGAAAAATAATTGTTAAGAATATTTTTTTTCAAATTGTATTTTGTATGATGATGTACAAATTGGAAACAAGAAAATTACTCTAGTCATTAAAGTGCAGATGATAAGCTAGAATAATAATACAACACATCAATTGCCTTATTTTTTTTTATCACATTAACAAACCGTAATGCTTATGTAAAAATGATTGGAAAATTTGAAATATTTGCAGATAAAAGGTTTGGAATGGATGGTATCTCTATATAACAACAATTTGAATGGTATCCTAGCTGATGAGATGGGACTGGGAAAAACCATCCAGACTATTGGTTTAATTACATACCTGATGGATGTTAAAAGAGTGAACGGACCTTTCCTCATCATTGTACCTCTCTCGTATGTTTTTCTTGTATTCTTAGTTATCCTTTGCTTTAATTTTGGATGGCTGATGCCTTTATTCAAATTTTACACATAACTCTTGCAAACTTCTGTAACAAGTATTTTTAATTTTTAGATCAAACTGTTAAAATTATTTTCAATACTGCTCAAAAAAGTCAGTTTTTACACACTGGCATGCCCTTGCCTGAAATAATAGATGAAAATTCGCACCTGCACATATTCCTGCACATGTAAAACTAAAAAGTCATCAAATCATCTTAGAAGTGCTGGTTCTGCTTTAAATTATTATTTATTAGCAGTTTTGACAGGTTATATGTAAACAGGTGTTTGAATATATACTTGGATCCACTAGGCAAGGGTTATATTGAACAGCCATTTATATACAGCCATATAACCTGTAAATAATCTTGATATAAAATTTATTATAAGCAAACTTTCTTTATTAGAAAAAAAAAAAACAACAGCAATACACTGTCTTTCTTTATAAGTTGACAAAAAGCTGTGCATATAGTTAATATAAACATCATGATTATTTAATGAAAAATCCCACATGCAGGTGACTTTCATTGGTAACAAGACATGTAAAATTTAGAGATATAATCACTGATTACAGGACATTATCTAACTGGATGTTGGAGTTTGAAAAATGGGCACCATCTGTATTGAAAGTTCAGTATAAAGGTTCACCTCAAGCAAGGAAACAGTTAGGTGTTCAGTTAAAAGGAGGAAAGTTTAATGTGTTACTTACAACCTATGAGTATGTGATAAAAGACAAGGCTGTACTCTCTAAGGTAAAATATAAACTTACTGTGTACTGTTCACCTGTTTCAAAACATGCTGTTTTTAGCACTAGATTTTAGCACAGGTACTGTTTCTTTATCACATCATATCTTTTCATGTTACAAATATTTTAGCTTGCTCCCATAGCATTATAGATAGAATGTAATGCTCTGTAAATTTGATCTGTTACCATAATTCGTTAAATACAGTGTTAGGAGATGAAGATATATTTATGGTAAATATATTATGTAAATAATGTATAATAAAAGTAAATATTGATATATAATGTATATATATTTTAGATCCGCTGGAAGTATATGATCATAGATGAGGGACATCGTATGAAGAATCATCATTGTAAACTTACACAGATCCTCAATACTTACTATGAGGCTCCATTCCGTCTACTTCTGACAGGAACACCTCTACAGGTAGGTTTCTATATTAACATATCATTAGGGATAGGTCAGGAATACTTTTAACATATTTTTTAACTCTCAGTATTGTCAAAGAAATAATTGAGTTGAAGGCATAGGATTTCACTTTACCTGTATGTATTACTATTGTAACAAAGAATTTTAGCATAAGATTAATCATTTTAAGGCATTTTTCTTTCTATACAAAACAAATACAATTTTACATGCATACAGACAGTTACTAAGTACACATATATACATGGATGCTGTAGTTGTTTGTCGGATCACAAGTGATAACAACATGAGAGTGGGCTTTTCCTATATTATCTCATTAATAGTAAAAAGATGTGCATAAGTTCTGTTGTTTTTTTAAATGATCAATAAATGATGCATACTCATATTTCAGTGATTCTTGTTGAATGATCTATTTTACGTTTTTAAACTCTATGTATTATATGAATTATTGTCAATTTCATGTTAAAATTTTCAGAACAAGTTACCAGAGTTATGGGCCTTGTTGAATTTCTTGTTGCCAAGTATTTTCAAGTCATGTAGCTCTTTTGACAGTTGGTTCAATGCTCCATTTGCCATGACTGGAGAAAAGGTATGTATATGTATGAAATGAATTTATTGTATTCCAATATTATTATTATATTATTTAACATCATGTATTGAAAGAGCTTTACTGAGGTCCAAATGCCTAAACATGTAAATAATTAAATTCTTATATAGATCAACTGGGGCATTTAAAATGAAAAAAATAAGCAGAGTATAATTAAGAAATATAAGCAATATTAAATTCAAAATCTAATTTTTTGCATGATTTTTAGCCCAATTCGAGGTAAAAAGGTTTATACAATTTTCATTTTTGAGACATTTTACTGTTACACAATAACAATTATTTTCCTGTAAAAACAGAGAAAAGGATACAAAAATAAGTTCATATTCATGTATTCATTTATACATAGTTCATTTATACATAATTCGTATATAGTATAAACAGGGCAATCCCATGTCTTAACTTAAGGTTATCATTGTGTTAAACTTATTAAAAAATACTCAGTCAAATGCTGTCTATTTCCATGTGTGGAGTCAAGTATGGCAATTATTAAATATAAACAATATGTATATATAGATTGTAATTGTATATGTATTGCTTTAGGTTGAATTAAATGCTGAAGAGTCCCTCTTGATTATTCGTCGTCTTCACAAAGTGTTGAGACCTTTCTTGTTGCGTAGATTGAAGAAAGAGGTAGAATCTCAGCTTCCAGAAAAGGTAATAATTTATTTCATGCTCATTTGTAACAAGTTAGGCAAGAAATCTGACCTGTAGTCATTTAAGTATGCAGTCTGACAATGCTATATTATGTTGGCTTCCATCTAAATATCCTTAAAATTCATAAGTCATAATGGACAGTTAAAGAAATGAAATATAAGGTAGACAAGACCACTTAAGAATTTCAGCAGACAGTAAATTCTTCATATTTTCATATAGTTTTACTAATGTACGAGTATAGGCCTTGTTTGTAACAACATAACCAGAATTTAAATAAAACAGCAAGAGGTTCTTTTTTACTTGCTCCAGGACTAAAAATAAACTGATTACAGGAACTATATATTGTATTACTATGTAATAGTGAGATTATTATGTTAACTATACAACTTTATATAATATAGGTGGAGTATGTACTGAAGTGTGACATGTCAGCATTACAACGTCTTATATACAGACACATGCAGAACAAAGGTGTTCTTCTCACAGATGGCTCAGAAAAAGAAAAGAAGGTATATACACATTTAACAAATATTCATATTAAGTACTTAAATCTTTGAAGTGATATATATTACATATTGTAGATCATAGATTTAATATTTCACAAGTAACATTTTGGATAAAGACAACATGTATTAGAAAACAACTGTCAGTTACTTTGTCCTATATGTATGTAAGGCTATGTTCTTCAGGCCATAGTATCTTTAACTCCTCATCATTATTTTTCTGTTCCACACGAGGGATTGGGTCCGTTAAGTAATCGTTTGGAAAAAAGTATTTTATTTAGTTAATATATTAGATCAAATATATTAAAATATATATTTATGTTTTTGTATTGATGTAGGGTCGTGGTGGAGCTAAGATTTTAATGAATACTATCATGCAGCTGAGAAAGATATGTAATCATCCATTTATGTTTCATCATATAGAAGAAGCCTGTGCTGAAATGCAGGGCTCAACAGGAGTAGTCACCGGGTAAACTTTATACGGTTTTCTTACTGGCATTTATATAAATGAAATGTTAAGTTTTTCCCTGTATTGTAAACTTAATCATTTTTTATGAAACTTCATATCTTCAGTACTAGTATCTTAGAATTTTTAAATTATTTTGAGACTTGTTTTCAGGATAGAAAATGTACAGGTTTTAATTTAATGGTATACATGTACGTTATAAATATTTGATTTATTTACAGACCAGATTTGTACAGAGTATCAGGCAAGTTTGAATTGCTAGACAGAATCCTGCCTAAATTAAAATGTCAGAAACACAAAGTCTTGCTGTTCTCTCAGATGACCTCCCTCCTTAGTATACTTGAAGACTACCTCCTGATGCGAGGTTTCCGTTACCTTCGTCTAGATGGTACAACAAAGGCAGAAGATAGAGGAGAACTCCTAGCATTGTTCAATAAAGAGGACTCGCCATATTTTATATTTATTCTCAGTACAAGAGCTGGAGGTTTAGGTCTGAATTTACAAACTGCAGATACTGTAGTCATATTTGATTCTGACTGGAATCCTCATCAGGTAATAATATTGAACTGTTTCATGATGTTAGTATGATTTTCTTTTAATTTTTAGTTTGAATTTCTTTGGTTCAATAGAAATGCAATACATTGTATTGTGATGTGTTGACTTCAAACCACTTGTACCTCACTGCTGTGGGTTTGAATCCTGACAGCTACTTCGGATTCTTTCATGTGAGGAAACTTCCCAACTAGCTCAGGTGCCAGTTTGTGCCTGAAATAATGCATAGAAAGGCATCTGAGATCTTCCTTCATCAGTAAAGCTGGAAAGCCGCCATACACCTATACTCAGTCAGTTTGATGTAAAACCCTTCCAAAGGAAAAACAACAACAAAAATTAGCTCTAAAAGCAGGAAAATAAACAAACAAATTTATAAATAAAATTATGTTATGTCTCTTTTATAGACTATTTGTATTCTAAGAATATTACCAAACATTCTTTGGAGCAGAAAGAATATGAATTTGTTCCACATATAATCTAATACTGAATATTCTTAACCAGTAATTTAAACATGAAAAATGTTTACCAGATTTTATAGAAAAAAAAAAGATTTTCTGTAATGAGCTGTCATTAATTTCTCATTTGATAACAGAGAACAAATAGTCTGTATGAAAAATTTTAACAAACTATGATAGCATACATGTGACAAATGAAATGGGCCAAATCTGGATTTTCAGCTGGATTTTGAGGCTCAAAACTGGATTTTTTTATCGATTCGAATTTCAATGCGTGTTTGGCACATTTGGTTCAAAGAATCTACATTACCCTCAAAATCATTAAATGATTATACTTTTTATGATTTTTTTGTTGATCAATATTAATTTATTTCACCAAAAAAAAAAAAAAAAAAATAGATAAATAAATAAGTGTAGTCATACAGGCTATTTCTAGAACAGTCACACTTTCACATTTCATTATTTTCAGTTTGAAGAATTATATGTCTTTTCAGTCATTCAATAATTAAACACAAGCTATTTGAAAACGTGCAACAACTATTCATGAACATAAGACTATGACAGTTAAATAACGTAACATAAGTAGAAGACTCAAAATAAATGCAAGAATCGTTCCGTTAATTAAATCCACATTTTTGCCTCGATGATTGTGTAATTCCTAAACAAAACAAAAAATTACCCATTCACTAAAAATAGGTTAATTAGACATCTGAAACAGGTTTTGAATGATCCACTTTAAATGATTCTGCTCACCTTTTATCTTCATCAGTGCGGCACTAATCAAAGAAAATCAAAGATTTAGCCGAATTCATACATGTAAATTTACAGGGTAGTTTTGATGACGTAGTGTGTAATACCTACTGCCAAATTACAAAAGAGGTCAATTGACTGACACACGACAAGTGATAAGTTAAACATGTGAGAATAACTTTGGGTATTGGAACTGTTTATTACGTCACCTTGCTGTCAATTAGCGACTCAACATTTAATCCGCTATAATTTAGGATATGGACAGATAACAATCAATGCCCGGAGGCATGGTGTACATTTTAGATACAGGTGCTGTGTTTGATTTTTTTATGTTGATTTTTTTTTAAATATCGGGAATTCAAGCTGTAATATTGGGAATCGGGATCAGTGTTGAAATATCGGGATTTTTTTAAATCCCGCCGGGATGTCACATGTATGTGATAGAGTTTTTTGTTACCTTGCAGGATTTACAAGCCCAGGATAGAGCTCATCGTATTGGACAGTTAAACGAGGTGCGAGTATTACGATTCTGTACAGTGAAGAGTGTAGAGGAACGTATCCTTGCTGCAGCAAGATTTAAGTTGAACGTTGATGAAAAGGTTATACAAGCTGGTATGTTTGATCAGAAATCTACTGGATATGAGAGACAAGCCTTCTTAAAAAATCTCCTACAACAAGATGCTGAAAGTGATGAGGTAATGTCTCAATTTGTATACAAACATAGCTGTGACTGTCCTGTAGATGTGTCTGTTATGTCAGTCATTGAGATTTAAATTGTATAATAAAGGATTGAAGCACATGGAAATAACAGAAAATTCATATCTAAGAGTTAAGAAAAAAAATTAATTACTTAAAACATATTTTGATTCATAAAACCAAATAAAATTGACTAGAATTAGGTTGTAAAAAGCTTTTATCACTTAATTTACAGTCCAGTTATTCACTTTTAACTTTTGCGTATAATCAATCAGTTTTTATTTAAGCATGATAAAAGCAAACTACATAAGTTATTTATTTACAAATGATTAAAACTAGGTGAATATGATAATATAAAGGTAGTTATTTACAAAGGATTAAAACTAGGTGAATATGATATTATTAAGTCATTTATTTACAAAGGATTAAAACTAGGTGAATATGATAATATTAAGGTAGTTATTTACAAAGGATTAAAACTAGGTGAATATGATATTAAGTTATTTATTTACAAATGATTAAAACTAGGTGAATATGATAATATTAAGGTAGTTATTTACAAATGATTAAAACTAGGTGAATATGATATTAAGTTATTTAATTACAAATGATTAAAACTAGGTGAATATGATATTATTAAGGTAGTTATTTACAAAGGATTAAAACTAGGTGAATATGATATTAAGTTATTTAATTACAAATGATTAAAACTAGGTGAATATGATATTATTAAGTCATTTATTTACAAAGGATTAAAACTAGGTGAATATGATAATTTATTTACAAAGTATTAAAACTAGGTGAATATGAAAATATTGAGGTAGTTATTTACAAAGGATTAAAACTAGGTGAATATGATATTAAGTTATTTAATTACAAATGATTAAAACTAGGTGAATATGATATTATTAAGTTATTTATTTACAAAGGATTAAAACAAGATGAATATGATATTATTAAGTCATTTATTTACAAAGGATTAAAACAAGGTGAATATGATATTATTAAGTCATTTATTTACATAGGATTAAAACTAGGTGAATATGATAATTTATTTACAAGGTATTAAAACTAGGTGAATATGATATTATTAAGTCATTTATTTACAAAGGATTAAAACAAGGTGAATATGATATTATTAAGTCATTTATTTACAAAGGATTAAAACAAGGTGAATATGATAATATTAAGTTATTTATTTACAAAGGATTAAAACTAGGTGAATATGATAATATTAAGTTATTTATTTACAAGGTATTAAAACTAGGTGAATATGATAATATTAAGTTATTTATTTACAAGGTATTAAAACTAGGTGAATATGATATTATTAAGTTATTTATTTACAAAGGATTAAAACTAGGTGAATATGATAATATTAAGTTATTTATTTACAAAGGATTAAAACTAGGTGAATATGATAATATTAAGTTATTTATTTACAAGGTATTAAAACTAGGTGAATATGATAATATTAAGTTATTTATTTACAAGGTATTAAAACTAGGTGAATATGATAATATTAAGTTATTTATTTACAAGGTATTAAAACTAGGTGAATATGATAATATTAAGTTATTTATTTACAAATGATTAAAACTAGGTGAATATGATAATATTAAGTTATTTATTTACAAGGTATTAAAACTAGGTGAATATGATAATATTAAGGTATGTTAATCAATAATTTTGCTCTAGAAAAGACTATGATTGATAAAAATTGTTGTAACCTTCTATTTTGTAAGATAATTCAGTACTTTCTTACAGTATTTTCATAATCAATTTCTCTGTGGCTATTTATTCTTACAACCAATTAAAGGGCATATCATTTTGACATTTTCTTGTTGATTTTATTTCTGTTATGCATTTTTTATGTGTCTAAAGAGTACAAATATCAGTATCAATTTTAAATTGAAAATGAAAAATTAAACCATGTTGCTTCATGTCCTGTGTATTATGTATATAGCGGTAACAGGGTTATGTCTTCTTTATTACGTGGAAAGCAATCACATGATCTTAAATTGTAGATATGTAGCTCTGAAACCAATGATATACTGTTACAGGAGGAGGATGAGGTACCCGATGATGAGACCATTAATCAGATGTTAGCCAGGTCAGAGGAGGAGTTTGATATATACCAGGTCTGTCACGGTTTGACAAAAAGCTAATCATTTAAACAGCAACAAAATAACTGTGTTAAACGTTTAACCAACCATACTAATAAAAACCTTAGATTTTCAACATTAACTTCATTCCTTTATGGTAACATATGCTTTTTGTTCGTATTTTGTTGTACTCAAATGATTACAATACATATCCGAATATTTTTCACTAGGGTCGTACCATATTCAATCAGATCGGAAAAAAATACATTGTTGAGTACAACTAAAATACAAACAATTGTCATATCTTGTTATAGAAAACTAAGGTATTATTTAAAATCAATTTAAAACTTTTTCACCCCTTTGTCAAATACTTACCTCGAATACCAGTTATTGAATTTTGCAACCAGATTTTCGCCAAAAAACAGACCATACCCTGCTTAAACCGGTAAACGTGACATCCCTATCAAATATTCAAGGATTTTTCTCAAAGGATAAATTTACAGACAAATTTCATGGATGTGGAAGAAACATATTTTGTAAGAATGTTAACATGTTTGTTTTATGTAATGACAGCGTATGGATATAGAGCGTAGAAGAGAAGAAGCTAAACAAGTGCCACGTAAACCAAGACTTATGGAGGAGTCAGAGTTACCTGTCTGGATAGTGAAAGATGAGGCAGAGGTAAGCTTTAACGTTTTGTTATTTTAATAACTGTCTTTCTGTTAGAACTATATTTCTTATTCTGTTGTCTAAGATTTACTTAGAAGGGAATGAATTGCTTTTTTTATATGCCAGTAAAAATTTTGGGCATATTATGTTATACACTAGCAATTTGGTTTCTGGAGCATAACTTAAGTTCCATTTGGCCCACAATGTTCAAACTTCATAGGATGATCGTCCATATTGGGTAGAAGACCCCTATTGATTTTGTGGTCACAAGGTCAAAGGTCAAGGTCACTATTACCTTAAAACTGAAAACAGTTTCCGGAGCATAACTTAAGTTCCATTTGGCCCACAGTGTTCAAACTTCATAGGATGATGTTCCATATTGGGTAGAAGACCCCTATTGATTTTGGGATCACAAGGTCAAAGGTCACTATTACCTTAAAACTGAAAACAGTTTCCGGAGCATAACTTAAGTTTCATTTGGCCTACAGAGTTCAAACTTCATAGTATGATTGTCCATATTGGGTAGAAGACCCCTATTTATTTTGGGGTCACAAGGTCAAAGGTCAAGGTCACTATTAACAGTTTCCGGAGCATAACTTAAGTTCCTTTGGCCCACAATATTCAAACTTCATAGGAGGATTGTTATTCTAAGGAGGTAATAATTTAATTCCCATGTTTTACAAATGCTTCATCTTTACTAATAAAAAAAAAAAATCGCTCTCAGGCATATAATGCTCCGCCTAGCAGTGCTCTTGTTTTTGCATATTTATAACCCTCTTTCAACTTAGAAATTCTTGGTTAAGTTTTTGCTTGTAAGCTAGTATCTCCATAACTACTGAAGGGAATGGATTGAAACTTCACACGCTTCTTCTTTGTGATTATCTAACATGATTTGCTCTCAAGTCCCATAACTCTGATTTGCTTTATGTGTCGCCTCTTCAGAGTAGGTACAGTTTCATTCAAACTTTACAGGAATGATCAGTACCAAGTGTAGTTGTGCATATCATCATCATTTTTCAGTTCAATGATTATTGTTAGAGTTATGGCCCTTTTATAATTTTTATTTTTAGCTCACCTGTCACAAAGTGACAGGGTGAGCTTTTGTGATCGCTTTTCGTCCGGCGTCCGTCCGGCGTCCGTCCGTAAACTTTCACTTTGAATGACATCTCCTCATAAACCACTAAGCCAATTTCATCCAAACTTCACAGGAATGTTCCTTTGGTGGTCACCTTTAAAAATTGTTCAAAGAATTTAATTCCATGCAGAACTCTGGTTGCCATGGCAACCGAAAGAAAAAACTTTAAATATCTTCTTTTAAAAAACCATGAGAGCTAGAGCTTAGATATTTGGCATGAAACATCTTCTAGTGAGTGTCTACCAAGTTTGTTCAAATAAAAGCCCTGGGGTCAAAATTGGCCCGGCCCCGGGGGTCATTGATTTTCCCTATATGCATATAGTTAAAACTTAAAAAATCTTCTTTTAAAGAACCCAAAGAGCTAGAGCTAAGATATTTAGCATGAAACATGTTCTAATGGGTGTCTACCAAGTTTGTTCAAATGAAAGCCCTGGGGTCAAAATTGGCCCCGCCCCGGGGGGTCATTGATTTTCCCTATATGCATATAGTAAAAACTTAAAAAATCTTCTTTTAAAGAGCTATGGCTAAGATATTGAGCATCAAACATGTTCTAATAGGTGTCTACCAAGTTTGTTCAAATAAAAGCCCTGGGGTCAAAATTGGCCCCGCCCCAGGGGGTCATTGATTTTCCCTATATGCATATAGTAAAAACTTAAAAAAATCTTCTTTTAAATAACCAAAAGAGTTAGAGCTAAGATATTTAGCATGAAACATGTTCTAATAAGTGTCTACCAAGTTTGTTCAAATAAAAGCCCTGGGGTCAAAATTGGCCCCGCCCCGGGGGGTCATTGATTTTCCCTATATGCATATAGTAAAAACTTAAAAAATCTTCTTTTAAAGAACTCAAAGAGCTATGGCTAAGATATTTAGCATCAAACATGTTCTTATAGGTGTCTACCAAGTTTGTTCAAATAAAAGCCCTGGGGTCAAAATTGGCACCGCCCCGGGGGTCATTGATTTTCCTTATATGTGTATAGCAAAAACTTAAAAAATCTTCTTTGAAAAAACCCAAATAGCTAGAGTTAAGATATTAAGCATGAAACATCTTTTAGTGAGTGTCTACAAAGTTTGTTCAAATAAAAGACCTGGGGTCAAAATTGGCCCCGCCCAGGGGTCATTGATTTTCTTTATATGTGTATAGCAAAAACTTAGAATCTTCTTTGAAAAAACCCAAATAGCTAGAGTTTAGATATTAAGCATGAAGCATCTTCTAGTAAGTGTCTACCAAGTTTGTTCAAATAAAAGCCCTGGGGTCAAAACTGGCTCGGCCCCAGGGGTGTCATTGTTTTTAACTATATGTGTATAGTAAAAACTTTAAAAAAATCTTCTTTTAAAAAGCCCAATGAGCTAGAGCTTAGATGTTTAGCATGAAACATCTTCTTATGGGTGTCTACCAAGTTTGTGCAAATAAAAGCCCTTGGGTTAAATTGGCCCTGCAACATTGGGGTGGGGGTTGGGGGGCCTATATACAGGTGAGGGACCTCAGGGCCATCATGGCCCTCTTGTTAAAAGTTTATCTGGATTACTCCTCTTATACCACTAATCATTGCATTAGTAATGCAACTTAAATGAAACTTGACATGATTGATCTATAGCTCAAGTACCTGTGCATAATGAATGGGTTTTAGACTTGAATGATTTTTGGCCGAATTATGGCCCTTGAATAAAAAAGGTGTTTTTTTGTGGGACTACTTCTCAGAAACAACAGGTGCAATTTCATCCAAATTTTACAGGAATGATCAGTACTAAGTCCGAGGAAAATACTGTTACCCTCGTCGAAACCGAGGGTAACAGTATTTTCACGAGGGATGATATTTTTACTGTTACTCACAAACCCATGTGTTATTTATTTTATTACCCCAAACAAAAACACGGTGATGATCTGAAATTGTCAACTAAATCTAACTGTAACAAAAATAATCCAAGAGTAACAATAACTGAACTGCCCTTACCTTTTAAGTTTTAAGTGTACTTGAGGCCTTCTTGAGAAGTTTTCTTTTTCTTTTATTCTTTGAGCAAGTGATGATATCTACTAGTCATAAACATACAATAAGCTGTGTTTTATTTAGAAAGCAAAACACTAACCCATTTATACGGTTATGATCTGTGAAATCTGATCCTTCTGTTTCAAGAATATTCTTCTCATGGTTTTTGATAAAATAACGATGGTATTTTATGTCTGTCCACCATATTTGTAACGTTTCACACTAAATTGTTAAATAATCCTTTATTGCATGCTTAAATCGTCTGCATGTTCCAGTTTGACACACAATTATTCACATTGCAAGTACTTCTGTTGAAAACGGATGTTTACTTTTTGACTATTCAACAAAAAGATATTTTATACGCGAAAAGCAGTCCAGGGTGCAAACAACTAAATTTTATGGGTGTCACAGTTACTTCAGAGAAGATGGTGACCTCCTATCGGGGTTAAACGTCGAAAATATGAATGAATCGAGAGAAAAATGGCGGCCATTTTATTTCATTTTATTTAGAAAATAGACCACGTGACTAGATTTTATACTGTTAAAAAGTACTGTTACCTATGTAACAGTACAAAATTCTTAGTCACGTGGTACACTTGTATTAACAGTAAGAATAACTCCCAGAGGCCTATGGTAAAATTAACATTATGAAAAAAGTGAGGGGTAATAATGGTATATATTTCAGGTTGAAAGAATGACGATGGAAGAGGATGAAGAAAAGATGTTTGGACGTGGTTCTCGACAGAGGAAAGAGGTGGACTATTCTGATGCATTGACTGAGAAACAGTGGCTCAGGGTATGCTTATAAATATATATAAAACAAAAATGTATCATTTTATTGCAAAACATCCTAATATGGACAAAATTGAAATATTGATAAATTAATTGACATATCCTTTCAAATACAGGGCTCATGCTGTTGGTCGCCATAGTTGCCATTTGTGATTATTTTATAAGATTGGCGATTATTTTTGAATTTTGGCTACAAAATCTGGCAATTATTTTTTACTTCCAACAGTGTTTATATAAGGTGTAAAAATCGATAAAGAATGCAGTAGACCCAATTAACACCAGCAGGGTGGATTTAATTGAGTGTCAACTTTTTATCGGTCACATGCCGTTGCTTACTATTGCCTGAGGTGATAAAAATACATGCGAGATGTAAAATTGTATAAGTAGTTAAAAGATATTGTCCAGCATTATAATAGCCATCAAATATCCCTCAATTAGTCACAAAAATCGTCTTACAATTGATAAACTGGATATTGCCAACCAAAAATTTACCATTAATTGCAGTAATGGCAAAGTTTTAATTTTTTTGTTTTAAGCTGCTTGACTAAATCGCCAGTGGAAAACAATGATAAAATATCTAAAAAATATTTACTTCCAAACAACTATTTGCATAACAACCAAACTTGTGAATATTTCTTCAGAAAACAGAAAAAATCTGATTGTCACATATTTTCGCGACACTGATAATTTTGATATTTATTTAAAGGTGAAAATAAGCTATGTTATGTTTAAAAATCTTTTCTATAATGGCAGAAAATTTGTATTTCATTGGTGATGATGACATTTTTCAGTAAGTTATTCAGAAAAAAGGCTGCATTCTGTGAATCAGTTTGCAAGTGATTTTTATAGGCTAATATGACCAAGAACTACTCCAGTTCTGTGTGAAATGACTGGAAATTGACAGTGGTTATAGCTGACAAAATTTGATTAGAACAATCAAAAGAAATTGTCTGATAACAGCATTATGTAAAGTTATAATGAATCTTTAATATTATTGTTATACAGTAATTATACTATATAACATTTTTATTCTGTTCTATAATAACAATTAAAGTTGTGGTTCTATGTAAAAAAAGGTAGTTATCAATATACACAAATGTATCAGTTTATTTGAGAATCCTTATAAAATTGATTTTTTTTAGCTCACCTGTCACAAAATGACAGGGTGACTTTTTGTGATCGCTTTTCGTCCGGCGTCCGTAAACTTTTACTTTAAATGACATCTCCTCATAAACCGCTGAGCCAATTTCATCCAAACTTCACAGGAATGTTCCTTTGGTGGTCACCTTTAAAAATTGTTCAAAGAATTTAATTCCATGCAGAACTCTGGTTGCCATGGCAACCAATAGAAAAAACTTAAAATATCTTCTTTTAAAAAAACCAAAGAGGTAGTGCTTAGATATTTGGCATGAAATATCTTCTAGTGAGTGTCTATCATGTTTGTTCAAATAAAAGCCCTGGGGTCAAAATTGGCCCCGCCCCGGGGGTCATTGATTTTCCCTATATGCATATAGTAAAAACTTAAAAAATCTTCTTGTAAAGAACCCAAACAGCTAGAGCTAAGATATTTAGCATGAAACATCTTCTAATGGGTGTCTACCAAGTTTGTTCAAATAAAAGCCCTGGGGTCAAAATTGGCCCGGCCCCAGGGGGTCATTGATTTTCCCTATATGCATATAGTAAAAACTTAAAAATCTTCTTTTAAAGAACCCAAAGAGCTAGAGCTAAGATATTTAGCATGAAACATCTTCTAATGAGTGTCTATCAAGTTTGTTCAAATAAAAGCCCTGGGGTCAAAATTGGCCCGGCCCCAGGGGGTCATTGATTTTATTTATGTGTACAGCAAAAACTTAAAAAATCTTCTTTGAAAAAACCCAAATAGCTAGAGTTAAGATATTAAGCATGAAACATCTTCCAGTTAGTGTCTTCAAAGTTTGTTCAAATAAAAGCCCTAGGGTCAAAATTAGCCCTGCCCCGGGGGGACATTGATTTTCCTTATATGTGTATAGCAAAAACTTAAAAATCTTCTTTGAAAAAAACCAAATAGCTAGGGTTTAGATATTAAGCACGAAACATCTTCTAGTGAGTGTCTTCAAAGTTTGTTCAAATAAAAGCCCTGGGGTCAAAACTGGCCCCGCCCTAGGGGTGTCATTGCTTTTAACTATATGTGTACAGTTAAAACTTAAAAAATCTTTTTTTTTAAAAACTCAACCAGCACCTTAGATGTTTATCATGAAACATCTTCTAGTGAGTGTCTTCAAAGTTTGTTCAAATAAAAGCCCTGGGGTCAAAACTGGCCCGCCCTAGGGGTGTCATTGCTTTTAACTATATGTGTACAGTTAAAACTTAAAAAATCTTTTTTTTTAAAAAAACTCAACCAGCACCTTAGATGTTTATCATGAAACATCTTCTAATGGGTGTCTGCCAAGTTTGTTCAAATAAAAGTCCTGGGGTTTAAACTGGCCCCACTCTGAGGGCCTATATACAGGTGAGCGACTTCATGGCCATCATGGCCCTCTTGTTATATGTAATGTTTATTTAAACAACTGCTTATGTTGTTAATCGCTAAATCGTGAATAGTCCGCTGAACTTTTGGATATTATTTTTTTAAATTAAAAATATTGGCAATTATTCTATTTGAGCCAGTGTGAGCCCTGCAAAGGGATTGATTAATAATAAAAATAATAAATAAAAATTCTCACTGGTAGTTTGTGTCTTAAGTTAGCAGTTTCTAATGCAAGAAACAGGTTACTTGATTGGAGGAATATTTACCTCTTTTGAAATATAAAGCATTACAAGCAAGATTTAGACCAAGTAAATCCATTTAACTTTCCAGTGCTTTTTAGTCCCCTACCGGACTTTACGCAAAAAGTACTGGTACTGAAAATATTTTTATGAAACTTTATATATGGATAGATGGCAGTATGGAGATTATGCACGTCTTTTTCTTTTCTTCCTGTGTTGAAAATTCTGGTTGCTATGGCAACAAATAGACTGAAAATATGGCAAATTTTAGGCATAAACTGGATCCAGTGATAACGCAAAAAGTACTGGAAATATTTTCATGAAACTTGAAATATGGGTAGATGGCAGTCTGGAGATTATGCACGCCTTTTTCTTTTCTTCCTATGGTGAAAATTATTGTTGCTATAGCAACAAATAGACTGAAAATATGGAAAATTTTACACATAAACTGAATCCAGTGATAACGCAAAAAGTACTGGAAATATTTTTATGAAACTTGACATATGGGTAGATGGCAGTCTGGAGATTTCTTTTCTTCCTTTTTAAAAATTGTTTGCCATGGCAACAAAAAGGCTTCAAACATGGCAAATATAACAGTATTTGTGATTAGTCAAAAAGAGCTGAAAATTTTTATGAAATTGCATCTTTATTTCAAGAGTTATCTCCTCTTTAAGAATTTTAAAAATGTTATAATTTGGTAACAGGGATGTTTTAAATATTAACTTTAGAGTGTCCTTCAATCCGTCTGTCTGTGTTCATAAAAACTGTTTCATGTGATCACTTTTAAAGAACTTTTCCAACAAATTTACTTAAAATAGAGAAAAATTGAAACATTAGTGAATGGCAAATGGCCCTTCAGAATGTTGCTGGGGTTCTAACCGGTAGGGGACTTATGGAATGTTTTTTTTTTACATTCTAGGCTATAGAAGAAGGTGATTTAGATGAAATTGAGGAAGAGATCAGAAAAGAGAAACAAGATAAGAAAAAACCAACAAGAAAACGCAAAAAGGCCCCATCAGAAACTCCGCCTCCAAAGAATGGTGGGGACCCACCTGTGAAAAAGAGGCGTGGCAGGCCTCCAGTGGAAAAACTGAAGCCCAATCCACCTAAAGTGGAGGCACAACTCAAGAAATTGCTTGATATTGTACTTGGTTACAAGGATAGGTGAGTTCATCATTGTAGATGTTATCAAATAGCTACAAGAGAACATGTATCAGCTACAAGCCACTATAAAGGCATAAATAATGTATTTATTATTTCAGGTCAAAGGTCAAGGTCATTGGGACCTCTAATAAATCGTTATGGTGGTTATTTTGTCATTGCCTAGTTATTAATGTTTATAAGAGCAAAGTTGTTGCAATCATGAATTACAATTTGTTTGCCATATCACTGGTTTTTAATGTCAATAGTGATTTTGAATTGTATTAAATTAAAACTTGTTTTATATCACAAGTTGCATGTTATGTATATGCTTAAGATTACATTGTGGAAAGAAATTTTATTTATCACAACAGTGATGGTAGAATGTTGAGTGCTGCATTTGAAAAGCTTCCATCAAAGAAAGATCTCCCAGAGTATTATGAAATCATTACAAATCCTCTAGATTTTAAGAAAATTAAGGTAAGTGTTCAGATTCAGATACCTACCTCTTCAATTTGAAAACATCACTTCACATTATCACATTTTTTTTTTTTTTTATCTGAATATTTGTGAAGTTGTCAAGATTCTTTGAGGGCTATGATAATTATCAACAAAATTGGTATAGATTGATGACCTGATTTGTTTGAGTCAGTTAATGAGTTACATTGGTAAATGCAATACAGCTCTCACCCTTTAATTGTGAATTATGTAGTACAGTAGAACTTCTATGAGTCGAACTTCGATTAGTCGATTTTCTCGATGTGTCGAAGTAAAATGAAAGTCCCGATTTTTTTCCCTTATATATTCCTCATAAAAACCTATTGATGAGTCGAGATTTTATGTGTCGAGTTTTTCGATGTGTCGAAGTATTTTTGTGGTCCGTATAGAATAAATCTAGTACAATTTACCACAAATAAGTCGAAGTTCTTCGGTTATTTTGACACCTTCGACCTCGAGACATTTTCACACCTTTTCTAGTCGCGAAAACAATTTCCGATCAACTTTAGCGTCAGGAGTTAATTACACAGTCGAGTGTTCAAACAGCCTTTGTATGCGTTTAAATGTGTAAAAAAAATGCTTTAATCATGACTATTTTAATTGCCGTAGCGGTATTTGAAAGTACATGTAAACAGTAATCACTATCATTTGAGTTCTTCCATGACCCGGTGTCGCGTGATTATCACACGCGAAATATTTACTATAAGCTGGTTAAGTTATTACCCTTTCGTATTGTAACGCCTTTTGTTACTTCATTGTATACGTCAACAGGGAGTCCAAATCATTAGCCGTAAAAAGTTACTTAACATGTCATATTTATCATTGTATAATGTAAAATATCAGATTAATGAATGAAAGAAAAAACATGAAATAGGTAACGTTATATATCTTATAATTAGGGCTAGTCACGGGTTGAAATTTTGTCATGAAATTCAGACCGATTCATGAGTCGAAGTCCCGATGTGTCGAAGTTTTTACACAGTCCCTCCAACTTCGACTTACCGAAGTTCTACTGTATTAAAATTTGTTGCTTATTATTAAGAAATATTGAATTTTGATAATGTTTAATTAGCATTAAATTTTGTTGCTATTAAGTAGTATAAAAGTAATATACTGTTTATTAAGTAGTATTAAGTTCTGAAAAAAAGAGCAAAAATAGGTGTGAATTTACCAAACATAGAGACACTTGTCATTTAACAGGCCTGTATTTGTTGTAGTTAAGTTAATTTTCAAATATTGGAAAATATATTAACATTATCTATTCTTGTACTTTAACAAAAATCTTATAAATAAGATAGCGGAAGAATTACTTTAAAGGAAGTCGACAATTTCCAAGAAAAATGATGTATTTATGTTTGAATAACAAATTTTCAGAAACGAATCAAGGATCACAAGTACAGATGTCTAGAAGACCTTGAAGATGATATCTATACACTATGTCAAAATGCTCAACTCTATAATGTTGAGGGGTCTCAGGTAATGTACTGTATGATTTATTACATATTCTTTCAACTTGATTTCTAGATTGGAGACCTCACCATTATATGTTTGACAATTATGGGAATTCAATTTCATGGTAATAAGCTAGCAAAAGAATTTTAAAAGCTAAGTTTTATGATGATATTTGTAACAAATGTTATCCATTATCTGAAGTACATGTAAACTTAAGTTTCTATATATCTATTAACACTTATTTTACTATTTATATATTATGCTGAATTCAGATAGTCACATATTCATTGATAAAATAAGTAGTTTGTTTGTTTATATGGTTATTACACTGATTTCATCACAATTTTGGTAATAGCTCGGCAGTCAGTTCACCTAACCCTTTCTGGATCAATATGTAATAACCAGTTTCTCTGCTTGTGACCCATTACTGATCTGAATTAGCAGTGAGAGAAAAATGATCATTAGACTGAATGTCTGATTTCAATAGTCATGAAGAAATTTGGCGCAGTATGAGAATTGAACCATCAATTTCTTTATTAAAATTCTGATTGTCTTTTTATTGTGCTAAGTAGGAGGTGTTGTGTGTTTTATAGTTTGTTATCAAAGAAATTATTTTACCATAATCAAATATACATGTACATTTGTATATATTTTTGAAATGACCTGTTTGTGAATAAGTTAGATGAAAAATATGTTTTTACAGATCTACGAGGATTCAATAGTGTTACAGTCAGTGTTAACAAATGCTAAGGAAAGGATGATGAAAGACAGTAGTGATTCTAGTGATGATTCCAGTGATGATGACAGTGATAGTGATAGTGATGACAGTAGTGATGGTGATGATACAGACAGTATGTACCTTCATTATTATATCACTTTCATTATACCAAATAATTAGTTGAAAGTTGTACTTTATAGTTATAGGATTTGTAGTAATATGAAGATGCTTTATTTAATCTTTGACCTGATATATTATTTACCTATGATCTTTATTTAGTGTAAGTCTTGTATAAAAAAGTATTATTTAACTTAAAAAAAGCTATCCAGCAGTTTCCAGTGTGCCTATTGTCATTATTGTAAAAGTAAATAGAAAGGGCATCTATAATGAAAGCTTGACATGTCTTTAATCCTTAATTAAACTTGATGACTATAAATTGTACAATAAAATGATTCCTATAATATGATATTTGATGCTATATCTGTTTAGCTTTAAAACCTGATCTATACATTTTAAATTTTGATAATTGATAGGATTGAACAGTCATACTAGACGTCTACTATCTAGTAAGATTTGTATATTTGGTATGACATATTTATTTATTTGAACTTAAGTGGTTACAGGCATCAGTATAGAGCTATAAGGCCAGTGGAAACATTTATACAGTCTGATCAGATTCTAGACTGCATGATTCAAAATCTCTAAAATTATTTTTTAACAATCCCCATTACAAGTGAGACAAGTCCTTTACACAGAATGTGCAGGGTAAGGGTGTTTGTAATGTATTACAGTATTATCAGTATATTACATTTATGTTAGCAATTGCTAAACTTTACTTTATTCTGTTTTACAGCTCAGTCTACAAAATCAAAAAGTAAAGAAAAAGAGAAAGATAAATCAAAAGAAAAAGATAAAACAAAGGTGAGGAAGGAACATGTTTACCACAATTGTTTATAATTTTCATTTCTGGAACAAGTTGTAAAGGTGTCAGGCAGATTATATGGTTTAGTATCAACGGTTATTAACTAATATAACCTGTGCCGAGATGAGGGTTATATTGCAAACAAGCGTTTATGTACGACCATATAACACTGTCCGACATCTTTTTAACTAACTTATAATTCAGCATAATTTTTTTATTAAAGAAAAACGAAAATCACATTATAAATCGACAGCAGCCGTGTTTATAAATTATATGAAAGTCACGATTACCCAATTAAAAGCTATGTTACAAATATTGAGTATTATAAATGTTGTTTAACATGGATCATCATGGAATATGTTTACATAATTTAATATACTGAAATTCACTTTAATAAAACAATTGTTTCTGTTTATTTTATAAGAACATTTAGTATTTGGCTGAGGGTTATTTTTTTAAAACTTATACTGATGTTTCATTTTGTTTTTAGCTCACCTGTCACAAAGTGACAGTGTGAGCTTTTGTGATCGCTTTTCGTCCGGCGTCCGTCCGTCTGTCCGTAAACTTTTACTTTAAATGACATCTCCTCATAAACCATTAAGCCAATTTCATCCAAACTTTACAGGAATGTTCCTTTGGTGGTCACCTTTAAAAATTGTTCAAAGAATTTAATTCCATGCAGAACTCTGGTTGCCATGGCAACCGGAAGAAAAAACTTTAAATATCTTCTTTTAAAAAAACCAAAGAGCTAGAGCTTAGATATTTGGCATGAATCATCTTCTAGTGAGTGTCTACCAAGTTTGTTTAAATAAAAGCCCTGGGATCAAAATTGGCCCTGCCCCAGGGGGTCATTGATTTTCCCTATATGCATTTAGTAAAAACTTAAAAAATCTTCATTTAAAGAACCCAAAGAGCTAGAGCTAAGATATTTAGCATGAAGCATGTTCTAATGGGTGTCTACCAAGTTTGTTCAAATAAAAGCCCTAGGGTCAAAATTGGCCCCGCCCCAGGGGGTCATTGATTTTCCCTATATGCATATAGCAAAAACTTAAAAAATCTTCTTTTAAAGAACTCAAAGAGCTAGAGCTAAGATATTTAGCATGAAACATGTTCTAATGGGTGTCTACCAAGTTTGTTCAAATAAAAGTCCTGGGGTCAAAATTGGCCCCGCCCCGGGGGTCATTGATTTTCTTTATATGTGTATAGCAAAAACTTAAAAAATCTTCTTTGAAAAAACCCAAATAGCTAGAGTTTAGATATTAAGCATGAAACATCTTTTAGTGAGTGTCTACAAAGTTTTTTCAAATGAAAGCCCTGGGGTCAAAATTGGCCCCGTCCCGGGGGTCATTGATTTTCCTTATTTGTGTATAGCAAAAACTTAAAAATCTTCTTTGAAAAAACCCAAATAGCTAGAGTTTAGATATTAAACATGCAACATCTTCTAGTAAGTGTCTACAAAGTTTGTTCAAATAAAAGCCCTGGGGTCAAAACTGGCCCCGCCCAAGGGGTGTCATTCTTTTGAACTATATGTGTAAAGTAAAAACTTAAAAAATCTTCTTTTAAAAAACCCAAATAAGCTAGAGCTTAGATGTTTAGCATGAAACATCTTCTTATGGGTGTCTACCAAGTTTTTTCAAATAAAAGCCTTTGGGTTAAAATTGGCCCTGCCGGGGGGGGGTGGTGAGAGGAGAAGGTCATTTTTTTTATTATATGTGTGTAGTAAAAACTTAAACTGGCCCTGCTCCGGGGGCCTATATACAGGTGAGCGACCTCAGGGCCATCATGGCCCTCTTGTTTACATGTTAATGGTGTTTAACATAAAAATTTATCAAGAGAAATTAAATGTTTAAGTTTTGTGTATTTACAGACCAAGACGCCAATGAAAACTCCGGTCCCTTCAGGCAAACGGACAACACCCCCTCGTGGTAGGCCACGCCCAGTTATCAGTGATGATGAAGATGATGACGAAGATGAAGATTAGAAATATTCTGTATAACTTTATACATGACCACTGTCTGGTCATCATTACTGACAGGAATAAATGATCAGTGCGAGACAACAATTTAAAGTACCAGTCAATTGGTACTAAAGTTATTAGGGCTTATAGTGTAAATAGTGTTTGAAAGAGGTGAACCAGGGAGGCCATGTGTAGTTATATGATGTGCAATTTGTTTATTAGATACATTAAGACATACTTCTGTATGGATATATATATTTAGTTATGAATAATCCATTAATTGCTTCATTTTATTAGTTATTTATCACACCATGCTGTTAAATGGTAAAACATCATTAACATTATATACAGTGTATGTTGATCATATATGCTGTCAATCACATGCTTTATGAAACCTTTCAGACAAGTACAGATATGATACATAAGTAAAATTGTTACTAGGTTAAAAATGACCAGACCAGAATGTTGCGTTTTATTTGAGCTGGCATTCCTGTGGTATGATAATTGAGTTATTTACAAAATAAATCGTATCATGCAGTCATGTTAAAGGTTTTGAGCTTCAATATTAAATGACTGCTTTCATCTCGTAGCTGTATAGAAATATTTCATTTACAAAAGTGCATTCAGAGAACATTTTTACACTCCTTAAAGACTTGTCAGTAAAATTTATTGCTATTGTTTGCTTATATATTACATCATCATTGTGTTGTTTTGTCAGGAGTATGTTACTGGGAAACAATAATTCAGATATTTGATCTATTGTGCTGTAAATTATGTTTGTGTTAAAATCGGTTTCTGATGTTACACAGTAAAATTGTAACTATCAAGTGTTATGTCGATGTGAATGTATTTCTTGTAATAAATGGAAAGAAATTTTATGATAAAAGTTCCTTGTTCTATTGTGTTCATATTTGTAAAGTATGAGACAGCTGTAAATCTCTTGTTTCTTTTCCCCCTTTGTGAATCATTCCAGAATACATACTGACCATAAGAACCGAATCATTTTAGCTCACCTGAGCACAAATTGCTCAAGGGTGAATTTTTAGGATCACTCTGCCCAAGTCATGCTTATAAATGGTGTTAAATGTTTTCTTTCCTTCAATGTTACTTGTATGAAGCTCTTTAAAAATTGCTCAAAGATTTCCATTCCATGCTAAATTCTGGTACATTGATCTTCCTTATATGTATATAGTTAAACCAAGCTATGAAACATTGTCTTGTGGACCTCTACAAAAATTGTTCAAATTATAGCACTGTGTCAAAATTTGCCATGTCCTGGGGGAACATAGTTTTTTCTCATGTGTATATAGTAAAAGCCTTTTTAAAAAAAAAAGATTCTCGTCTAAAACTACAAGATCTAAAGCTTAGTTTTCTGACACAAGACATTATCTAGTAGACCTCTACTAAGTTTGTTAAAAGTGTAGCTCTTTGGTCAATATTGAAACTGCTCCAGGTGTCGTGGCTTTTCCGTGATAAATACTTCATCCCGATTTTGCGAATTTTCTGTAAAAATGGTATTGCATATATTTTGGTGTAAAGACGCTCTAAATCATTTCATGGATATCCATTGCAACCGGTGACTTTCTGCAGCAACCATTGACTTCCATAGCAAACAGTGACTTGAAATAGCAAATTTTGACACTCATAGTAACCATTGACTTTCCATAGTTATCATTGACCTTGCATAGCAACCATTGAATTCCATAGCAACCAGTGGCTTTGAAGCAGCCATTGACTTTTCATAGCTAACTGTAAATTTCTATAACAATCAGTGACTTTCATAGCAAACATTAAATTTCCTTAACAATGAGTGAATCTGTCAATGACTTCCAAAGTACCATTCATTTTGTAAAGCAACCAGGGACTAGCAATAGCAACCAGTAATGTTTACGCTGCACTATTTCAGATACAAATATGAACTTTGTGATATCAGTTTAATATTTAGATTATACATGTATGTCTGCTTTCGTTTATAGTTTACAATGTTACTTGTATTTATATTCAGGTGACCTAAACTGTGTCGATGTGACGTAAAACCCAAAAAAACAAAACAAACACATATTCAGGTGAGCGATGTTAGGGCCACTATGGCCCTCTTGTTTGTTTGGTATATGCATTGTGTCTGCCCCTTGTTTATATTATAACTAGCCTGATCTTTGCAGGCTATAATGACATTACTTAAATACTGATCGAGATAATTTTTTTCCATTTGCTATTTTTCTCTTTATCAAATTATTAATTTACAAGAAATGCAGATAAATAAGAAAACACCAACTTATTTTTTTTGCTCTCACTCTGTGTCCATTTCCATATAGAAAACCTATATTAAAATCTTAACCTGAGAAACACGAATGCTCAGAGCCCAGATATTTGTTTTAACATTTCCTGAAGACAACTGCAAATGTTTTATAAATTATGCAACTGTGGTAAAAAATTAAGTCTATGTCCCAAGTTACTCAACATTCAATTTCTACCTGTGCATTTGGGTGAGCGATCAAGGGCCACGATGACCCCCTTGCTTCTTTTCTATTGGTCATGAGGTGTAAACAATTATCGTACAAACTCCGGTTAGCTTACTAGGTAGTGTTTGACTGTGTATCGGGCGACCTAAGTTCGATTCCCAGACGGTGCAGGTCACTTTCATTGTGATTAATCATTTAATCAATCCTTTCTACGGTCATTTGCACTGTATCTTTGCTTATCAGTTCCTTGCGAAGGCAAGAAGTACTGGTGAACTGGTTGATAGCCTGCCCAGAAACGATGCGTGGCTGAACTGTGCTCTGTTTAATTCAGCTTACTGTCGTGATCCGAAGTGAAAACTACCACCACAACAAGTTATAGAGCACACTTCAAACAAAATGTTTCCATTTAATGGATAAGAAAAATTGGGATGTCAAATACTTACAATATCAAACTTATGACTGTTCATTAATGGTCAGGTTCATGGCCGTAGGGCACAGCATATATACCCCCAACCCCCCCCCCCCCCCCTGAAGAAATTGAAGAAGTAGGTAGAAAAGGCTTCGGTCCTGCTCTTTAAATATGTAATCGAATCATGGCCCGATTCTTTGTTTCTGAGAGCTAACGCCTCCGGTAACAGCATTTTCCTCGGAATACGTTCACAAACCCACTTGTTATTTCTATACTGTTATTCTTGTTTAGAAAATGAACACAGAACAAGATAACGGAACCAAGATGTTTTTTTTTTTAATTTTTACAAACAGCACTATACACTAACTATTTTTTATATAAATTAATGGAGTTCTCTACAATCAAACTTGTAAGTGATATCTGAAAAGTCGAATTAAAAGAAAGGTGCATTATATTATCAAAATGTCATTCAATAATTTCGTAGGCACAACTTGGTGAAAACTTGTAAGAGAGTTGTATAACCATATCACAAGCCCATGCTGTCCAACTCCCTTTGCATCTGACACAAGGCACAAAGGTAACAGCACGATAGGGACAGGTAATCCTCGCATATGGAACCCTGAAATTATAGAAATAAATCTGGTGAGATCCTATGAAAATTGCCTACTCGGTTAGATTGAGACTGTTGTGAAAGTGAAACATCTCTTACGCCCTCCTAGCGTTAATTAAGCGGTATTCCATCTTCAACACTTATATGCTTGGATCAGTGATCCCGAAGGGCCATAAAAATATAACAAAACTGAAATGACAATCTTTCACCGCTGCTGCACGACACTTGACACCTGATGCTGTGAAGTACAAATGAGCCGTGTCACGACAAAACCAACATAATGGGTTTGCGACCAGCATGGATCCAGACCAGCCTGCGCATCCGCGCAGTCTGATCAGGATCCATGCTGTTCGCTTACAAACCCTATTACAAGTACAGAAACTGATAGCGAACAGCATGGATCCTGATCAGACTGCGCGGATGCGCAGGCTGGTCTGGATCCATGCTGGTCGCAAACCCACTATGTTGGTTTTGTCGTGATACGGGACAAAACCAACATAATGGGTTTGCATGGACCAGCATGGATCCAGACCAGCCTGCGCATCCGCGCAGTCTGATCAGGATCCATGCTGTTCGCTTACAAGCCCTATTACAAGTACAGAAACTGATAGCGAACAGCATGGATCCTGATCAGACTGCGCGGATGCGCAGGCTGGTCTGGATCCATGCTGGTCGCAAACCCACTATGTTGGTTTTGTCGTGACACGGCTCAAATGTATAAATGGGATACCCATCGGAAGCAAGGAAAACCTGAAAATTGCGTACTTGGTTTGATTGAGTCTGTTTCTTGAGTGAAAAACAAAACCACATTTCAACTTTATTTGTACTTTTTTTGTCAATCTTTAGAGAATTTTGTCAGAGGTGTTTTTTTGCCGTTTGTTTGAATGTTAGGGCTGGAAAGTTATAAGCCTAAGTACAACAGTTTTATTAAATATTCAATTACTTTGTATGGTTCAAGTACTTGTGGAGTAGTAGACTTATGTAAGGGTATGAAAACGTTATTCATTTATATGAATATAGATAATGTACACTAATAAATAGATTTAACAAAGGAGATATTGTACACACTATGTATATAAATTGCAACACTTGTCGTATAATATATTTTGCTGACCTGTATTCCACCAAGTGTTCGTAGTCGTGCTCTGATTGCCAGCAGACCTCCTGGTACACAACATGTCACACATACGTTCTCACCTGTTCTCCTCGAAATGTCCATCAGAACTAACTCCTGACAAAACACTGCTAAACAACCTGCATTTACCAACAAAGACAAAATATATGTTACATCATATAATTAAGTTTTACATACATGTATTAAAACAATTTCATTAGATACGAGGGCTTCATACCTCTCCATGTGGTAATTTGACTTCCGATGAAAGTTATAATATATATGGCGTAAAATCAATTACTGTCGTAAATTTTTGCAAAATCTATTGAAATAGTATCTTTATACTTTGATCTTCTGTTATAAAAGATAGAAGTAGGTCTAACACTTTGAATTTTAGTGTCGCCGTGCGACAGGCTCGAATTTGTTTGAAAAAAAAATGTTACAGTCTCAATGTAGAGGTTATTGACCTTCAAATTTAACACAAAAGGCTTTAAGAGAAACAAGATATCTGAAAGTAGAAAATATTTGCATTTCTTTTTGTTCTTCTAGGAAGAATTATTAATCTTTAAGATCACTTCATATACAAAAAAAGTAAAAAAAAAACAACAAAAACTTGTGGAATCTTATATAGCTGTTTTCGTAATTACAATAACTCATTTTTTTCATTGTATTATTCCATTTTATTTTGCCGTAGCCATTCTTTACAAATTAACAAAGGCATTTGTTTAACGACATCAGACTGGAACCTTGGAACAACTATCTAGTAATATTATACCTTACGTAAATGTGTCCCTCCTTTACTTATGTCATCGGGCCTTTAAAGTTTACAAATATTATATTTCAGGTTAGCGTCAACGGTCCGATAAAATGTCAAATTAGTGGCCGCCTGAACGAAGAAGGTTTTACAAAACATGTATTATACTTCAAGTTTTCAGCACACTTTACATGATATATGTTGTTGTTTTAGCAATGATGTTTCTTTTTCAAAACAGCTCTGAACATATTTCGATAGGTGCGGTGTAAATAAGAAATAACACACCCTTGTTAGGACCTCAAAGCATTTTAGTGCACCATTCAACCCCAAATACTGTACGGTTCTCAGCCATAACATGTTCACGGTCTAACTGAATGCTAGGAGGCCCTAATTGTCATGCACTAATTCTTAACTGAAACCAGAACCATTTCGTCGGAAAAATAATATCGAGAAGAGATTCCTAACTGTCCGAAGTCTAATAGCTGATGCTTAATAGATATCAAATAAACTTTAGATAAACTTTAGACCAAGCAGTTACTTTTTTCTTCGTGAAAAAAACAAACAAAAACTTATTACCTACTGCGACCTATTGCTTAGTATGGGGCATATAAGAACTTTTTGAAGAAATCTGGCACAGATTTAAGAAAAGGGAAGTTCCTGTCAATTTTCATGTAATTTAGTTAAGTTATTAAGTATAACTAATTTGAATACAATCTTGAAGAACGAATCGCGCGCGACTTCTGACAGCGGACGAATGTTAAGAAACGGATCACTTTGAGTTAAGCTGAATCGATTAACTTTTTATAATATGGATCTGTATGGTCATCCGTATACAGTCAGACATACACCCCTGTGCAGACTAACTAAAAATCATTGGCAGTTTGATATTGATTTCCATTATAACTTGAAAAGTATAAATTTCCATATTCATTCCTGGAAAATTCCATTGCATAATTTAAGAAAGATACAATCGATTCAACTGATTAAAAATGCCGTACAATTAGTGACGTCATCTCCACAAGCGAACATTCCAGAGCTCCAGCCTCTATGGCCCTCCCTGCTACACACAAGTTTGCCAGGCGCTTGTTGAGGTTGTTGCAGCACAACTGTTGTTGTCATAGGAGCAGGGTACATATTTGGAACTTGTTGATTAACAACAACACTGCTTTCCGGGTAAACGCTCACTATAATTTTAAGACCAGATAAAACGTTACTTTTTATACATCCTAAAAATATTGGAAGTTTATGAAAGCTTCTTAAAGTTTTCTTCTGATTTTTTTTGACATGGCGGGACTTGAAATATTTTTTTTCGAAATTAATATTCCTTTTCATATAGTTCTAAACCAATAAATTGTGTGCAAATGTTTAGATCATTTGCTCGCTCCGTTTTTCTTGAATTGGAATACTTATTTTAATTGTGAAAAAAGACAAATAATTGAAAAGTGTTGCGAATCAGGCTAAGAATAGCGCAAAAATAAGATTTTAATTTATCTCCATTATCTTTTGCGTATATTTCTGTTTTAGTGCTCCAGTTGATTTCAAATTTTATGTTTTAGGCTTTTTGTCCCTCAATGGAGCTACTTTTAATAACAGTCAATAATTTGCAGCTTTTTTTTTAATGAGCGAAAGTATTAATTAATTAATTAATTTTTTATTTATTCAAATGTTTATTTATTCATATGTGTATTTATTCACAATTTTAAATAGAATTTGTTCAAATGAACTTTTTGATTTATTATAAACAAAATGTCTACTTACTGCTTACTGTTTGTAGCTATTCCACTCAAATGTTGCCGCACGATCGTTACTTCTGCATGTTTCAATGCGCATAACGGTGCATGGGCACAGGTATTGATATAATAGTCTGATAATCTGCAATATTTGCGTTTTTAAAAAACTTATCTGCAATTATTTGTATTATTATTGTTATCGCCAATATCAAGATACATGAAGTAACATGGTATTATTTATCTAGGTACCGAGGGTACTTGTTTTATAGCAAATGATCGAATAGATATGACTTTTTTAAACTAAATTTAATAATATTCATTCTTTTTTTATTGGTAAAGTTTTTCAACGTATCATAATTGTAAGGTTAGTGGATAGTGGTTATTGTGAAGCTTTCAGTAATTTTAAAGTAAAGATTTTATCTCCTCAAAACTTTTGTAAATTTCCTTTAAGGTAAAATATGCGTAAATACAAAATATGGAAGAAATTTTGATTTAAAGCAAGGTGCGCATTCAATGGCAGTATTTTTTTCAGGGTATTGGAAGTTTATATTACATTATTTAAGGATACAATCCCGTTGTTTTGACCTCCTGTTATAATATAATTTACCGTTCATTTATTCTTATATTTAGTACAGTTTTGACAATTTTATCTACTAAAGCATTTGTTATGAACTTTGTTATTAGCCCACTTCTCAACTCACATACAACTATTACACCTATCATTCGAAAATAGAAACAAGTTTGAAAATTGAGTGTTGCTAAACAGTAACTGATACATATACAATGATATTGATGAGACAATGATATTAAACATTGTATGGTATCTACTTTTAAAATATATAACAAATAGTATCAAGGTTAATGGTATTAAAGAAAAACAACAAAATAACTTTCGAAAACATTTTCAACAAAAGCACGCTGTCGCCGTAAATGACACAAGTGCTACATCATATTGTCGCAAGATTAACATTTTTAAAAAAATCGTCCGATTGCGAACATAAGTTTGCAACAAAAACACATTCTAAAGTAAGCTCTTTGTATTTTTACAAACAAATAAAATACAAAACAGTCGTGTCTCCTAAATCGCATGTATATACGTCGTTACCTTTTCGATACAAAACACAGGACATGTTTAAACATGATCAATTACTTAAAACACATTGTAGAAACGATGTACAATACAATTTTAACAAATAAATTTGTATGAATTTATTTAGTTGAGAACACTGATTTTTCTCCAAAATACTTGTCAAACATTTCCGCATACCATTCAGCACAATATAATTATTGGACGAAAAAGAAAAAGAACAAAAAACCTGTCTAAAGTTGACAAAAATACAGAAACCATTGGTTGCTGATTTCAGACAGCACGTGTAATTAGTAAAGCAACAATATAAAGCTATTGAGGACTTGAAGGAACATCTTTCAGACTTCAAGACTTTGCTGAAAGTTTCTCTTGTACGGTTGTCGAAGGTGTTCAGAGTGCTAAATCGACCCAGAATTCTATTACATTTTATCCAGTCTTTGTATATTATAGATAAAATGCGGGGAGCTTAAAACAATATATATTTTCAACTGACGATGTAAGTCATAATAGAGGTATGCTGTCATCAAAAGAAGATGTAATTGCGGACGTAAAGCAAGTTCTCAAGTGCGACTTTCTTAGAAACTCACAATATGGGGACAGAACAGCTTTCACATAATTAATTGCATGGACCGAATATTCGTAAGTTATATGTTCAAGGACTTTGAAAGCTTACAAATTCATAAAATAATATAAAACATAATGCCTGTCATTCACAAAGTATTTTCTGGCCTTACGCTATATATTTCTTTAGGAAATTTATAAATGAAAATGTTATCTTTTAAACCTTTCAATATATTGACTCAGTCGACGAACACATATTACTAATCATAACATCTATGATTATCCAAAAGCAGAAAATGCAACTTAGATAATTATGATGTTCTTTAAACTTTAAACTTGTTATTTTGCCTAGGTAAAGGCGCATACATGTACTTTGTAATCTACGTTACACTTTTCAAAGTTTGTTTGCATTGTTGTATGCAGCATACAAAGTATATTTTAAAGTCAAATATTGTCTTATATTAAAATATCGTGCTTAAAGTTTATATAAAATCTACAAAATATACACAGCAATGAGTTTATTTTTGAACCTTGAATATTAAATTGAGGAAAAACGCATCAAATCATTATCTAGCAAATTAAAGTTGGATGTTCATTGTTATAAAGAAGACATAAGATATACATTTTATCAACATAACTTGTATGTCTAAAGTAAATGTAACGCAAATAACGCTTCATAAAAGTATCAAATTGCTTCATTGCTTCAATGCTTCAATGACAGTTTTGCCGATAATAATCGGAGTTTAGAGCTATTACTTTGCACATATTTAAATTATGCCACAAAATACGTTCAATTATTAATATTTGATTAATGTAATTGGATACAAATTATCATTTGGTCAATGCAATTTGGTTATTGTAAGTTAAGTCTATCTTGTAAGAACAGGTGATTATGTCTTTGTATTAAGCATCCAATTAGCTTCCTTGTTGGACAAGCAACGCTAGAGAAAATATTAACTATCGTGATGGTTTGTGCGAGGAAATGCAGTTCCTGTATAATCCATAAAATGTTGCGTTGTGTTTTAATACAGATTGGCGTATTTCATTGTCAATACATACATGAATATGATGAGGACTAAATTGCTTCAAATATTTTCTCCCATACCACTACGGGTTCGAATCCTACCAAGCCTTTGGATTCTTTCATGTTAGCAAATAGCAATCCTAACGGAAGGTCGGTGGTTCTACTGCGGTGCCCACTCATACATGAAATAAAGCTATATGTGGTCTCCCTCCAACAGTAAGACTGAACAGTTGCTACACGAGTATTTATCAGGCTAAATATTTACTGTTATTCAGTGCTGATTGGGTACATGCATAAAAATAAAAAAAGGTTAGACTCTATCACCCCGCTACATGTTCGTATATGCACAAGGAACTCGGATTTACTTACGCAATGAAAAGGATTTTCGTTTCAACCTATGAAGGTTATGCACACTGTGATGCAAAATAACAGACGAGGAGAGATATATTTCAAGAAAATCACAAAGCATATATTAAAGTTCGCGCTTTGCTTCGCTTTGCCGCGCTTGATATAAATCAGATTTAGACAGTCTCTGGTTATTTAAATATGAGCATGTTTCAAAGATGTTTCAAGTGCCTAAACAGTATATCCAAAGAAGCTTTCCGCAGTGGATAGGTTTTTTTAGTTCGGAACATTCAATTTAGGTAGCCTAGTTGTTTTCCGATTTTTTTGTTAGAGTCGTTTCACTTCGTTAAATGTTTGTACAAAAATTTCTGTAACTTTGATTGTTATTTAAATATTTTAATTTTGAATTATTAGTTCAGTTTAATAATAGATAACCAGACTTGTTTGATATTCTCTGTATATCAGAAATAAGATAACATAGGTTAACTTTAAAGGTTGCTATTGTGCTGATAGTCGATTAAAATACAGACCCTCTTTGAACAATGTTTATGACAGTTGACTTTAAAGTACTTGTCCCTCAATGTGGCGAGTTCTGTTTCCGTTATGGACTTTGAATTACATTGTATATCATTTGTAAAGAGTTATCCAGCTAGCCTACATAAGGTCGGTAGTTGTATTAAGTTACCCGCTCGAGTTGATTTTCAACGACATCCGCCGTGTCGCAGTGACTCAAAATTATCCAATAGAATGAATTATAACAAAAATGCACAGTCATTATTTTATCTAAAGCCTACCACTGAAGTGTGGGTTTGCATTTGTACAGACGGTACAAAAAATCATACATTCTTTGTTATCAAAAGGTTACATAATCTAGGTTTTATCGACATTGTGTTGTGCTACATACCCATTAGCTTGTCAAAAGTATCGTTATAAATAGTTTATCTTCTGAATTGTGAAGAGCAATCATAAAACCTTTATCTAAATAATATAATTAGGTTACAGATATTTTATGCTCAAATTTGATACTTGAAAATACTGAAAACTGCTAAATAGTCTTTTTTTAATGTAAATAATCATCATTTGAGTACCCACAGAGAAGATATGTTATGTTTTAAACTTTTCACTCTTAAGGTAAATACAGAATGAATTCATAATGTCATTAAAACACTAGTATTTTTAAAGGACAAAAGTGATTGGTCGGTATTAGGAAATTCAGCTTCCCAACCTTTTTTTTTCAAATTAGAAGTATTCAGTCAGAATTTACTATATTTCAAAACATTTCTACAATAAAAGTATTTTACAGAACGATGAGCATGGTATTTCTTTAAATGTTGATTATGATTGAAAACTTGTAAATAGTCACAAAACTTCCGACATGATCATTTGTAAGGATGAAAAGAAAACGATATAAGGTATGTTTTTCATAAAACATCGACGGTTATTTTTTTACGTGAATATTGTAACAAAGTATAATCCTAAACTATAAACAATGTATCATAATTATTAAGATTAAGGTGGTTTATAAATTAACAAATCTGTAAAATCAAGCAAATATTCTTCTACGGCACACTTACTTAGATGTAGCGTTTATCTTTGGCAAACTCAATAATTAAAAATAAAATGGCGTGACGTGAATTCATGATATAAAAACTGTCAATTCATAACGTTTTTTATCTTATCAAATGTTCTCATAATTTATCTGAATATTTAATGATATGAAACAGATCAGTGCTAAAACACACTATCTAGTCGTAGTTCTGTTAGAGCTTTTAAATGATTTTAATAGTTTCAATTGATATTCATTTTGAAGTTTAGGCATGCAACATGTTGTATAAAAGCCATTTAAGGTTTTGATCTTTTTTATCTTTTAATCTAGCTGCGAGACATGTTGGATAAATTTTGTCTTGATATAGAAATTCATGAAAATAATATAAAGATAGATAACAAAATTGTAATAAAAACATTGAAACTGAAAAAAAATGACAAAAAACTAGGACGGTCTAAAAAATATTGCATTTACAACATGCAATGGATATTGTAATAAAATGTGTGAATAAAGACTTTTATAAAGAAAAGACAACAATTTTGCTGGTCACAGTCCCATATGATCCAACTCTCGGTGCATCTGACACAAGGTACAGAAATAGCAACAGTACAGCGCCATATAATCATTGCATATTGAACCCTGAAATATAAATTAGAATATACATTATGAAAAGGAAACACAGGAAACTATTATCAGACAATGTATTTTATGACACATGCTTAAGTTCTAAATTGTCCCAACAATACTTATTTCTACAAAAAGATTCTATATCTCTCAAGAAAAGTCTTCGAAGTAGGTAGGAAGCTCCTTGTTCACATTTTTAAAATATAGGGGCACAGTTATCAGTTCGCGAAGCAAATATGACCTACCTGTATTTCACCTAAAGCACTCAGTCTAGCTCTAATGGCAACCAGACCTCCAGGGATACATGACCTGCCTGTATTCCACCTAAAGCACTCAGTCTAGCTCTAATGGCAACCAGACCTCCAGGGTTACATGACCTACCTGTATTCCACCTAAAAGCCCTCAGTCTCGCTCTAATGGCAACCAAACCTCCAGGGATACATGACCTACCTGTATTCCACCTAAAGCCCTCAGTCTCGCTCTAATGGCAACCAGACCTCCAGTGTTACATAACCTACTTGTATTCCACCTAAAGCCCTCAGTCTCGCTCTAATGGCAACCAGACCTCCAGGGATACATGACCTACTTGTATTCCACCTAAAGCCCTCAGTCTCGCTCTAATGGCAACCAGACCTCCAGGGATACATAACCTACTTGTATTCACCTAAAGCCCTCAGTCTCGCTCTAATGGCAACCAAACCTCCAGGGATACATGACCTACTTGTATTCCACCTAAAGCCCCCAGTCTAGCTCTAATGGCAACCGAACCTCCAGGGATACATGACCTACCTGTATTCCACCTAAAGCACTCAGTCTAGCTCTAATGGCAACCAAACCTCCAGAGATACATGACCTACCTGTATTCCACCTAAAGCCCTCAGTCTCGCTCTAATGGCAACCAGACCTCCAGGGATACATGACCTACTTGTATTCCACCTAAAGCCCCCAGTCTAGCTCTAATGCAACCAAAACCTCCAGGGATACATGACCTACCTGTATTCCACCTAAAGCACTCAGTCTAGCTCTAATGGCAACCAAACCTCCAGGGATACATGACCTACCTGTATTCCACCTAAAGCCCTCAGTCTAGCTCTAATGGCAACCAAACCTCCAGGGATACAGAACGGTACACAAACACTCTCTCCAGTTCTATGTGCAATGTCTGCCAAAACACATTCAGTGCATACTAGAGCCATGATACCTGTTCAAAAAATAAATTGTATTAAACAAAGATATAGAAACACCGATTAATAGACTATAATGCGTGGCGGCATAGCCGAGTGGTTAACGCGTCGGGCAGCTAAAGTAAGGATCCCTATTATGGGATTAAATCCCGTCAGGGGCAAGCCGTTGTTTACTTGAGATAGAAACTTTACACGCATTGCTCAGTAGTGGTTGGTTCCGGGAACGGATTCGAGAGTGTCTATCAGCTTATAGCTTCCTACACGATCGAACTAAAATACATTCTTTATAAACTAATGAATAATACAAAAAAGCAACAACGTAAAAGAAATATCAAACAAACACACATAGAGAAAAGATTAATAAATAACTCAAATATCAACATAAACACCGTACATTACTCATTCTCTTCCTTTATGTTTATACAATTTCACACTGTGATTTAGGTATGCAAAAAGAGTCTTTAGTGCTACAAGAACAGCAAGTGATTAAAAAAGACTACATTTTAAGCCTTTATTTTAAAGCGGAGACATGAGTTCACATACACTTTTTTCCGTCATCCATACATCCGAACAAGCCGGAACTCCAGTCTCTATGACCATTCATATTACCGACAAGCTTGCCGGTAACTGTCTGGGGTTGTTGTATAATAACGGTGGTATTTCCCTGACTGGGTTGCCCCTGCATGGCCTGACCAGCGGAATCCGCATGTTGAACGCTCATGGTTGTCTTAAAGTTCAAAGTAAATATAAATACATATATAGTGTTTCATTTTGCATATTATTTCTTTTAGCAACTTGATAAATATTTTATTACATGCTTACACATGGTGAAATACAAATACATGTGGTTTATTTATTTGAATGAAAAAAGCAATTCGGAATAAAAATAAATAACCTCAAAATTATATATTATAAATGTACTAGTTAACAACATTAGATATTAAGATTATTAAAAAAGACAGATCGTGATGTGATTTCTAAATAAAGTGTGAGATCAAAATAAAAAAATATTGTTAAAAGAACGTAAATTAGTTTTTGAAAATATTTTTGAAGATGACTTTATTTCCGAACCTACAGATTATTCGATTAGAATAGATAAATGCATATCTATAGACGACAGAAAACACTGTTTCTCGTGTAAATTATACATAAGATGAACGTTATGTTAATATATATTGCATTCATAAGGTGTGCTACAAAAATTAATATATTTTATTTAACACAAAGTATTCTATATTTGACGTGAATAAATTGAGTTAAAAATAAATTTTTACACCTGGCATTATCTCATTACCTTCATTTGAAGTGTTATTGACACATAAAATATGCGATAAGAAGTTTATGTTTTACATTATTTTCACAATTTATGGTCTGTAATAGCTCAGTACTTGAAGAGTAAGATACATGTCTTCGTTTGACACATATTTTCTACCGAAAAAAAAAAAAAAAAAAAAAAAAAAAAACCGATTTTTTTTCTATTGATTCAATACAATAAAAACATACAAGTGTATCTGATATCATAAACTGTTATACTAGTATTATTACCTTATGGTAGCCCCTAGAGAAATAATGCTAGACTGCTGTTTGCCTAAAATACTGGTGCAACCAATATTTTAACCATAGTGTACTTTAATTAAAAAACAGATATCCATTTTGAGTGCATTTTTGAAGATTAGTTCAAAGTGTATGAATATAATTATTATGATGGTCTATCGGCATGAGTGATTACTTACAAAGCATTTGAATTATAAATCGTGCATAATTATACTATAATGCAAAGAAACGATTAATATCTATTTCCATTTTAACATGCATATAAAAAAGAGAATTGATAAAACAATTTTGAACTACATTGAGCGTAGAAGTTATTTTCCTTACGTCATTTGGTTATTGACGTTTTATACTGCACGTTTGTAACGTCGCTTTTCATTGGATAGTCGTGACGTTTATATTATTAGTTATAAAGATTCTTGACAGGTTATATGGCCCTATATAAACGGTTGTTTGTATATATAACCCGAGCCGCAAGGCGAGGGTTATATTGCAAACAACCGTTTATATTCGGCCATATAACCTGTCAACAATCTTTATAACGAATTTATAATACTGCAAACTTCCTTTTTTAGAGAAAAAAGTGAGATTTCTTTATAAATTGACAGCAGCCGTGTATATAAAACTATATAAACGTCACGATTATCCAATGAAAAATGACGTTACAAACGTGCAGTATTATAAAGTTTTTTTTATAATACTGCACGTTTGTAACGTCGCTTTTCATTGGATAATCGTGACGTTTATATAGTTTTATATACACGGCTGTTGTCGATTCATGAAGAACTCTTACTTTTTTTCTAAAAAATGATGTTTGCTGTATTATAAATTCGTTATAAAGATTTTTGATAGGTTATATGGCCCTATATAAACGGCTGTTTGTTAATATAACCCGAGCCGCACTAAAAATTTTTCTCTAAAAATGATGCTTGCTGTATTATAAATTCGTTATAAAGATTGTTATCAGGTTATATGACCGTATATAACCGGCTGTTTGCAATATAACCCTCGCCTAACGGCTCGGGTTATATTTACAAATAGCCGTTTATATAGGGCCATACAACCTGTCAACGATCTTTACAACTAATAATATATGACATCATTCGCTTCCTTGTGTGGATCTCATATATAAAAGATAGGTTCTGGGAAATGCAGAATATAAATTATATTAATTTTTTATACGTTTATTTCTGTTAGCGCTTTCAATGTTTGTATATATCTTCAGACAGTAACGAATAATACATGTATATTCATAACAAATATCAATTGCATCACAATTTGATAACACTTAATTGATTAAATTAACAACAACTTACATATATTGTCATATATCATGTGTTGTTTGTCCTCATGGACATTTGGTCCGATTGATAATACTTGAAACTTATATATGTGTTTAATCCATCTGGGTGAATTCTTACACATCAACGATACATACAGTAAAACAGTTCTATTCTTTGTTTGGACAGTATCAACAGAACATATAGGACAGGAAAAGGTGAGAGAAAAACACTTGTATTTTGGTACATATATCAATATTGTATTATCGAATTTTAGAATCATTCTGATCTATACACATTTCTTACAAAACAAGAAAAAAATAATTCCTCACATTTTTAATGAAGTTATACAGAATATAATAGCACTTTTTCTGTTCATGTACTGCTACTTATTTTTCAGAATTTCCACCAAGAATTAAAATTCATGTCAAACGTTGAATTTTTTGTAACATAGTATTTCAAACCTAGAATAGTGAATTATGGAATAAATTAAAAAAATCGCACAATACTTATATAGGCGGTGATAAAAGAAGAATTAGCTCATATAAATAATCTCCTTCATTTCTTTTCAACATGAATCACAAAAATATCGCACATGTTTTTGTTGAAAAGGGTAGATCTAATATTAATATTTTATAAGAGATCCAATCATTGACAAAACTTTTTTTCATTTTAATCATATTCATTATTTTTGACCAATGATTTTTCTAAACTGCAAAATATTATAATTATTTTTTCAGAAAACAAAAAATCCTAAATGAAAAAGAACATTTCTAAACATCTTACCAGTCCAAGACGTAAATGCCGACTAGACGTTTTAACAATAAAACTGTTTTGTTTACATGTGAAGTAACCATGGACTTGCTATGTTTTCTTATTGGCTCACCTGAGCAAGTTCCTGGTTCCTGATAACGCTGTCGTGATTTTTTTATTACTCGATTTTAAGATAGATTGATATGGTAAGCTATAAAACTGAGATAAAGCTATAATTTTCAGTACTTATATCCAGAATAAATGTTCCTGATCAAACACGATAACAATCAATAATCAAAACAGTCCACATCATTGTCAAACACAAACAGAGACTAATCACTTACATTATTCTAATAAATACTAATAATCTACAAAAATGCTTTCAAAAAAGAAAATCAGCAGTTTTGTTAATTCATTTGCCAAGTATTTTATACATGTTAAGATGCTCCTGTATTTGTCAACACCTATAATAAAGAAATAAGTATTGTGCTTTTCTATAATGGGTTTTATGTCTGACATTAGGGTTTCAACTGTAGTCACTGTCTTCTATGATTATGTGTCAAGTATTCTCGATATTGTTAATGTGTAACTGCAGTAAGCCTCGAATCGGGATAGGTAACAAGGGGATTTATCATATCATTTATAGTCTTCCTTTATTTATAGAACTATTTCTATGTTGTGTATATATAAGGAACTCGATGTTTCAAAGTACACAATGTGAGAAAACTGCAAATTTGCGCCAACAAAAAGGCCAGATTTTATATATCACATGTAGATATGGATACAGTATTATGTTGTATATGTTTTTTAATATTACATATTTAATTTTGTTTTTCACTTGATCTTGGGTATCCAGGTGAGCTATTCACTTAAAATATTGTGTTTTTATCGGTCGTCAAAACATTGCTGATAATCACTAGCCTAGCAGATGGTGCATTGATCTTGTCCTATCAATAAATCTTGATAAATGAGAGTAGATTTCATAAATGCATGTATATTCTTTACAAAAAAATGTCTATCAATTGTATCATGTATGACAATTTGAATGCCTTTTTAACTATCAAATGAGAAGTTTTTCTAGGTTATACTATTCTTGATACTTTGTAAATGGAAGCAGCAATTCGAATATAATGGTAAGTTTTACTTTTTCTCTTTTTACATTCTTGTTGATAAAGTTGTACATGAGTTTTTGTTTCTCTACTGGCACCAAATAAGCAACACGATTTATATACAATAGTACATGTAGATGCTCGGCTAGTTTAAACATATTATTATACTTGCGCACTTTCGAGTCTGCTTCCCGACTCTAACCAGTTCTGGTGTCATATGATGAAACTTGTCATGATTCCAATTGACTTCAAACCCACAATCCTAGCTTGAGAGCCTAACATCTTAAATTCCAGGTCATCTCTTTTTCTCTTAACCGTAAAGTGAAATACTTTTGAGGACAAGGCTTCAGTGACTCAGTCTAATTAAGTTTTACAAAAATAGTCATTCGTCTAAATCCGAAAAAGTAATCAATGATTGCATGAACTCATAATACGTATAATTTATGTCCTTGTTACACATACATAGATATGTTCTAGGTCAATGGTCACAAATACATGACAACAAACTATAAAAAGAACATGCCACGATCTTTACATACGTTATTTTCACCAAACAGACAAGAACGATGGACCTTTCTCAGATGGAGATGACTCATCTAAAGTGATTGTAAAAAAAGAAAACGTCGCTGATTTATGCTTTAATAATACTCAAACTCAATCAACCGGCAAGTCCAGATACTTTGCTTTAATGTGTTATGCTAGCGAACTTGTGAATTTTGTCTTTGGATGAAACATTATATATGTATTAACAGAATACAACAATACATTTTTGTTTAGTAATTTTGTTTAATATGAATTCCTTATGATAAATAAAGAGCACATAGTAATATATACGAATATGACTATTTATATTTATGTTGCTAATTTATAACCAATTATATGTATAAGATATTTCAATGAGCACATGTAAACTATAACAATTAAAATTGTAATACGTCGCCGGCAAATTGTGATACTTCATTTGTCTCCTGTCAACACAGGTTATAAAAGAAAGACCAACTTTCACCTCATTCGTAGGTGGTATTTCATTTATTTTATGGCCTTGATGTAAGTTAGAAGATTGGCACGATTGATTGACTAATTGATATATGTGTAGTAGACTAAAAAAGAGCGTCTTATCCTCGTTGATATAATTTCTGTTTGTTTGTGTGAACAATTTTGAAAGATATCGGCATAAAAATAACATTTATCAGCAAACAAGTGTAATAATGATATTTGTTTAAAATTCTGATTGATATATCCGGGAATATATACATGTATATCACATATATTTTATAATATGATTTGACACATCATCGTTGATTGTGATACATATTTCTTATAGTCCCATATACTCAAGTTCTCGATGGATCTGACACATAGCACAAATGTGACAGCATTCTGTTACCATATAATCTTTACAAATGGATCCCTGAAAATAATATAATTTCTTTGAACATCATCTCAATGTGTACAACTACATCAATTTATAAGAACTTTGCAAGTTCAAATTTGATACTGTTTCCTTTGATATGTTGCTATTTATTGATCAGTATCATTTATTCAGTTATTCGTTAAAGGATAAACAGATGTAATTACAAAGACAATAGCTTTAAAACATGTTGAAATAAAGAGTTCGAGTAAACAGCGTTTGGTTTTGACCTAAAATCACATTAAATCAGTTATAATTAAACCAACTTTTATAACTTGTATAACTTTGTAACATAATTTAACTGTAAAATGGATAGGAATTTCTCCCTTCATCTCTATTAAAAAATAAATAGAAACAGATTCTCTACATGTGATATAACCTCAATCTGGTTTTGATATTCTTATTATTTCTAGTTTTCATTTAAATAAATTCTTGAGATAAATACAGTATCATAAATACCCTGATGCCACCAAGAGTTCGAACACGAGTTCTAACAGTAGCAAGACCACCAGGAACACAACATGTTACGAAAGCACATTCTCCTAGCCTGGCCGATATATCAGCCAACACACAACTTGGACACCACATCGCCCACATGCCTGAATGAATAAAACTTACAGTTATACATTTTTTACGAAAAACAACATAATTTATTATTATTTTGCAATATTTCTTACAGAAATTGTTTCAATGTACATTTGAAGAAGTCAAATATATTTACGTAATGTTTCACTATAGTCTTGTATTAAACTACCCTCATCTTATGAAATAAAGCTTTGCTGAAAGTGGCATTTTAAGTTACAAAGTAGTTTTGGTGACACCTTTTTAGCATATTTAGACATTTATTTGGTTATTTACATGGATTAAAAATGCCGTAAATTACTTTCTCTGTTCACTTGAAAATATTTTACTTTTTACTCAGTGCATGCAAGTTTTGTTTGATATACGTCAGTATGAACATATAGGGTTGCCTAGTATGTACTTTATAGCAGTGTCAAAAACTGGTAACTGTATACTAGATTTATTACAGACTATGAATGCTGATATCAGAAGCCAAAGTGGTAAATATTATTGTTATCTTGTAAATTAACTATTCATGTATATGTTAAACATTGTATATGTTCAGATTGATATCAAATTCATGTCAACTGGTAATAAGCAATCATAATATTCTTAGACACTGAGATATTGAATATATTTTGACTGTGTTTTAGCAAATACCAGTTGTACAACATACAAATATGTATAAATATGAGATATAAATAAACATTCGACTCATTAATTATATTGTATAGTTTTCAACTTTTCAATTACCACTAACGAAAGCAGCAGTCACACAATAGGCATTGAACACAACGACAAAAATGAATTTCTTCGGTGGCAATTATTTTGAAGGCTATATAATTATTCACTACAAATGACATGCTTTTCAATACTTCCTTTATGATTGAATGAGGCATATTTCAGAGAAATGAATGCTTCTATATACAAAGAAAAGAAAATCTACGATTCACAAACTGGTAATATAATTTAATGATTTTTTCCTCTACAATGTATATCATTGAAAATAAACGCAGTCGTAAGGTATTCGACAACGTCTTTCATTTTTCAGTAAAGAACCGAGCGTTAATAATTAGCCAGGAGTTTGCATTGAATGAATCAAATGAATTCGTAATTTTTCAGATAATAATTGAGTCATATAAATTATGACAACTCCGTTAAAATGTGAAGGAAACAACTTGATCATATTTTGAAAGACCTTAAATGTGAAGATTACAATACACCTTTTTATGATAGCATTGCTGGAATGTGAAAAAAGAACAACTCTGCCATACATGATAAAATACTATGAATATGTTAAGATGATAATAAACCTATACATGAAATGAAATTTTAATGTTAAGGTTTAAATAAACACGTTTAAACTATGGAGATTATATAACCAACTATTAAAAATAACTGTGATATTTTGTCACGTGACAACAACAGATTAAAATGAAATGGATTTTACATAACATACATTTTCCAACGTCATCAAAGCAAGAGAATAGCCCAGAGCTCCATTCCCTATGACCGTCCTTGGATCCAAGGATTCGATCATTCTGTACCGATGGTTGCTGATTGATTACAACAGTAGTAGTGTGTTGTGGAGGGGGCATCATATGTCCATGATCGAATGATGGGTTTGAGTGCATTTGACCTTGTGCGTATGGTTGATTGGTAGCTGGAGGTCCGTACATATGTGGGGGCGGACCGCGATCTTGTGGATGGTAACGAGGATCACGTTTATCATAGTCAGGTGGTGGACTACTCATTGTTTAAATCAGTTGTAGAGAGCAGAATCCTGAATAACAGTAACATGATAAATAAACTATGACTGCTCATCTTTGTTTACAGTAAACAATAAGTGAGAATCGTCAAGTTTCCCTTGCAGTCGAAAGAATCATACCATTTTGAGCAATATTATCAAATTTCTGATCATTTGCGCAGAATCGTTAAACATTGTGTTCTATATTTGATCAGTATCATTTAAAGAACAGTTTTTTCTCTGACCTGTTTCTTTTAATATTTAAGGAACTCCACTGATGTCCTAAAGCCTAAAACATAACAGTTGAATTTCTTACAAGATGAAATTAGGCAAAGAAAGATATGAAAAAGATAGATCAGAAATATACCCAGAAACTTTACAGCGCGGTTTGAGTGAAAAGCGTTGTTTTAGGTCATTTTTCTCAATTAGAATAGTTATTCTGGAAAAATAGAATGAGAGAATGAAATGAAATTTTACACACAAGTAATTGGTCTATGGAATATTAATCTCGAAAAATAATTTCAAAAAAAAAAACCTCAGTGGAATCCCTTTAATTAGTATTTGCTTGGTGGTAAAGTTAAAATTCTCAACAATAACTAATACATTTTTGAGGCAATATGTAGTTCTTGTTTGAACAATATGCAGAAGAAATAATTACACGCGGACTGTTCACACATTGAACAAGTATCTTATACTTTTATCTTATCACTTTGGATATCGACGGGCACGACCATGCCTCACTGTAAAAGTACTATTAAAGTGGGTTTATGACAAGATTGACTTCCTTTTTAATGTAAAAAGTTGATTAAAGACTTTACTCTCTTAAATCAATATAAAACTATTTGAACAAATTCCATTTTTTGCCTAAAATTGTAAAACGCCTGTTGAATACAAAGCGTCTGCTCAATAAAATAAACATGCGCATTGAACCTTATAGCCTGTGAGAAAACTGCATAGCGAAATCAATCTGTAGATATGTTGGGTTTAGAAAAAATGGATATCGCTGCCTTCTTAAATCCATATACAATCTGAGTGTTATGTAGTACGTCATTAATCCCCCCGCCCGAGAAAGTAAGTCAGAATCAGAATAAAAGAACAACTCTGATAGAGTTGAATTTTTTTATTCATTTTATTGTATTATTATCTATAAAGATGATAAATCTTCATGTCTGGGTTTCCCTTTTGGATCCCCTCTTCGATAAGGATAACAAAATACTTTATTTTACGTGGAATTATTTTCAGTACAGTTTAAGATCAAGTACTTCCTTATAATCCTTCAAATATAAATATTAATGCTTCCTAAAGGATAATTCTTAAAGTCTACTAAAATCTATTTTAATCATGAATGTTTGCCGTAAATGTTTAAATAATTGTTTTAAACGCGAGGGGTAGGGAAACACTTTTAAACATATTTCAAACATTTTGAGAAGAAAAACACAGTTTGCTTTAGTCGTTTGTTTCTAAACAATTATCAATTTGAAAACTTTTTCTTAAGGATGATATAACCGATTTTAATGTTAACTGATATCATAAAAAGAGCCGTCTAAAATCCAAGCTTTTATACAGATAAGTGTCCATAACTCGTAAATCGTGTGATAAATTTTGTTTAAATATTGCATGCAGGTGTCCACTGACCCATGTTGTCAATTTTTTAGTTCTTTATAGTGCCCGTTAGTGTGGTCATACCTTAGGCTTCCTGCTCAATTCGGAGAATTTATTTAAATGTAATGTATTACATGCATGTATGTATGAAAAGATTACAAATAAAAATATTGTTTAGACAGATCTCATAATGTGTTTATTAATGTAAAAGAAATATTTATAAAAGCAAAACAACGTTTGTCAGTACGTCGAAGTTCCAAACTAATTTTTATGCTAGTTTATACCAAATTGATATAACTCATGTACATAAATAATTTTCAAAATAAATGATAAATACACCATGTTTCACTATAAATCTGCACATAAATTTTACTACGATATATCTGACCTCAATGTGTGTTCCTAAATTCTTTTGAATGAAAACATAATGTGCTGCACAGAAATATCGTTTGAACATATTAATTACACCGCTGAAAAATTCATTTGATGATTTATCAAAAATGCTACATTCATTCTAAGAAACAGTGAATTTTTTTTTATTTTTAGTAAGTATCAAGGTAAACAGATATTTACTTACTTAGGGAATGAAGATCAAGTGTTTCCTCGGACAGCAAAGTTTTTGTGCTGTCAAAATCTTATCGTTGATATGATATCGTTTGTTTGCATAATGCGCACGCAGCAAATGCTTCAGTTGCCCCATAAAAGGACTTTTTTCGAGTATAAATTACTACATGAGCTGAGTTTTAAGTTTTACAGTTGCTCTGCGTTTGTTTACCTGACTCAAAAAAATACCAATGAAACTTGCATAAAGTGCATGGTACCTTTGAAAGAACATGCATTTTTCACTAAACCAAACTAATTTTGTTCTAGACAATTTTTTGCAACAGTGGGAATTCGCAATTAAAAGTTATAACATAATTTTTGACATCGGGGTTAACTAGGTTTTGCAAAACGTTTAAAACATCCGGGTGTTGATGGTAATATGAAAAAAAGCCACCTAAAATAGGAAAAAATAAGATCACACAAAGATAAAGGTAACGAAACTTGATTTCTGATGATTGTAAGGACATTTTATCACGTGGTACAAACATCTGCCATAAATTATGAGTACTTAGAGAAAAAAGTATTAAGTTTCGACTTAGACACAAAATGAAATATGATAAATGCGTAATTGGTAAAAAAGTGAAAAACGCCGGAGTACGTCTCATCATAACATAATTTGGCATTATACACGGCTTATGTACATCAAGTTTCAATTACGCATATAACTTTGATACGCTGTCACGAAAACAATGCCATCATCTATGAAATAATTTTAAACATAAATAATAGACAAACAACACTTTTATTTGGTAAGTTACAAAACACTCGAAAGATATTCTCTGGTTATAAGTGACAAAGAAGCGGCGCTAAGTATTTCAATATTCCATTGGACCAAATTGTCCATGCGGATAAACAGACACATGATAAATGACAAGAAAGTGTAAAGCATATACATACAATAATATGTGTAAGTGGAGTAGGAATAAACAAAATTGTAAATCATCATTGAAAACAAATATCATAACAAAAGGACATTCAACTTTAAGCATAATGCTAAATAAACAAAACTTACGGAGAGGTAAACTTTATACTTACTATTGAATTAATTTTACAAGATACACGAATCAAGTGTAATGGAAACTGATGCAAGATCGTGTGTTTTATATAGTTCTTCTTGCTCTTTGGTAAAGCTGGTTTAGTCCATCTCATCTGAATAATTCTATGTGCAATCTATGAGAAGATACTCTTAACCTAGTGAGACTCTTACAAAACCGTTCAACATTGATAATATTTAGATATGGTTGAAACTTAGAAACGTAAGTATGTCTATAAAATAGAACTCTACTAGAGTTGTCTAATCTACTTGACCAGTTTTGTACAAATTGGTCTTTCAATCGTTGTTTCACATGATATAAAAACAGGTCAGTATTACCAACACTTTGCATGAATCATACATCATAAAAACCTAATGTACATAAAAGATTTTTCACTAATGAAACCATTTTGGTTTATTTGGGTAAGTTTCACAATCATTCTTTAATTAATTATAAACTTCGTTGACAAATTTATTCTCACTTGTATGTAATAGTTTAACCCAGTTTTTAATAATGTTATAGTAGTGCATTGTTTGAAAAGATATTCTGAAATATGTCCTGGCATAATCCAGCTATTTGCTTTTAATAATATTTTCATTATGCATTTCAAATTTCAATCAAAGGGGGATAAAGCGTAATGGAAACTTATATAAGGTCGTGTGTTTTATTTAGTTCTTGCTCGTTGAAGCCGGATACATTGAAGAAATATTGACATTTATAAACGTATGTGAGAAGTGAGCAGTGAACAGTGAGCTAAGCAAAAAGCCATTTTAATTTATATAGGGAAATCAATGATCTGCTGTAATACTCAGCTGGCAAGGCAATATAGCAATGCATTCCTAAATGTACTATAAAAATGCTCTTCTGGAATGCTCAACTGGCTTTTTAGTCTAGCAGTGCATTACTAAATATAGTGTTAAAATGCGTTGCTGGAATGCTCAGCTGGCTAAGCAATCTAGCAGAGCAATCCGTAATATAGTGAAAAAATGCTCTGATGGAATGCTAATCTGGCTATTCAATCTAGAAGGGCATTACTAAATATAGTGTAAAAATGCTCTGCTGGAATGCTATGCTGGCTAGGAAATCTAGCAGTGCGTTCAAAAATATGGTGTTAAAATACTGGAATGCTCAGCTGACTAGGCAATCTAGCAGTGCATTTCTAAATATAGTGTTAAAATGCTCTGCTTGAATGCTCAGCTGTCTTGGCAATCTAGCAGGCCATTCCTTGATATAGTTTAAAATGCTTGTTGAAATGATGACCTGGTCATCTCTCTTTCTCTTAACTGTAAAGTGAAATACTTTTGAGGACAAGGCTTGAGTGACTCAGTCTAATTAGGTTGTACAAAAATAGTCCTTCGTCTAAATCTGAGAAGGTCAATCAATGATTGCATGAACGCATAATACGTATAATTTATGTCATTATTACACATACATAGATATGTTCTAGATCAATGATCACAAATACATGACAACAAACTATTGAAAGAACATGCCACGATCTTTACATACGTTATTTTCACCCAAACAGGCAAGAACGATGGACCTTTCTCAAATGGAGATGACTCATCTACAATGATTGTAAAAAAAAGAAAACGTCGCTGATTTATGCTTTAATTATACTCAAAAAATGTTATCAAATGCAAAATGATCATAAATAACGTTACATTATTTTTTCCGCAAATATGTACAGAAATAATAACATTACAAACAGATGTTACATGTTTTAAAGGATTTCTCCTGTCCCCTTAAATGAAATGACTTTTCAACGCAAGTGTTGGACAACAAAATATATTTGTATTAATTTTATATTACAAATGACTTATCAATCTTTTACATTTTCGAGTCGTTTATTGCTATCTTTGCGATAATTTGAATTTGAATAATTGTTATACGATACTGTAAACTAACAATACTGTTTTTTGTAAAGTGTTTATTGGAAAACACATACAGACACACGCACACACGCACAGGCGCACGCGCGCATACACACACATAACAAGCTATCTTAATTATAAAAAATAATTAACATGAATCATTTACAAATAAGGAAATAAACACAACAAGATAAACAACATGTTCCTTGTCGCCGACTGTTCACGTAAGTAAGAAATTCTTACTATCAGCTGACAAGTCCAGATACTTTGTTTTAATGTGTTTTGCTGACGAACATGTAAATTTTGTCTTTGGATGAAACGTAACAAATGTGTTAATACAACAATACATTTTTGTTTAGTAATTTTGTTTAATATGAATTCCTTATGATAAATAAAGTAACACATAGTAATATATACGAATATGACTATTTATATTTATGATTCTATATAATAATCAATTAAAGGTTTAGAATATTTCAATGAGCACATGTAAACTTTTAACAATTAAAATTGTGATAAGGCGTTTTTCAAAAGACGCCGACAAATTGTGATACTTCATTTGTCTCCTGTCAACACAGGTTATTGAGAAAGATCAACTTTCACTTCATTCGTAGGTGGTATTTCATCTATTTTATGGCCTTGATGTAAAACAGGAGATTGGCACGATTGATTGACGAGTTGATATATGTATAGTAGACTACAAAAGAGCGTCTTATCCTCGTTGATATAATTTCTGTTTGTTTGTGTGAACACTTTTGAAAGATATCGGCATAAAAATAACATTTATCAGCAAACAAGTATAATAATGATATTAGTCTAAAATTTTGATTGATATATCCGGGAATATATACATGTATATCACTTATATTTTATAATGTAATTTGACACATCATCGTTGATTGTGATATCTATATCTTATAGTCCCATATACTCCAGTTCTCGATGGATCTGACACATGGCACAAAATGAACAGCATTCTATTACCATACAATCTTTACAAATGGATCCCTGAAAATAAAATAATTTCTTTGAACATCATCTCAATTTGTACAACTACATCAATTTATAAGAACTTTGCAAGTTGAAATTTGATACTTTTTCCTTTGATATGTTGCAATTTTATTGATCAGTATCATTTATTCAGTTATTCGTTAAAAGATAATGAATTACAAAGGCAAACGCTTTAAAACATGAAATAAAGAGTTCAAGTAAACAGCGTTTGATTTTGACCTCAAATCACATTAAAAAAGTTATAATTAAACCAACTCTGTTGTATAACTTTGTAACATAATTTAACTGTAAAATGGATAGGAATTTCTCCCTTCATCTCTATTAAAAAATAATTAGAAACAGATTCTCTACATGTTATATAACCTCAATCTGGTTTTGTTATTTCTTATTATTTCTAGTTTTCATTTAAATTAATTATTGATATAAATACCGTATCATACATACCCTGATGCCACCAAGAGTTCGAACACGAGTTCTAATAGTAACAAGACTACCAGGAACACAGCTTGTTACAAAAGCACATTCTCCTAGCCTAGCCGATATATCAATCAACACACAACTTGGACAACACCATCCCCACATGCCTGAATGAATAAAATTTATAGTATACATTTTCTACGAAAAACAACATATTATTTTACAATATTTCTTATAGAAATTGTTTCAATGTAGTCAAATGTATTACGTAACGTTTCACTATAGTCTTGTATTAAACCACCCTCATCTTGTGAAATAAAGCTTTGCAGAAAGTGGCATTTTAAGTTACAAAGTAGTTTTGGTGACACCTTTTTAGCATATTTAGACATTTATTTGGAAATTCACATGGATTAAAATGCCGTTAATTACTTTCTCTGTTCACTTGAAAATATTTTACTTTTTACTCAGTGCACGCAAGTTTTTGTTTGATATACGTTCAGTAATGAACATACTTGTGGGTTTGCCTTGTATTGTACTTTTTTATAGCTCATTGTTTAAAAAAACTAAACTGGTATACCTAGATTTATTACCAGACTAATGAATGTGATATCAGAAAGCCAAAGTTTAAATATTATGTTATTTTTTGTAAATTAACCCTAAATTCATGTATATGTTAAACATTGTTATGTTTTCAGATTGATATCAAAATTCATTGTCAGCAATCATAATATTCTTTGGACACTGAATCTTGAATATTTTTGAACTCTGTGTTTATTCCAAAATACTTGGTTGTACAACATAACAAATAATGTAATAAATATGAGATAATAGAATAAACATTCGACTCTTTTATTATATTGTATAGTTTTCAACTTTCCAATTACCACTAATGAAAGCAGCAGTCACACAATAGGCATTTAACACACCGTCAGAAATGAATTTCTTCGGTGGCAATTATTTTGAAGGCTATATGATTATTCACTACAAATGACATGCTTTTAAATACTTCTTTTATGATTGAATGAGGCATATTTCAGAGAAATTAAAGCTTCTATAAACAAAGAAAAGAAATTCTACGATTCACAATCTGAAGTATATTTTTATGATTTTTCTTCTACAATGTATATCACTAAAAGATGAACAAGACAGTAAAATAAACGCAGTCGTTACTATTCGTGAACGTCCTGCATTTTTCAGTAAAGATCCGAGCGTAAATAACTAGCCAGGAGTTTTTATTGAATGAAACCGTCAAAAAATTCGTATTTTTTCAGATAATAATCGACCCAAACATGACAACTCCGTTAGAATGTAAAGGAAACAACTTGATCATACATTATGAAAGTTTTTGAATGTGAAGATTACAAAATACATCTATTCATGACAGCACTGCTGGTATGTGAAGAAAAACAAACTCGTCCATACATGATAACATACTTTGAATATGTTAAGATAATAATATACATATAAATGATATGAAATTTTTAATGGTAAGATTTAAATAAAATTGAAAGATAACTGTGATATTTTGTCATGTTCATGTGACAGTATGTAAACAACACACTAAAATGAAATGGTTTTTACATAACATACATTTTCCAACGTCATCAAAGCAAGAGAATAGCCCAGAGCTCCATTCCCTATGACCGTCCTTGGATCCCAGTATCCGATCATTCTGTACCGATGGTTGCTGATTGATTACAACAGTTGTAGAATGTTGTGGAGGGGGCATCATATGTCCATGATCGAATGATGGGTTTGAGTGCATTTGACCTTGTGCGTTATGGTTGATTGGTAGCTGGAGGTCCGTACATATGTTTGGGGGCGGCCCGCGATCTTGTGGATGGTAACGAGGATCACGTCTATCATAGTTAGGTGGTGGACTACTCATTGTTTCAATCAGTTGTAGAGAGCGGAATCCTGAATAACAGTAACATGATAAAATACTAAGACTGCTCATCTTTGTTTACAGTAAGCAATACGTTAGAATCGTCAAGTTTCCCTTGCAGTCGAAAGAATCATACCCTTTTGAGCAATATTATGAAATTTCTGATCATTGCGCAGAATAGTTAAACATTGTGTTCTATATTTGATCAGTATCATTTGAAAAACAGTTTTTTTTCTCTGACCTGTTTCTTTAAATATTTAAGGAACTCCGTTGGTGTCCTAAAGCCTAAAACATAACAGTTGAATTTTTTACTTAGATAAAATTAGGCACAGAAGGATATGCAAAAGATAGTTCAGAAATATACCCAGAAATTACAAAGCACGGTTTGAGTGAAAAGCGTTGTTTTAGGTCATTTTTCTCAATTAGAAAAGTTATTCTGGAAAAATAGAGTGAGAGAATGAACTGAAATTTTACACACAAGTAATAAGTCTAGGGAATATTTATCAATATCATTTTAATATTTTATGGTCGGAGGACCATCTTAGTGTTATGCAGTTCTTCGTTAATCCCCATGCCCGAGAAAGTCACAATAAAAGAACAACTTTGATAGAGTTGAATCTATTGATTCATTTTATGGTATTATCATCTATAAAGATATCAAATTTTCATTTCTGGGTCTCCCATTTAGACCCCCTCTTGGGTAAGGATATCAAAATACCTTTATACGTGGAAAATTTTCCATATAGTTTAAGATCAAGTATCTCGCATGGATAAATATAAATGCTTCCAAATCTATTTTAATTATGAGTGTTTGTCATACAATTCCTGTGTAATAATTATAAATTCATTTAATAAACATGTAAATTGATGAATTGAAGTTTTAGTATTTAACTTATTGTGATAAACTGTACTGTTGTTGTTGCTTTTATACTTTGTTTTACAATTAATGTTATTATCGTGATCAATTATTACTGTTTACTTCATTGGAAGAATATATAGAAAAAAAGAGAAAAAAGAGAATAGATAGATAGATAGATAGATAGATAGATAGATAGATAGATAGATAGATAGATAGATAGATAGATAGATAGAGAGATAGATAGAGAGATAGATAGATAGATATAAGATTTAGGGATACAAGTATTTTGAATTAGGCTCTCTTGGCAAGTAATTGCTCAAATAATTGTTTAAAACGGGATGGGTAGGGAAACATTTTTTGAGAAAAGAAACACATTTTGCATTCTAAACAATTATTAATTTGAAAACCGTTTTTCATAAGGATGATGTATTCGATTTTAGAGTTATCTTATTTGACTAATATCCAAGCTTTTTTCAAGAAAAAGTGTCCATAACTCGTAAATGTTGTCAATGTTTTAGTTATTTATTGTGCCCATTAAGGTAGTCATACCTAAAGCTTACTACTATATTCATAGAATTAATTTAAATGTAGTTTGTTATATATGAAATATTACAAATAAAAATATTGTTTAAACTGATCTCATAATGGGTTTATTTATGTAAAAGAAACATTATAAAAGCAAAACAACGTTTGTCAGTAGGTCGAAGTTCCAAACTAATTTTTTATGCTAGTTTATACCAATTTGATATAACTCCTGTACATAAAAAATTTTTCAAAATAAATGAAAAGTACACTACGTTACACTATAAATCCCCACATAAATTTAACTACGACATATTTGACTTCAATGTGTGTTCCAAAATTCTTTTGAATGAAAACATAATGTGCTGCACAGAAATATCGTTTGAGCATATTAAAATTGTATTCTAAATTACATCGCTGAAAAATTCATTTGATGATTTATCAAACATGTTACATTCATTCTAAGAAACAGTGAATTCATTTTTCTTTTAATTATCAAGGTAAACAGATATTTACTTACTTAGGGAATGTAGAGCAAGTGTTTCCTCGGACAGCAAAGTTTTTGTGCAGTCAAATTTTTATCGTTGATATGATATCGTTTGTTTGCAAAATGCGCACGCAGCATATGCTTCAGTTGCCCCGTAAAAGGACTTTGTTCGAGTATAAATTACTGCATGAGCTGAGTTTTAAGTTTTATAGTTGCGTTTGTTTACCTGACTCAAAAAATACCACTAAAACTTGCATATAGTACATGGCACCTTTGAAAAAATAAGCATTTTTCAACCAAAATTAGAACTAAACTGAACTAATTTTGTTCCAGACAATTGTTGCAACAGTGTGAAATCGCAATTAAGAGATATAACATAATTTTGAAATTTTGACATGTTGATTAACTAGGTTTTGCAAAAAGTTTTAACATCTTGGTGGTTATATGGAAAAAAATAGGAAAAAATACGATCACACAGAGATAAAGGTAACCAAATTTGATTGTTGATGAATGTAAGGACATTTCATCTCGTGGAAAAAAATATCCGTCAAATTATGACGACTACGACGCAACATCGAGTTTTTTAACATTTATCTCAAAAAGCTAAAGAATTTACTTACTGAATTACGCCGAAGTTCGCCTCATCATAACTTTTAATTTGTCATAATACACGGCTTATGTACATCAAGTTTCATTTACGCATATAACTTTTATACGCTGTCACGAAAACAATGTCATCATCTATGCTATGATTTTAAACATAAATAATAAAAACTCAAACAGCACTTTTATTTGGTGAGTTACATAAAAACTCGAAAGGTAATCTCTGGTTATAAGTGACAAAGAAGCGGCACTAAGTCTTTCAATATTCCATTGGACCAAATTGTCCACGAGGATAAACAGACACATGATAAATGACACATGATAATGAAGTGTAAAGCATATACATATAATAATATGTGTAAGTGGAGTAAGAATACACAAAATTGTAAACCATCATTGAAAATAAATATTAGAACAAAAAGACATTCAACTTTAAGCATAATGCTAAATAAACAAAACTTACAGAGAGGTAAACTTTATACTTAATATTGAATTAATTTGACAAGATACACGAATCTTGCGTAATGGAAACTGTTGCAAGGTCGTGTGTTTTATATAGTTCTTCTTGCTCTTTGGTGGTTTAGTCAATCTCATCTAAATGATTCTATGTATAATCTATGAGAAGATACTCTTAACCTAGTAAGATCCTTTCATCTTTGATAATATTTAGATATGGTTGAAATATGTCTATAAAATAGAGCGCTACTAGAGTTATCTAATCTACTTGACAAGTTTTGTACAAGTTGGTCTTTCAATCGTTGTTTCACATGATATAAAAACAGGTCAGTATTACCAACACTTTGCATGAATCATACATCATAAAAACCTAATGTACATAAAAGATTTTTCACTAATGAAACTATTTTGGTTTATTTGGGTTAGTTTCACAATCATTCTTTAATAAATTATAAACTTCGTTGATAAATTTAATCATTAATAATGTCAATAATATTTTCATTATGCATTGCAAATTTCAATCAAGGGGGATAAAGCGTAATGGAAACTAATGTAAGGCCGCATGTTTTATATGCATGTAGTTCTTGCTCTTTGAAGCTGGATACATTGAATAATTATTGACATTTATAAACAATGGTTCATACTACAGTAGAAGTCTAAACGTGCTGACATTTTGTGGTTTCCTCTTATCTTCCTCAATTGCAATTCTATTGAATAATTATATGTTCTGTGTAAATTAAACGTATGATTAAAGAATTTTGATTTAAAGCGTCATTTTTTACATCCGCTGGCGATACTTAAACGTATTGACTTTCAATGGGTAAATTATTAAGAGGAACATGGAAATCTTTTATTTAAATTTAGTTCATACTTATATATTTTAGTTCGATTGCGTTGGAAGCTAAAAGCTTATTGAAACACTTTTGAATCCGTTTTGGAACCAGCTATAATACTAAACAATAATTGTAAAGTTTCCTGCTCAGGGAAACAATGCCTTTCCTTTGACGGGGTTTGAACCAACGCGGCCAGCAATCCTTAGACTGCTAGTTAACCACTCGGCAATGCTGCTACCTATTTCTTTTAATTTAAGTGACATTTGAACAAGAGGCGTTGAGCTAGTATATCTATACGATCAAGTAAGTAAACTAAGCAACAAAGGTAAAAGTTGCAATTTGAAAGACAGACTATAGACCGTTAAAGCTGCATTTTATAAATTTTACAAAAACAGAAATAGCGATATTTCGTTAATAAAATGGGTTTTATATTGACTCCCGTTTTTATTTTGGTGTACAGACAACCAAAATGAGTTTAATAAGCAAAGCAATCTGCAACCTCATTATGGCGAAATCGGAAGTAAAATTTCTGTTTGCATGAGAAACTCCGCCTTCGGGTCATTCATACATTAATAGAAACATGGCTATAAGTAGCCATCCGAATTTAACGGTATATTTCTGCATTATATAACTGATGTTTTTATACAAATGTAATCTTTTTTATGAGATGATTAGTTTTTTGTGAACGCCAGGCTTAATGCAACGTGAAGCTAAAACGGTAAAAGTTTGTTTGCACAAAAACATCTCACAGATAGCAACTATTGATTATATGTCTAGGTTTTAAACTGTGACGTAACGCACATACGAGCAGATTATAGTCTTCATTTGCATTTTAAATCTTGTATACGAACTTTAATGTTACCGTGGCGTTTTCTTTTATAAAATCAATTTATGAACAATATTTAATGAGATTTAACACGATACTGTTAAAAAGGTTCTTGAAACTGTAGAATGCTTGTTTTTAAGCCGACGGATATTTTTCCATTTTATAAAATGCAGCTTTAAGACGTTTACAAATGACACATTGAAAATCAAAATGTTATCTTTAGACAAAAAATGTACGGCATTACACATATGGGAATTAGCATAATTATGCCTTTAAAATATTTTGACATGTTTTCTAATTCGAAATAAAAATGTTCTTGTCTCGGTAAATGGATTTCAAGATTTATCGAAGTTTAACTATGTAAATGCATGTTTTATCAAAATTGCAATAAATAATGATGAACCGATCTAAACAGGCTTAGATCTATATGCATCAAGTAAAATTTCGTCAAATACATCAAGAAGTCTATAATGACAGTATTTATTATTTAAAAGACAAATTAAAAAAGTTAAGTTGCCGACATATACCACTCAGTCAAATAGGTTCGAATGAAGAAATACATTTTCAAATAACTGACTCATTAATTAATTGAAATTACAATCAGTAGATATCTATACGATCTATTTTTATCGACGTACCAATACATGAACAGAAACCTCATCTACACTCTAGCAAATATTTATTTTGGCTCAATATTGCAATTAAACCGAAAATAATATGAGATAAACTTTAACGACATTCCATTTTCTGATAACTAGAGAACAATTTTAAATTAACTTGGATTGATTTTATGAAATTTGATGGCTCCTGTTGTTGTGTTTTATTTTTTTTTTTAAATCACCATGCTCTTTTAAACCTATTTATCATCCATGTAAATTTAACTTGTTTGTGTCTTAGTTTATTAAACTTCTCTTCACGTAATGTATTTGGTATTCTATCCATAACCATAATTTCAGACGATCGATATTAAGTCTGTGTTATCAGTCGTTGATTGGACAACTTAAACGTATATTTTCTTCCTCTATCGATATTTATATAAACATTTTAGACACTGTTAAACATGAACATATAGATCAAGGATTATAACTATTTGAAACAATTGAAATTTGGCTACGGTAGATAGTTGATAGGTTGATAAATCTTATTTTGAGTTTTTTTTATGGTGGATTTCAGATTTCTCAATTATGGTAAGTAAATGTTTTTAATTTGAAATAATTATGTTGTAAAAGAAAACATGTTGTACTAAACCATTTATATAGAATGAAATTAACATCAGTGAAACGTTATTAGCGGTTTAAATATTATAAACAATAAAACAGTAAACATAATCACAATTTGATCATTTTAAATCGATGGAATAAAACTACGGGCACACGTTACTGCGTTGTAAATATGTATCTTTTAAAATCTGTCGGCACGACAAAATTGACAATATTGTAGATTGGGGTTGTTAATAGAAGGCAGTTTTTTTATGAATGCTGGACTTCCCAGCACCTGCTTTAAGCAGAATTCAAAATTCAACAAAAATATTAAAAAACATAGCTATTTGTGTAAATTTGCTCATATGCCTGTAATCTTGGAACCGCAAATGTGACACTTCTTTGTGATTCTATAAAAAAGGTACAGTATCACGCATAAAACAATATATCAAGGGTCATTATTATCTGTAAATATATTTAATTAACGCCTTGAAAAAAAGTTAACGAAATGTAGTGTTTAAAATCAATCAATACACATGTGTTCAATGACAGTGCTCTTAATGTCCTTATTTTAGAATTTATTTCTATCATTCGCTAAGGCTTCGGCATTTAAACTCGTAGTATTGACATCTATAAGTGTACTATCACTTTGGATGTACGCCTGGTATTTGTACATTGTTTTAAATATATTTTAAATCATGTCATTGTATAAGAACTATGAGCTACTAACGCATTTTTTCCAGCCTCCTGGTGCCCGAAGTTCAAACGTGGACGATGCTATTATGGAAAAAGTTGTAGAAGCTATAAGAGAAAGCGATGAGAAGACACTAAGAAATATTCTTGATTCAAATGCTGATATCGACCTTGACGATCAATATGTAAGGAACATGAAATTAAATGCAATCATATTTAAATTTTATTTACTATTTTACACGTTAATTTTGTTGTTCATTCATCTAGATGCCCACATTGTAGAGCAATTTTATGGTGATTTTGTAGATACTCAATGTAAAAATGGATTTTCAATTTTACAATATTGTTTTTCAATTTCAAACACAGAGATATTTAGACAAAATTAACTTTTGTAATATAAAAGGTATCAGAGTTGAAATAACATTTATGGGGAAGTTTTATTTTTCACAGGATGGTGCATATCCTTTGCATATGTGTGTAGGACAATTAAATTGTGTCAAAGTGCTTCTAGAACATGGTGCCAGTCCGGACATTCAGGATCTGGTACAAAATGCTTTAAAACTTGTTTTTATCCCCGTTAAATGTTAATTTTATATGCTGATCATTTCAGTATTGTTAGAAAATGTAATTCTCGTTTGAATTTTCCTTTTGTCATAATATTAAGAAGTGAACTTATGGCTAATCAGATTTATTATTTTTATTATTCTAACTTTTTCTATTCTACCAAAAAACATATCCTTTACATCATCACGCTCTGTTTAATTATCTTAATGGACATGACGAAAATAACTTACTTATATTACTAAATATACGATCAATGTGCCTTTCTTTATGAATTAAGATTAAAAATTAAGTTTGATTGAACTTTTGATATTTTTTTATAATAAACAGTCATCATTAGTCGCCGGTAGAAACCGGCGACTATATTTGTAACAGTTTAATATTATACCTATGGTAGGAGAAGGCATTAATTTCTGTAAATAAAAGCATTATAATTACTGAACAATTAAAGACTACAATTGTTTTCAGTAATCACAAAAATTCAAACATACAATAACGTTGCTAAATGAAATGAAATATTCAAATATTGACATCGTAAAAAGCAACATTACAATTTTTATAAAATGAATTAACGACGTATCCCTATGGACCAGTCATTGAATTTAGGGATGCTTTTACTTTTTTTTTAAAGTGTCAAGCGTTGATATTTTATAATAAATAAATCATGCATGATATTTGAAATGGCACTTTTAAATTATCTGGTTGTTTGTATCTTTTGAGACCTATTCTATTTTTTATCTTATTTATTATAAACAGTTTCTCCCAGCATCACGTGACTACACGTTGTATGTTATTGTTATAAAATCTATTAATAGTAACAAATTGCTGATAAGACAGACAAACAGATGGTTGGCAGCTGATAAAGTGCAAAAGTAGTTTTGAATGAAAAATCGGGTCGGAATCGTATTGGATACAAAGAGAAAACTAATAAACCATCTTTGTGTTGATAGTTTATCGCACTGAAAGGCAATTAAACGTTAACTATATCGTATGTAACGGCAGGAATATTGATTTCAGCCAAATAATATATTTTTTCGATAGTGCATATTAAGAATAATTTTTTTATGCAGACACCACTTTTACAGTAGAATTGCATTGTTTTATAAATGCAGTAATTAATCATATATATTTTCATAGTCACTTTGCAAATATACGATGATCGGTAATAATTTGTCGGTAATTATCGGATGCTGAAGAAAACCATACGGAGTTCAAATATATGGTACAGCGGTATATGTATAAAGTAGAATTATAATCATATCATTTGCTTTACAAGCATCGATGACAAGGTGTTAGATTTTAAGTTAGTTTCAAATTGAAGACTGTATAGGTTCGATAAAGTGATTTTTTATGTTTTCTTTTTATAATAATTTTTGTATTTTGCAAAAACTTGACCGTTTATCAAAATTATGAAATAAAAAGTGCTAGAAATGAAACACACGATTTATCAACTTATGTTTCATAAAGTTAAACGATATAATAAAAATCAATTTATGAAAACTACACACAGGATTTGTCCGAGTTTCGAACTTGCGCCTACTTCATGTAGGTTACAACTTCGTCATACTTACCACTAGGCCATCGAGCAGTATTAATTGATATAATTATACATGTAATTATACTAAAAAATAAAATCGTTAACATTAACCATAATAAATTATGTAAGCAAACGGAACAGCTCCCGAAAATTATTGAGTCTCGGGTAAATATTGCCAAACAATAATTGCTTATTTAATAATGATAACAGTTTTTTGACAAAATTGCTAAGCCAGTTTGTTTCAAATATGATGTTTTATTATAACATATATAACATAAATTTATTGCATAAAACTCTCAGCAAGAAAGATATAATTGTGACAAGTAAATGAAAACGTGTTTATGAATAAACATTACTAAACTTATTGTTCCTCTTTTCTTTATACTCGAACCATTAAACTGATATTTTCTTTTATTTATGATAATACAATCATATTTCTATCCGGCGACTTGATGCTTTAGCATCAAAATCTCTACTTGTATTTTTATTTACCTGTTTTTATATATGTAATTATGTAGGAAGGGAAACGTCCTATTCATTATGCTGCAGAGCGAGATTTTGTTGAAACTTTGTTGTACCTAGTATTAAATGGAGCTGACTATGACACACCAGTAGCATCTGGGAGCTCTGATGTAAGTTGATCAGCATTATCGTATGTCTGTTTATACTTGTTAATAAGAAGAACCAAAACTATCAACTTCAAAAACAATTTATATTGTAATATCATAAATCGGTGCTATAAATTCACTTACATATAAAACATCAGCTGTACATGAGCGGATGTGTACACACTAACTGCAGAGATGGAGTAGAACCTTTAATCGTTTTTTGAAGCCTTCATTTTTTTTATTTTAAAGATAAATTTTGAAGGAAACACTATTGTTTAGATAACTTTAATGTTTCCAACTCCAGATGAACGGTATGACACCACTTGATATAGCATTTGAAAATGACGCATTTGCATGCCAAGACTTCCTTCATTTTCTAGGAGCAAAGGTAAAAATGAATGTTTATATGCTTCTTAAAGTTGTTCATTCACTACATATTTGACAGTATTTCTGTGTCTTATTCTGAAATGATGTTTATCTTGAATAAATACTATTGATCTCTTATAGAAATTCTAAAATAGTGAACAAGAGAACAGAATATCATCAAAACTTTGATGTGTAATTTTCATTTTCAGTTAGGCCTTTTGTGTTATTACACACGATTTTATTCAGATAACTAATGTTGGGTTGAAATGAAAAAGAAAAGAAAAAAAAGAAAAAAGGAAAATAAAGTTAAAAAACATTACAAAACAACAGAGCAATATAGTCATACGAAACTTATTTTTCAGATTCATCGTCACACTATTTTAGATGAGGATGCAAAGTCAAAATATGATATTATTCAGAAAGGATATGCGGATGGGTTTGTTTTTATAATATATTATTACTTTAAACGTCTTTAAACATATATATTGTGTGTATTTTACACATGATGAAAGCAATCGAAAAATAGGGAATGTCTGAGGCAATTCGAAAACCATCATTGATTTCGAATTGGCAAAATAATTGCAAATATTTACAAGTGTTTCCTTTTTTAAAAGAAATACTTACCATTTTTAGCAATTTAATCTGGATTTCGAATTTTGGAATTCTTATGCTTTATGTTTGGTAGAATTTAGATTTATGATCATTTCCGTATATAACAACAAAGCTATTACATGATGATAATAATAATATAATATATGGCTATTTTATATTATACACATGTAATCAACAGTCGGTATACTTATTCGCTTTAAACTCTAACATGACAAAGATAATTTGTTTGGATAATACTTAAAAGTCGTTTAAAAGGATATGTAAAAACATCTCAAAACACAACAGATACAAGAAAACATAATCGTGAACGTGAAAATATTATAAACTGTTTATTCAAGGCCACACTATCATATATGCATCTATTTAGTTGTTAATACAAAGAACGTATTTAAATAATATATAAACAATGAAATTATTGTGTTCTTTTATTTTTTAAGTAAAATTATACACGGCGGAATTACAATAAAAGCCAATACTGGACGACCACATGATGTCGTTAGTCGCGATGGTAAGAGTGTTGATATAGGCTTACAAGGATACGGTGACTCGTTTATTGTATATATACGTAGAATGGAAGTGGACTACCAGTCAAGCAGCACAAGAATTCCACTGGTAAGTAACCTTTAAAATAAGTACAAAATGTACTTGTTTCAACGAAATGGTCTTCATTATTATTACAATGAATGACACCTTAATTGTTTCTTTAATTCATATACTTAAACATATTTGGAACAATTTGAATATATCAACGTGTTAATTTAATGCACGTTTTTAAGAATCTACATATTTTAGTAATATCTAAATATTCTAGTAATTATTGACTTTGAAATAATAAAAGTATTACTAAATGTTAAACAAAATTGACAGGTACTTGTCTCAGACATCTTTCATAACATTTTAGTTCATATATTTAATTTAAAACGTAAACCACATTTCATTGATTAGTGTGAATGATGAAATATTGCTCTTTAAGGTATCGATTCAAGACGGAATGGAATTGGTCAGCGACATATATCAATATAAAGTGGACAGAAATGCACAATGTGACTTACATATACCTGTAGTGGAGGGTCTAATGCTTGATAAATATAACAACCTTGTGGTGGTACACATGACCGACTTTGAACAAACCTCAAGTGATGTGTATACAAACGTTGATATTGTAGGCAATAAGGTGCACACTTTAAGAACTTATTATATAATAACACTTTGCATGCTACTTACAAGTTGCATTAATTATATTTGAATAAGAATTTGAGTTAAAATTGAAATATTTTGTTGCTATGTTGAATCATAAATAATAGAAAATCTAACTTTCTTTCTCAGTAAGATAAAATGAGACTAAAACGATATAACAAACTATTTTAAATATTCTTACATTTCTCTCATGCAAAGACATTTCGTGTGTTGCATTTAATAACTTTATAGACAACTGTCAGTTTATTTTTAATTTGCATTGAATAGATGATTATCAAAGGGATGACTTTGTGTTCTTATGGTAGCAGTCCGATTGTGTCATTTGGGATTTTTACGAACATAAAAACTGACAACATATCTCGTGATCCAAATGAAGAACTGAAAGTAAATTCGACGGTAGAAAACCTTTTTGCAGTCACTGTTCCAGCTGGTATTGCACCAACATGTACACAAATACAGCTTCAGGTAAAATGTTTACGAAAATAAGAAAAGAATATCAACGGTATAACGCCAAATAATTATCACTTTTCCGATTTATCTTCAAACTGAAGCAAAGACAAAATAAAGAAATGAAGTTTCTGGTACATCGAAAAATTAACCTTTTATGTCTGTAAACAATTCCAAAGATCTCTTGCCTGTCAATTCAATGAAAATGGTACATTTACATTTCTGTATTAAATAGATTCATGATAGTTATAAGAACCCGAAGGTACTTTCCTTTCCATTATTCGTTTACCTTGATAATGGAAAGTACAACGTGTCATTTAAACAATATTTCATGTATATTTTAATTTATTATCTAACGAAGTGCTGTTATAAGTTTTCGTGAAAGATAATTTTTAAATATAAAGAAAATACTTTCACTGTTACAATGCTCAATCGAATTTAACATACATTGACAATGTATATATCATGAGTTATATAAATCTCTTAAAACGTATGCGCTTATATTGATAGATCCCTACTCTGATCTTTTTTTTTGATTTAACCACAACTATTGACATGTGTTCTTTTCTTAACAAATAGGTTGTGGTGAAATTCTTTTTGCAATGCACTTATCTGGTTATTTGATTTAGATAGGTTAGGGTAATATAGGGATCTATAAATTGTCCTATCCATCAATTATCTTTTAATATTTAAAATGTTAAATAGTAAATAATAGTCTCCAAAATGATAACTTAATGCTTTGCAGTGTATATCGAAACATAAATTCGTGGCCTAATTTATTTCAAAAAGGTGATAAAATCAAGTGTAGAGAACTCCAGTGATAGCATCGACGATAACGACGAAGACTATGGCAATAGTTCTGATTTCCTCTCTGTAGCGAGTGTCAGCACGCAAACAAGTCGCAAAAATTCTATTGTCTCGTCCCACAATCCTCCTCTAGATACAAGGCGTCCAGTATCAGCTGCAAGCAGACAAACACACAGTGAAGAAAACCTTAACATACAACTACCAAAACCAAGAGATGAAAAAGGAAAAATCCAAGTAGTTGTAAAGTGTCAACAAGGTGATTTTTAATCAGCACATTTTTTAAAACATGAAAAGTGAACGCTGGAAGAAAATAGAAATTATATCGAATAGGTTGACATATACCTTGTTATGACTGAAAGAAAACACTTAAAAGTTATAATAAAATATTGTACAGGATAAAGCTTCATTTTATCGAATAAATATTAATCTCATTGCTAAATAATATCATTTTTTGTGACATTGATGAAAATAGTTTCAGGACTGATATCTAAATGATATACATAAATTTAAATCCTTTGATCTAGATCAGTATGATTTTCATTTCATTTTGATTCAAGAAATTATCGTGAAGATATAATTGTTATATGAATATTAATGTTGATTAAACAATTGTATCCTAAAATAGTTTACATGTATGTTTCTTCACAGGGCAAGACGGTACGGAACCTATGAATTGGGTAAAACACGAACAATATGAAGTTTCAGGAAGAGTTGTTAAATGTAAAGAAGCAAGTTTTGCAAAGTAGGTACATTGTATTACGCAATGATTATTATTTTGTAAAACGTGTTAAAATATTCGTTCTCATGAGTCAAATGCTAGAACACGGTACACTGTATAAGTACAAAATAAAACTTATTTTCAAAAACCACACGTTCTTACGCATATATACACCAAAACATTCTTTTCACATCCTTACGTTTATCCTTTACGCATTTCAGTTACATAGTAGTTAATGTGAAGAAATTTGGACACCTCATTAAAGAATTTGTGAGTGAACTGTACACAAGAGCGCTCGGCAATAAAAAAGAAGTTAGATTGTTTGCTATGGTTAAACAGGTTAACAGGCTAGAATATATTGTCAAAATAGTCTTGTGTGAATCAGATGTCTACCCAAATAGACTACAATCATGTTTAAAAGATGGTTTCCAGGAACAAGAATGTGGACCGACTGATTCATTTGAAATCAATACAAAATGTACATTCATGCTTAAACTGCTGTTGAAGAATGCTGAAGTCAGTATTGGTCCGGACACATTACCTATACAATATCAGGGTAATCATCCAAAATCACAAGACTTTCCTGTTGATGCACAAGACTCAGACACAAAAAGCGCATCCGGTCGATGTTTGATGTTCAAGAATGCTGTTCCAAAGAAAGAGGCCTCTTTTTATGGGTAAAAACTTTTTCTTTAAGATAACGTACTGATACATAACTATGACTTATCACATTTGTTAACTTGTACTTATGTTATTGTGATTCTAAATTTTTTCATAATGCATTAAGAGTTAATGTCAAACATCGTTTTGACAATGATTAGATGAATAGAATAAATGTCATCGTTCAATTTTAAAATAATAAATTTCTGTACTTCCTTATATGAATAGAAACATTTAGATATTTTTAATAACTAACACAATTTGTATCAATCATTCCCCTGGTGCCGCCTTTGATAGCATTTGTTTCAACTACATTAAATCTCTTCACTCTCACTGCAAATACAAAGCCAGAATTATACTTGATTGATATGTATCACTATTTGGTATGTTTTTAAAAAGAACTTTATAAAACCTGCTCTTTGGAAAATTGCCCATTTCACTAAAGTGATAATGCTGTAATTATGGACTTATATAGAGAAAAAAACTTTTGAAATCTTCTTCTCTGAAATAATTTCGTACGACCCTTGATTTTTTTTCATTTTTTTGAATAAAAAATACCAATAACATACTAATTCTTGTGACAGATAAACATGAATAGCCCATTTTAATTATTGTAAAAAGCATCAACTGCAAGACCTAGAGAAGATATTGTGTACTTAGATTTGTCCAGTATATAGACTAATGTTTATACAAATCATTCACCATAATACCTACTTTTCCATTTACTTATAAGGATATAATATGTATTTCTGGACTTTATCGCCTAATTTGTTTAATTTTTACTTATTTCCCATCAGTCACATTCATTAAGAACGTATGTTTTGAGTGTAAAAGGACAAATGCCATATCTTTTCTCATTTTCGTTTATAGCAAGAAGTGTATAACAACATTAGCACTTAGGTTTGGGAGTTGTAAGATTGACTGTATACCAAATGGTAAGTAACTTTCACTAGCTCTTTAAAGTAATCATAGTTTATTGACATGAATTTGAATTGAAAACATATTTTATTCCAGTAAATAGTACCATTTAAATTGGAGTAAGCTACTAACATTAGTGCGAAGTTTAAAGTTCGCATGCCCTTTGTTGTGTTTCTAGAATAATGAAATTCCAAAATTGTTAAAAAGGTAAGCCAATAACGTAATAGCGTTTAAAAGCTTTTCACTTGCAAATTGCCTAAGGAAGAAAATCAGAAAATATCATTTAGAAATTTACTTCAAACTATAATTTCTTAACAAAATTGCTTATGAGTTCTGTTTTAAACTGCACAGGCCATTATAAAAATTCAAATGTTATGTTTTTAGGTGTTTAAACCTCAGTGGAGTCCCTTTAAGTAAATAACATAAATATAAACAATGAAGATTAATGAAATTGAAAAAAAAAACATATTTGACCAGTAAAATAGTAAAAACTTTAAATTGGCAGTAAGCTATATACATTATGGTAAGTTGAAAAGTTCGCCAAATGGCCGGTATTGTTGTGTTTTCTTAGATTCCATTAAATGAACATTATGTCTCAGAAACGAATAAATTGTTTTCTAGTCCTAGGGCAAGGGTAGGCATGGTTTTTATAACGTTTAAGTATTGGTTTAGAGCATGTTACTTGCATATTACCTTAAGAAAGAATGTAAAATCATTTGTCATAAAAGTATCAAAATGTTAAGAAAGTAGTATATTTACTCCCATAACTATAATTGTACTTTACAAAATTGCCTTATGAGTATCTGTTTTGGAAACTGCAACAGGAAACCATAAACGTTGAAAAAAAACTTTTGAGAAATTAAAAGGCACTTCTGTGTTATAATGGGCCTTAGATATAAGATTAATCTGTATAAGATGACATTTGTTGTTATCCTGTACGTCTAGTATTAAGTCTTACATTGTCATAACTACATGAGTCTAGCTGTTTCTGACTTTTTTCAGACAAATTTCTGAGTGACAATTTCATTGAAGACGTTGCAAATAAAACAATTGGATTCAAGTGGTTTTCCCTTGGTGTTCATCTTGGATTTAGTTGTGAAGAACTATTTGCACTTCAAGATATTGAGCCGCGAAAAAGGAATGCGATGGTAATATTTGTTTCTATCTTATCATATGTGTATTCTGACAATTGTAAAAGCGTAGCTGTGTTAGATTATTACTTATCCATTGGTATTTGTGTAATTAAACTGTACTTTTGATATTAAATGATAATAAATAAACACATTTGTCTGTTTTTTAACAGATTTTGTACAAATGGAGAGATGAACAAGCAAGCAGTTTGGATGAAAAGTTAGACAACTTAATAATAGCAACAAAAGCAGCTGAATTGCCGAAACTAAAATCAGAATTATGTCAGGCTGTTTCTAAATTGTAAGAATCTTTTTAGTTTTTATAATCAGATATTGAAGTTACAAAAAGGTTGCCGAATAACTTGTTTTTAGATTATTTTGTTTAATAATTAACTTTTATGTATGAGATATACTGATGTTTTTCTGAGTATTATAAAATGTTAAAAATTGTTTGAATCATCTTGTGTACATGCATTGATAACCAAAAATTCTTAAAAATTTGACAAATTCAGGGTAGAAAGATATTGTATTGAACAACTTAGACATTACTCACAATTACAATAGAGTTTTAGGTCGGTGAGATTAAATTGTTATAAAAAAGCACATTAAGACAAAAATCAGGATACATTGTACATGTATTGATTTGTTTATAATTAGTCGTCAAGGAAACAGTATACTTGAAAGTTGGATACAGAAATATCAAGGATCGGACACCAGTTTGGATTTACGCAGTCTTCAACAAAAAACACGTAAGTACAAAAATTGTAGACATTTTACTAACATAAGAATAAAGCCGATAATACGAACTATTAAATGTTAGTAGACGATTCGTAGACCATTAATTTATTGAGATTATTACCCTCCAACCATCTTTTTTAAATATGATGCTAAATCAACTTGTAGCCTCCCCATATAGTGACAAATTCCTTCTGTACATTGCGGAACAACTTGGAGGAATAGACGAAAGATTGTTTATTGAACTAGACTTAACTGTTGCTGAGCGAGAGGAAATGCAGACAGGTACCACTTACCAAAGATGCAAGGTAAACATTTCTACTACTTTTAAACTGCTTCTAAACAATGATTTTGCAATGATTTACCAAGCAATGTACTCCATTGACCAATCACGTGTATTTCAGGATAATTTTACAGACTGTTCTTTTTCGGTTACTCCTAATATACTATTTATCAAAGAATAATGTAGCCTGCACACTCCCGCTGATGTCTTTCTTTTCTAGTTATGTCTTTCTTTTATATATATTTGTGTGTATCTTTACAATGACACTGTTTTAGCCTACTTTTCATAAGTTTAAACTTTCCTAGTAAGCTCTTGCGTTGAATGTTTATGTTTGGATGGCATAATATATTTTCCTTATTAATGTATATTGGTGTGTTGGGGGTCCTTCAAAACCGATTTTACACTATAACTTATTGTTGTATAAAGCATGAAGATAAAGAGCCAGAGAGCCAGAAATCAACGGGCACCAGAAAAACAAGTTTTTTTGTGTCTTTCCATGCTTGCTTAATATAAATTATTAAGTTAAAAGATAGAAAAGATGATAAATTATCTTGATAAATTCAATTCGAAAAGAAGTAAATATTTTCTGGGACACTAGATTCTGTAAACAAAATAGACATACATAGCTTTAATATTAACACTTTCATACAACACTTTCATACATTTATCATGTGCATACGTTGGTATACATGCATGTTTATACAAATCAAACATAATTTATCCTAATCTTGTGAGCCGTTTTAGTATTGACCTTTTCGGTTTTGGACTTTTTATTTACTGTGCCATTCTTGAAGTAAAACATTTCAACCACTAATAAACATAAGCAAGTTTGATTTTATTAAATGTATGTTTATTGAGTCATTGCCAGTTGCTACGTTTTTTTTATATAACTGAAGATCTTGAAAAATACTGTATGTTGATAGAAATATATTTTAGCTGAACTTTTCTACTTTACACTTTTACTCACAGCTTCTTATGTTGGCAAGAGACAAATCATCAAGTGACATAGCGTTTTTGAAGAAGCTTAAAGGAACGCTGTCCAAACAAAACTTAAACTTACAGCTTCTGGAAATATCCGAATGCGCAAATAAATGGTAAGCAAAATCTTCTTTTGATTACTAAATAAACGACGTGGGCAATATCAGGGTTAGTAGCTTTAAAGGCAATGTGACGAGTAAAAATTAAAGGCTTATGTCTGTGTCAGAGCCATAACCTTGTGGTGCCATAAATGTTTTTTAATCTATAATCTATCAGCATAGTGTTATATTGTAGCATCACTGTGTCTTTCACTCACTAATGTGTCCCATATAATATTGCGGGATACGTGATCCTGTCCTCCTGTTTACATTCGCAATATATATTTTTCTTATAGCGTGATGTAGACAATGAGTATCGTTTTAGATTTTTTCTAATGTTAAATTCGAAATTCTTTGTTTACATGAAAGAAAACATTATTTTATGCTAACCTGCTATGGAGAATAGGCAGAGTGGTAAAATAAAAAGAAAACTCACTTTTTCTAACAGGCTCTCGACTGAGGAAGCACAACACGTGGAGAAGAAAAAACGGGATGCAATAAAAGAAGTGTTCAAATGACAAAAACGTGTGTCTGATATTACAACCGTCTCGTAGCTTGCCATTTACAGATACAACTACTACACAACTATGTCAGTTTTAGTATTCATTTATGTATACAGTCTGTGATATAGCTATTTAAAACGTTATTTCATCGACATTTTATAAACTCATATTTGCGATGGTGCATGCATAACATTATACATATGTTTTATCCCTTTACAATAAGAATAACTAACACTTAATGAAACAATTATCAAAATGATTAAAAAGTATAGTAAACGTTTTCCCAGTTTTACTTTTCATTTTGACACTTCTAAAAAAAAAAAAAACAACAAAAAACAACAAAAAAAAAAACCACTACATTTTTAATTGTTTCTGTATGGTCATAAATAATAATGTTTAGGATCTACCTGATAAAAACATTATGGATTAAATTGTAATCCATGTAAAATGTCAAAAATGATACAAGTTATATATGTAAATGTTAAGTCATGTGATAAAAAGGCCAACGGCTTGTCATTCTCAGATTTTTTATGCTCCCCTAAGGGAGACCATATAGTCGCCGATTTATACGACCGTCCGCTTTTCTTGTCCGGAACATAACTCTAAAACAACAAGAGGTATCAACCTGAGACTTTGTTGGTAGATAAATATCATTTAGAAGATGTGCATCGCACAAGAACCGTAACACTGCCTTGCCTAATTTTGGAGTTATTGCCGTTTGTTCATTTTTACACTTTGAACTTTGTCCGGGACATAACTCTTAAGCTATAAGAGATATTAACATGAAACTTTGTAGAAAAATCTCATTGGGTAGAAGAACAGTACAAAAACCGTAACTCTGCTTTGTTTACTGTTGGAGTTATTGCTCTTTGTTCATTTTTACACTTTGAATACTATTGAGGACATAATTCTGACACTATAAGTGATATGAACAAGAAACTTTGTAGGTAGATAAATCTCATTGGGTATATGTGCAGTGCAAAAAACCCATAACTGTGCCTTGCCTTATTTTGGAGTTATTGCCCTTTGTTCATATTTCCCTTTTGATCTTTGCTCGGGTCATAACTGTGAAAATACAAGAGGTAGCAACAAGAAACTAATCCGGAGATATATCTCATTAGTTAAAAGTGCAGTGCAAAGAATAGTAACATTGCCTTGCATTAGTTTGGAATTATTGCACTTTGAACTTTGTCCGGGACATGGATTTAAAACTACAAAAGGTTTACTTTTCTATGTCCAGAACCTTTTCGAGGAACCTTTTCGAGGAGCATTACCAGGTTCAACCGGATCTTGTTTGATGATACTATTGGTGTTAGATAAGGAGGATCTTTATCCCAACTTATGTATAAATGGTTTTATATTGTTTTCGTAATGTACAGTTTTATGGTAGATCAATTTACTTTGTATGAATAAAACGAAATAAATACTACACGATCACATGAATGGTGTAATTCTATAAAGTGTATGTAAGAAAATCTTGGATATGGATTTTTGTATGATATTTTAAAGTAAACAATACTAACTATAGATCTTTTAACTCAAAGATATATTCAAGTTCAATATGTTCAGGAAGAGAATGACCTAATATGTAACTAATACAATATTGATATTATTAACGAATTATTGTGAATCAGATTATCATTTTTACATTGTTATCCAAATACAAGGAACTACGTATAAAAGTCATTCGTATGCTCATTTAAACACACATTTTCAAAACTTCTTCATTTTTTATTTTAGTCCGTGTAATATTTTCACACACACACGTGCATATCACTTTTTCTAAAATGATAATAAGAACAACATAAAATACGAATATCAAAAGCCTTTATTTGAGATTCTTACAGACATTTTTCTCAAAACGACGAAATTACAGATTAGTAAAAAATCTAAAACTAATATTGTTTAAATCAAAGTGTTCATATAAAGCTTTGTTCATTATTGAACTATTTTCATTGAAAACATCACAAGCTTTGAATTTAATATATCCACAGATGTTCAGTTTGAAATATCTTTAGAACACAAATATACAGGACAGTAAAGCAAGCAACAAATGAATCCATTTAAATAATGAGTATTGTTTACAGATCTCATATTTACCCTGCTGTGCATTTATTCATAGTATTTATTATAAATAAAAAACAAAAGATACACATAATATACCAAAACAAATTTCTAAATACATCTTCCTTTCTTTAAACTATCTTTCAAAATACATAGTACATCAATGATAGGCTAAAGAATATAAAATGTCGTTACTACCATATCAATCAAAAGATTTTGTTGAAAATATCAGGCTTTTATATATTGCTAATATCATAGATTTAGTTTATAAAATAATTGAAAAAATAGAACATTTATATATCTTATTTTTATTGCGCCTGAAATTACACTATTTAAGTAAAAAGTATTACATTTTAATGATTTGAATGTACTACGAAATAATTCCAATTTTGTATAAAACGATATGACAGCATATTTTAAGAACTGTTGTTAAAAACACGCAGAAATATAAGTAATTAACGCAAAAACAACATTTTTATACATACAAACTCATACTTTATCATTATGCTAATAATAGAAGAATTTACTGGCATAAAAATTTTTGAAAAACAAAAAAACTCATAAGACAAATTTCAAAATTAAAACGATGCATATATATACAAATCATTTTTATCAAATGCTACCGATACATGTGACATTTTTTACCTATAAAGCATGTAATATTGTAATCGTCATATTGTCTACTGCTCTGTGAAACAATAAAGTTTGTTTGAAAAATCATTACATGCGATTTTACGAATGTTATTGCTTATTATAAAAGTGAACATTATTAATTACACATTACAAACGCTGTTTAATATTCTTGTTATGCAGCTTATTTTGCGATGTCATTAAATATGACATATTCTATACTGGCATATACCGTGGCATTTGTGAAAAACATATACAAGTATATTTATAATATATATATTAAATTAACTGTGTGCAATCTTAAAAGTGAATCAACAAATGAAATGAAATGAGCGTATGTGCATGAACTTAACCTGAAGTGACGCCCATAGGGACCTGATAAATACCTCATCTCCTGTCTACATCTGCAGCTAATCTCACAGAGCAACCTCCTTACAACGATAACACCATAATAAGTTATTTGATATAGTTATTTATTACATAAACTTAAAGTTCAGATAAGAAGAATAAATCTGTCCTTCTTATGTTTATTCATAAATACGACAGAAAACGTTGTACTTTTTACTTTTGTTATGAAAACTTTAAACTATATTATAATCACAATAAGAACTTAAACTAAAAGTTCCAGAATCTATCATTAAAACTTCTATAAACTAAGACAAGTGTTCGTCATAGTGTTAAGGTAATGTAGAATTGCTCTGTCAAATTAGATGCAGGTAGCAGAGATCTTGTGATGAAACTGCTCGAAATTTCTAAATGAAAACTCAAAATCGTAACAAAATACATGCTCATGCACAACAGAAAAATGGAATAAAATATACATGCGCTACTGTAGTGTTTGCAATTGAAAAATGATTTCTTTGTCTATTTCTATCAAGATTCATGCTTGAATACGTTATTCTGTGTGCTAGTATATATTTTACATGCTTGAAAGCATAGCAAAACTATTTCTTAACAACTTTTCGAAATCTCATTTTCAGGCGGCTTTTGCAAATAAAATGTTATTTCTATATTTTAAAGTATGCATTTTCAAAATTGTTGATTTTTTGTAGAAAGACAAGCATTTTTAAGCTTATGACTATTTTAAAATCCAATTACTATTACAATCTTATTATGATAAAAAATCACACGATAACATATACGAGAGTAAATAAACGAATGAAATGTTCATGCAAAGAAACAAAATTCACAATTAAACTTTGAATCCAAACTTGAATACAAAAATTGGGACTCACTGGAACAAAGCATACTATAATAAGCATCATGACATTTGCTACACAATAATAAACTAGTATTAGTCGACACACTACCTAGTATATCTTACAAAAACGAAAAAATAACAAAACATACTGGCCCGTTTTGATTTTATGAGTTTAATATTCTTTTTTTTTTTGCAATTTTGGCAACAAAAAATGGGTTATTTATTTGTTTAGACTCTGTGCATTATTAGTTTATTATTACTTCCGAAAACGTTGTACAGTCTGAAAACAATAGTTGTTTTCTTTTATACTTAAAAGCAGTCGAACAAAGAAATGCTAAGCGAAAATTTGACGGGTCAACATGCTTGGGAAGTAATGAATTAAGCAGGGACATGCGGGCACCTACTGTAATAATGCTGAAACTATATGGAAAAGTAAATGAAAATAAAATGAAAATAAGAAGCATTCAGAATTATCACAAGTCTTTTGATTTGGTTTAATGTAATATCTTTATGGTATGTGATATTTAAGGCCCCTTGACATTACTCCCAGGTAGTCGCACTATCTGTGGTCCTCCTGCTGGTGCAAAATTACAATATTCGCAATATCCCGGAGGTCCCTGCGAACCTGGTGGACCTCTTGGACCATGGGTACCAGGTAATCCTGATGGACCTCTTTCTCCAGGTCTACCTTCTTGACCAACTCCAGGTGGTCCAGGATTACCTGTAAACACACATATATCGATAAAATCAATCATAATGAGGCAAAGATATTAAATAAAAACTTAAATCCGAAAATCTTGTTAAGCAAGAATAATTCGTGAAGTTAATACTGATATCTGAAGTTAAATAACTTATGACTATAATGTTAATCATAACGGATGATTTTCAATATAAAAGGATAGAAAATTCATAACACGCATAATAACATGTATGTCATCAATCAGCAATAGTAAACCAAGTTGATATGTAACTAAATACCTGGCATTCCACGTGGTCCCATAATGCCATCTTTGCCTCTTCCTCTCGGTCCTCGGTCTCCTTTCATTCCTTGTTCACCTGGTGGACCTACTGGTCCCTGGGTTCCTGGAAGTCCTGGAATACCCATGAAACCTCTTTCTCCTGGCTGACCTGGCTCACCACGTTCACCTGTTAACAAAAACATTGTTAAATATAAAAATAGGTTCAAAACGACTGTAACACTGAGAATAACATCGTGATCTCTTCTGATATCAAATATAAGGCCAGTTTAATATGGCTCAGAATGGGCGAAACTTTAGTGCTATTATATTTATGTTGGTCCTTCAAGATAATTGAAACCTAAACATTATTTTGTTGAACATTGACTACGGTTGAGCTGATGTTAGAGCACGCATGAGATATTTCGTTACCTCTCATGAGTAGACTCAATTAAACAAGTCTGCAATTTTCACAATAAAACTTTATTTCCGTGCTCACGAGTGATTTCTTCCAGATTTTGCCACAATCTAGATGATCTTCAGGATAAGATACTGCCCATGAACTAAATGAAACCGAGCCTACGACATTTTGTCGTTTTGGGCATTCTTTTAGGAGGATATAAAGAGAATTTATCTTTTCACTTTATTAAGTACAATTTGTCTATCATATGTCTGTTTCTTCAATAAGTTTAAAGGCAAATTACGCTTCAGTAATCCATATTTTATATTTATTTCTTTAGAAATATCAGACACTTGTTAAATTATGTTTCGATAATAGATTAAGAGCATGTTAGATGTTAATTAACTGAAGAAAGTAGCGCTGAATGTGCAATTACGTGTCAAATGTAAACAAAGAAGTATTTTGACTTCCATACAAAATACTAATTCAATATAATTATACCAATTTCCAACAGAGAAAAAAGTAAAAGATGGCTAATCTTTCTGGCCGAGGAGGTTTTGTTTTAACTAAAACACGATACTATAAATAAAAAAAAGTTTGAGAAATAAAAATGATTTTCTTTATATCTGAGGCATAATGGGCCTTTAATGGGTAAGGGAATTTTGTTTGTAAAGGAAATTCCCCTTTTGCATGAGCCTTCGTTTAAGGTCATATTATTGACTGCTTAACATAGTAAAATGTTAACACGATTTATTGGTTAAAAATAAATTTAGTTTTTAATAATTTGATAATTAATAATTATGGCTTAACCTATTTAACCGTTTTGCATTTTTTTTATTATAACAATTGTATGATATTTATTCATATAATTACCTGGGAAACCCTGCTGTCCAGGAGGTCCGGATTTTCCTGGTTTACCAACACCTGGTGGTCCGGCTGGTCCACGCAAGTCTGCTACTAAATCTTCTAGCTGCTCACGTAATATTTGGAAACAAATTTGTCTAACCTCTTCGTCTGAAACACCCCTACCCTAATTTAAAAGAATATCATTTCCTTATTTTTAATCTGTATTTTACATAAATATAATATCAAATGACATAGAATATATATATATATATAAAGTCCTGACGAGTCGTATAGGTACAGCATGTTTGGTTAATATTAAATGATTAATTTCATTTTCATTTTAAGACAAATTTTCATATATCTAACATTCAATTTTCATGTTCAATGTTGTTACAAACATCTGTATTATTTTTAACCATAAGATTATTTGTAATAGCTTAATATTAGAAGTAAAATTGTTGAATTTAATTCAATTCAGTGGTAGTTCAAAAGTAAAGTATCAGCACACATAAATAGTATCAATAACAAACATACTGGAAGTCCTGGCATGCCAGGAGAACCCGGTTGTCCTCTCTCTCCAGTGGGACCGGGTGGACCTGTAGGCCCCGGTATTCCAGGGGTTCCTGGTGCACCATTACTTCCCTGTGGTCCGCGTTCTCCCGGTGAACCTCTTGGACCCGACTATAAAGTGTTAAAACTCTTTAACATTTTTATCAAATGGCATGCGTTGAAAAAGAAACAATTACTAAATTCAACAGCAACATATTTTTTTCTAGAATAAATTTAAGTAACTGAAAGAAGAGCAAACATTAAATATTAAAAATAAAAATTTGTTATGTTTGTAATTCATGTTGCAAATTAGATTCAGCAGAAGCGTTAAGCACCCGTGTGTATTTAATCGGTTATAATTCACTATCCCTTGAGTTTTTGCTGCTCTCACATGCTTGCTAATTGGCTTAATAGCTTATTTCCTTTTCAAATTCAAGCATCAAAGCAATGTCCGTGTGTGCTATCAAGTTGATGCTTTTGTCTTATCAAAAACGTATAAGACTTCAATTAAACTATGAAATGAAACACACACCATGCGTTTGTAATTAACAGAAAACCAACGCTGGTTCAACATACCCATTTCAAAGCATTCTTTCCATTTTAGATTAAGGGGTTTAATTTTCGGAAGGTATGTCGAGTCAGTTATATAATCCTTTATCTACAAATTAAATAATCAATTTACATGCGAATCTGTTTTTATGTGTGAGAAAAAAACTTTTCAGAAAAATGTGAATCGTTTCCATTTTCACAAAATTTGAAGGGGTAGGAATAGTTTATTCACTTAAGAATTAAATTTTGTGGATAATTGTGCGTATGTCAAACAAAATCTCTTACCAAACCAGCACTCCCAGTGGGCCCAGATGGTCCCTAAAATATAATTTAAGATAAATACTAGTATTATATTGTTTAAATACTTATCTGGTTTTAATAGTTGTATATGAAAATAAATAATATTTTAGGAGTTATTATCAAACAAAATGCATATTTTATATATTAGTATCTGTAATATGAAATATCAAGAAACATTTCCTTCTTGCTAATTTAAGATGTATTAAATACTTATTTATTATGGTCAAATTGACAACAAAATATTTGAATAATTGCTGAACTACAATTTATTACTTATTTAACTTAGTAAAATTATTAAACGAATATAACAAAATCTGAACAACCGGTCTGCATTACAATGTAAATAGCTCTATACAACCATGACGTTTATTTTTTTTAATCTCTTAAAAGGTGACAAATCAAACAAATATGATTATCATGAACATTGTCGGTTTTTCCTTTTCCTGAAATAAATTGAAATGCGGTCAATATTTATTACGCTTTGAAATAAAAATAAAGGCTATCTTTTTACGAATTGCATTTAGTTAGTATATGAAGCAAAACCAAAATCAATATACTTGATGTTGAGAATACTTGAAAGAAAATTATATATATAAAGATTTCAAATAAATTTGACATATTTAATTGAAATTAATAAACTAAATGACAGATCATCCAAAAGAAAACGGGCAAACTGAATGTTTAAACAACACAACTAATAAGGTTTGGCTGTTAGGTAAACTACGCAATGCAAAAATAATAGTCAAGTAGGGAGAAGTAACTTAATGAGAAGAAAGATGGAAGAAAAATAAATTCAGCAGAATGGTCGTGGCGAGCTAAATGCTTACCGGTTGTCCAGGAGGGCCCTCTTTACACAGGGCACTTACCGGCAGCCCAGGGGGACCGCGCTGCTCTTGTCCACCGTTCTGAGCAAGTATATCATACGAACCAAACTCCTAATAAAAAAAATAATTGTTGATTGATATCATAATATATGTGCATTGAAAAGGAATATTTATATTCACATACATTTCATTTATTAATAAAAATGCTTGCTTTGTTTACACTCAAGAAATGTGTATTTGAAAATAGCATTTACCGTATCATTATACCTTATTATAATACTGTTGTCAAACACTACATACATAACATGTTTCTGTGACAGATAAACGCTTGATTATTAAATGATTCTTTTCAAATTTGAATATATCGAAGTTACTTACCAAGCCCGATCCCTTTTCTCCAGCTGGTCCTGGTGGGCCCTATAATGTAATGAATATATTTATTTCTAATGCATCATTCTATTTTCATTTTATCAATTTACGTTCTAATATGTGCGAAAGAGCATCTTCACTATAATTTTTCTTTAACGTACCGTAAAGGTAACTCCTAGTCACATTTCAGTAATCTAATGCAGTGAAATGTTACTTGTTTAAATGTTTAACTTTAAACATCATATGTTTAATCTCAACATATTTGTAAATAACATAAATATAGTTTAAAGTTAAGTGAAAACAAAGGTTTTCACAATTCATATTTAGACATTCAAAAAGAATATAAACAACACACATGTTAATTCCTTACTGACAGACCCATGAAATAAAAATAGAGCAGGAGTAGCCTAAATATTCATGCAGTTTAATTAGATTGTGATAACAACAACATCCAAAGAAAATAACCCATACACTGACAAGTCCAAAACACATAAGCTCCACCGAAATCCTTTCAATTACAAGCAGGACTCAGTCAGTTCTAGATGACGCTTAGTTAGATATGATTCAACTAATGTCGTTCAATGTAAGAAAAAAAACCTTACATGTATCTTTGGAATACTATTTATTCTATTATATAAAAACATAGAATGAAATTAGATTGCTATAAATGAAGATCACCATATGAATAAAATAGAAACAAGAGAAAGAAAAAATCAAAGAACGCCTTAAACGGCGGAAATTCGCACTTATCGAGCATGAATTTGAACCCTTAAATGAACATTTTGAATATCTTACAATTTTAGACATTTTCATATGTTTGTAATCTTTAGTTCTTCATTGTTATCATTTCAAGATTTATCAGCGTCAAAAAGTAAAACTCGAGCATATCTATCATAAGTCTTACCGGTGGTCCAGGTGGACCAGCTTGTCCCATCATGCCCATAGGGCCGGGTTGTCCAGGTTGGCCTGTTGGTCCCTAATTCGTGAACAATCATATCATGCATGGTAAAATGTACTTGCAAAAATATTATTTTATTTAATATTAAAATGTTTCATTTCAACATTTATTTATATGACAAAAAGTTTCTAGTTTCAGGATTTATATTTAACAAAAATATTTCCGTTTGTGCTACGAATTGTTTTATCTGTTTGTTAAATCAAATATTTTAGATTTTTGTTTTGTTTATACATAAATTAAGTTAAATTTCTTTGTATCATATCAACTGATGAATTTTTTCAAAGCAAAAAATGTTTTGTTAAATTGTGTTGGTTTTATCTTTATATCCTATATATAACCTACACATTTCAAATGTTTATAATGTTTATATAAATCTATTTTTTATCTAAAAAAATAAATTTGCATGATGATAATTCACATAAAATTAATTTTGTACCACTCTTCCATCGGTTCCAGGTGATCCACGTGATCCTTGTTCACCCTTTTCACCGGCAAGGCCCTATTTTAAATACAAGGAATGACATGCATGTATAATAAAAGTACTTACATATATCATACAGAAGTGCATTTCTTTTTCCAGACTGAAGTTGGACCTTTTTGCTTTGCATTATAAATGTGTTAGACAAAGAGGGACTTACTGTGAATGTTGTTCCTTTCACTCTAAATTCCTTCAATTTTCTACGTTTATTTTTCCTATTTCTACGTTGTTTTCGTTCTGTTTCCTCTGCATTTAGAGTTGCTACCACTAATAGCACGATTACAATGCAACAAATGCGTTTAATTAACATAATGAGGAATGTCCTTATACACAGATATATCTCCTCTTTTACTCTTAAATAAGCTCACTCTTTCTGAGGTCTGTTAACGTTTGGTCAGGGAATGCAAACAGTAAGGAGACCTGCTGAGCTAGGGGTTTTATATGAAGTCTGATCTCTATAAATCTGTGAAACTAAGTTAATCTAATTTATCAAATAATTGGTATGTGAATGTCTGTTTTTATAGTTTACACGTTGTGGTCTATACAACGCTTTTTCAAATATTACGGTCTCTTGCTTTAATTGGCTTTTAGATACTTCTAACATTCATTGAAAACCTTCAAGTAGGTCAACTTCAGTCAGTTTCGAAAATGCTTGAAAGAAAAAATCAAATTAAACAAACCATATTGAAATGAAAACAGTATAAAGGAATAATTAAGAACAAATATCAAGAAAATCAATAAAATTATCTATAATAATTTTATATATTTAACAGAAACTTTTAACCTAATTAACAGAAACTATTTTTTATACATTACATTAATCCTATCTCAAATGAAATTATCATCATATATTGAATTTTTATTTATTAATTCTCACCCTTGGCCCCTGTGCTCCTGGCTGACCGGGGGTTCCGTTGTCTCCACGCTTTCCCTAAATTTATATGAGATTCTATTTAATATTTTATTACTTTAAATGATAATTTACAAATAGCTGTTGTGCTTAAAAAGATGTTCTATTCAAGGTCTAAGAAAACTATACCGATAGATTTTAACAAAACATTTATAGATAACTAAAGTATAAAATATATCTTGCTATTTCCTAGAAAACAAACGAAACATTTTTCGCTCTGGGTGTTCTTTACAATTATTGTTAAAGTTCTGAAAGGTTATTTTATTTCCTCTAGTTAAAGGATGGGAACGTTTGATGCAATTCGTAACCTCTGAACAGCTTCCAAACGCATTTAAAACTAAAATAATGTAAGTGAATTATTTTTTTTATATCTATCACAATCTACATTGATGTCTACTTATATGAAAAAGGATTTTAAAAGCTAATCAGGTACACAATTAAAATTATGTGCTGTCGAACAAATACTATTCGAGAATACATTCAGGTGTTTATTTATTCAATTTTGGTTTAAACAGTATTTATTTATTATAATACAAACATATACAATTATGATACAACAACATTATATAAACAGGATTGAAAAGGAAGTCAAAGACTTATATTCAATTATATTTATTCAATTTTATTATTCAAGAAAATTCAACAAGATATTTGAGTACCTGCTGAGGCTAATATTCTTAAGTCAACATAAAGTTGAGCAAAATATCGTTTTTTCAGTAATAAAATCGTGAAATATAAGACATTTTATGTTATACATATTAAATATAATACATATTTGATATAATACAGAAACGACTATATTCATACACATCGAGAAATGAAAATTCGTTGACGATATTATATCATCAGGAAATGCTGATATCATTTTGAATATTAAACATACCATGAAAGATTATACTTAACAAATAACTTAAAGAAGAGCTCCCAATTTAGCAAATATTCAGTAAAATAGAACCAGATCTTATGTCGAGACCACTAAATTGCTAATAAAAAGAGAGTGTGTATCTGTTTAACATGAAAGAAAATAGAATTTGTCTGGGTCACGTACACTAACATATTCACACACGCTGTAATCAAATCTTGATCATTGATTAAACGAAAGAAATTTCTAAAGGATTTAAAATCTCTTCTTTATTATCAGGATTGATAGAATGAATTAACTTAATCCGGGGCATTCACTTAATGTACTTCAAATAGCTATTAAAATGTTGTAATTTCAGTAACATGTTGTTGAGAAAAAAAAACGCAGAGCAGATTCATTTCAAAAGTAACTGAGTCAGTTTTCAACTGTTAAATTTCTTGTTAAGCTGACTTTAACATTTGATATAACTTATTTCAAGAGCATTTTTCCATTGATTCCATTGATTATATTGAGGAATAATAATGTTTTAATAATAATAGAAATGCACTCCCTAAAACATTAGAAATTGTTGAAAAGAACAGTACAATGTTTTAAATGTAAAATTGTTATGAATCAAAATTATGCAGAAAAAAACCCAAGAAAGACAAAATTGTCGTACTAAAAGTGTTTAAGAAAGCTATACCAATTTATATATCAGATGTTACAATGGAAAAAGCTTTCTTAAGATTTAAATCTGTTCAACGATCGCATAATAAACTATCCAGTAATGAATCTAGTATACTGTATAGATTGTATTTGTCTGTTTTGGTGTAAGATCAAATGAAAACCAGATGCTATAGGCTTTGTATGAATTGTGAGCCATGAGCTAAATTATAACAACAAATTTTTATTTTCCGTATGATTTTTAATCGTTTTAGTTCATTTTATTGATGTTTTCCATTATTCATGACATCAACAAACCATAATGTCTAACTATTGAAAAATGATTCTCAAAACATTCTGGTATTGTGAACAATTTAACGATAAGTGCAAATGTGTATGTGCTTACATACTTATGTTATTTCTTCTGTCATTTCCATTCATTTATAAAAATATATACTTTTCATCTGCATTAAAATATCGATCGGCTTTGTCAAATTGTAATTTACTACAGTGTATAAAATTTTGGTAAATATACTAAAAGCATATAATAAATACATTTATTACTTTAGACAATCTCTTTTCTATGGATGATATCAAGTGTTTACTCAAGTTGTTTATGCCAAATGAATGATTTACTTACTGATGGACCTCTCGGACCTTCTGGTCCCTGTCGCCCTTCCTCTCCGGGTAATCCCTGAAAAATAGAGCGACAGAAATAGAATATTCAAAAACAGTAACAGAATAAATGTACTTTTATTGATATTAGAATCGTATCAATGCTTCACCTCTTAGATGCGTTTTGATGGTATTACAATTGTTTTGCTTACAAAACATTTTAGCAAAGAATAAACTTAAAGTCCCCTGAAAAATTCATTATCGTCAATCACATCAAAAGCATCAATGACTGGTGCTTCTATGTGTAAAACTTGTATTAAAAGAACTGGAAAGTAACTTTCTTATTATGTTTAAAATATTTCAAAAATATAAAAAGGCACAACTGCTTACTGGTGGACCTTGCTCTCCGTCAGTACCATCTCTTCCTGGGGGACCCTACAAAATAATTTGTTAATATAAATGACTGCATTTCAGGATGAAAATAGTATGAAATTATGATCTCATACATAGTGTTTGCAAGTGATATATGCATCAATAAATATCAAACAGCAAATTTATGTATTTCTTCAAAGTATCATTTTCACATAAAAAGAAAACAAATGAAACAAATTAACCTTTTGTTCATTATATAGTATATTTTTTACTTATCTTGTAAAATATTATTTATTACATTCACATAAACGACAGTTATATACAAAATATAACATAACATAACATATAGTGCATCATACGTACTGGTTCTCCGTTCTTTCCGTTTTCTCCCGGTGGTCCGGCTAAACCAGGTTGTCCCTAAAATGTAATTAATTTGTTTTTAAAATAACAATTACCCCTATCCACTGTTTGTACATGTACTTTGTAGATATTTTAAACTTTCATCAGAATCTGTTGCTAATCGCAAGCCATGTTTGTGGCAATGTTATTTAACAGTAAATACTTTTTGTAATGCTAAATTAAAAACCCAATATAAATATAAATTCAGGTTAATTTAATTTTTATATTCATTTTTTTCCTTAATATACTGTAAAATCTTATATAAAAGTGATAACGATCAAGTTTGTGCACTGTCTGCGGTCAGTTACGTTCATTTCATATTAATTCACATTGATTCGTTGTTTACTTGTTTTGACAGCTGTCATCTGTCAAATTAAAATTCTATTTTTTTATGTTTGTATAATGTTACTTATTTTCATATTTTCTATCTTAAATACAGATATTATTTGATGATCACTTTTCATTGATAGATTAAACCTCATTCAAAATATAAAAAAAATATTTTGCCAACAATTGAACCAATGATGCCAGGATGTAGGGTCGGATTCTGATTAATCGGTTACATTTAAAGTAAAGAAAATATAATTACCGCTTCTCCACGCGAGCCCTGAATACCACGTGGCCCTGGTGCTCCAGCTGGTCCCTGTAAAATTATATATAAATGAGTTTCCGGCTTCGTTTTATGCATAAATGCATTATAAAATAATCTTGTTATATGTAAATTTTCTTTTTGTAGAATAATCACAAACATGTATTTATTCTTTTTAAGAAAATATGTTTTATGTGATATGTTCATTTTCATGAATGTAATATATAATTATAAAAGATACTTGAGAAATTTTTAAAGATATGTCTGTTTACTGGTTGGAAATTTATTGAAATTAATAATGATGATTTTTGTTTTCATATATACAAAACCTAATCAAGCTGCATACATGAAACATTGATAAATAATGTAAACATATTGATGATACGTCTTATAGCATATTCGCAACAGCGTCTTATAGTTTGTCATTGCGCCAAAATTGTTAGTTCGCTCGCTTTGCAACACAAATCGCTGCGTAATTTTGCATGATTCCGTGCTTCTTAAATATAATTTCCAAGGAGCATTTTTCAAGTATTGAAAATTGTTTTTGGTCTTTTTGGTCTTTAATCCATTATAATCTAACGTTATGAAAGATATTTACTAGAATACATTGTTTTAATGATAATTGTTATAAATTTAATATGCTCTAAGACGGATCCTTTCAAAACAACCAAATACTACTCCAAGTAATTACTCACGGGGTATCAAGACAGTAAAAGTTTAATTGGTTAAAATGGAAGGGAACAATGAAATCATTAAAAATATTCTCATCACACATATTTGAATTGGAAAGCGTGTCAGCTAAAATTCTACTTACCCTTTAGGATCAGAATACTTCTGCGTGCATGTTTAAATATAAATAACATTACGTTTTATTGAAATAATAAGTGTAGCAATTGCATGTACCACATAAACAAAACAGACTGAACGCACAACGTGTCAAATTAAAGCCAACATTAGAAAAAAAACATAAACATTTGTTAGATAGAACAGAAACTTGTGTAGTGTAGGCACATTGCTTGTAAAATAGTTTCTAATGTATTAATATTTCAGTATAAATTAATATTTTTAAAGTAAACAATAAACTGAACTTAATATACACTAAGGTGAGCAGCGCTGGTGTAAAAAAGAAATGTACTAAAAAGGCGTTTTCCGTATATAATTGGCTACATGTATTGAAATAGCATATGTATAGTCTATTTCATGCAAGAATTACGATGGAGTAGTACTCGGAATTGCTGCTTGTATTCCTCAAGTACCGATTCTTCTAGATCCCTCAATGTTAAAACCTCTCCAGGTGGGCCTGGTAAACCCTGAAAAAAAATCATTTTTTCTCGTTTATATCTTATATGTAGAACAACTTCTTTTTGCCCGAAGCGTTATTGGAACTTGTTATATCTTTTATGTATACTCGTATAATTTACACAGAAATGCATATAAAAATGTATATAAAAATTGATTTAACTTTGATTGAATTGCGTTCATATTTTGCTCTCCTTTTTTTCTATTAAAGCTATTCCTTGGCTTTAGTCTTTAGTTTAAAGCCAAGTTTTTTAAGTCGATTTTCGTTTTGTATTCAACTGATACTTTTTCCTTTTCTCATTATGTGAATGTAACATTGTCTAGTTCTTCCTACTTTTAGTCTGGTTTAGCTACTAGTATACAGGATAAAGCAACATTTTACACTTCTTCCTATTTTTTGTAGATATGTTTTACAGGCGGTAATTTACCTCGATATCAGACAATAACAGAATGACATCGTAAATAACTTACCCTATCACCCCGGTCCCCTTTTTCTCCAGGTTGACCCGGTTTACCAGGTTCGCCATTTACTCCCTATTGTAACATAAATAAACAATTTTTTCATTATAAAATAAATACAACAGTTTAGATATATTCCATAAAAAGTGAGAACAATATCATATGTATTTACACATAGTTTGCAAATAACAGAATTTGTTATGTATCATATATTTAAATGCATTCAAATGGGCAGACAAAATCCGTAACTAGTTCAGAAATAGTGTATTTACAAGATATCAAATTTTAATGAATTTTAAATGATTAAATGTTTAAATGATTTTGCGAAAAGAAAGTTTAAAAAGTGATTTACCGGAATTCCTTGCAATCCCATCGGCCCAGGTTCTCCCTGTAACAAAACGGAAAAACACGTTTATTTCAGAAAAAAATATCATTGTCATCACAACCTTCATCTTAAGATAAACCCTATGACGATATTAAACTATAGTAAATATAATCAACTTTGAAATAACAAAATAAACCATGAATATTTCTATAAAACTGATTATTGATTCAATTAAGAAACACGATTATAATTGTATATAAAGAATAAGAAACATACTCGTTCTCCATTAATGCCAGCTGGTCCCTCCGGTCCTCGTTCTCCTGGTCGACCCTTCAATATAAATTCAACTCAGAACTCTATAAAAATTTCTAAAATTCTAACAATCATCATGTAATAATAATTTGATTTTTTATAAAGAGTACATAATAGTAAATTTATAAAAAAATAAAGAGGGTTACATCAACAACGTATTACATAATTGTCATAATGTTTTACCGGAAGTCCATCGGTGCCATCTCTGCCCTGTGGTCCTCTCTCTCCCGTCAATCCCTGCAATATATCATTTCATTGTTCAAAAAACCATAGGACTATACAAATTCTTAAACAAGGGAAGTAACACAAGTAACTTTAGAAATTCAATACATATAAAGTTATTTACCCTTTCTCCTGGCGATCCAGGCTCACCTGGAACTCCTGGTTCTCCCTGAAAAATTACAACAATAAATGTCAAAATGATTTTTGTAATTAGAAAAATAATTTTCATGATTATTGAAGGCTTACCTTTTTTATTTTCACTGTATATAACTCTTTAAACAACTAAAATATGTGTAAATCACTATCCTTCTTTATTATTCAACTGACATTTATGTACATGTATCATGAATATTACTAAAAGTAATTTCTACTATATTTTATCCAAGTAAAAAAAGCATTATAAAATAAGTTGGATTAACGTACAGCAATTCCTGAAGGTCCTTGTAATCCCTGTGGTCCTTGTGGTCCAGCAGGTCCCTGAAGGTAATTAATATATGAGCGTGCAAGACAAATTCCACATTAATGGGTTCGAACCAGTATGAGATCAGACCATCTGCGCACTAAACGAGTCTTAAATAGGATACATTAGTTCCTAATCAGTTTCTCTACTTGGAAATATAAGTTTGAAGCAACACTTGATTCTGATCAGAAGTGGAATGAGCATGCTAGTTGTATCATGCTTGGTCGCAACCATTATTATGGTTTTGTCACGACACGGTTTATGTTAATATTAGTTATAAAATGTTCTCTTGAATTTCGTAAGAAACAGCCTGTAAATGATAAGACAAATTTATGGCACTGAAACTATCATTTAAATAAGTACATATATTTAACATAATATTATCGCATACTGGTAAATTTAATTTAAGTCAAATCTTTGTATTTTACAAAATGGAATGAAGCATAAAATAGTTGTTCATGTTGGTGAAGCAGTAACAAACAGTAACAGTAATGATAAAATGACTTACTGGGATCTGTTTAATTTCTTCTTGAATTTCGTTAGAGACGACAGCCTGTAAATAATTGGACGTAAATTATTAGACGTTTTTCATGAGACACTCAAAAGTCACAGAAATATAGATTTCTCAATATCTTTAAATCATTAAATAGACAGATTAAATATGCCTCAGAAACGAATAAGTTTTACTTTTTTTTAAAAAGGGGCTGACATGAGTTGAATAACATTTTTAACTAGTAGTTTAAGATCAGATGCTTGTAACCTGAAGAAAAAAGAAATTATATGTCATTAAAGCAGCAAAAAATAAACAAAATACTAAATCACTATTGCTGTACTAATGGCCAAAAAAAAACAACAGACGAAAAAGAGTGGCTCGCTTTAAGGGAAAATAAATTATAAAAGTACACCAAAAATAAATAAAAAGCTTTTGAGAAATAGAACTGAACACATTTCTGTGGCAAAACTGGCTTTTTAAATATGAACAAAAAAAACAACAACAAATTTGTACTTTGAAAATTCGTTTATAAGTTTTAATAATAATAATAATAATAATGATAATAATAATAATAATAATAATAAAAAAAAAGAAATAATAATAAAAATATTATTATTATTATTATTGATAATGATAATAGATAATGAAATAAGATTTATGAATATTCTAGACTCTATAATATTTAAATGATAACATTTCTAATCTTATACAAAATGAACAATTATGAGAGCCAAATAACTTTGAAGTGTTGAGCTTACCTGAGGACCGGGAGGTCCCGGGGGTCCTTGGATACCTTGAATGCCAGCACTGCCATCACGTCCCTGTAAATATAACCGACATTCAGATATCTGAATAATGTACATCATGAACATTCTATAGTAATGATTATAGCAGCATTTAAACAACACTTGGTTTATGACAGAGTAAGTTACTTTAAATCAAATTTTATCTAGTATTTATATATCATTTGCCTATTGAAATGTTTATTCATAACATTAATGTCTGTTAAAAAACCTTTCACAAACTATTATATAAAAATCTGCATTTAACATAGTTAACTTAAACTGGATATTACCGGTGTACCAGGAACACCCCTATCTCCTTTTTGTCCAGAATCTCCCTTCTCGCCCTGAAATGTACATCAAAATGTTAAATATCTTTCATGTTACAAATTTAACACCGATTTCTTTCAATTGTATATTTATTTCTTTATCAAATCATGCTTTGCATTAAAGACGCTGGACTGCTTCTATTATTATTATTGGTAATTTTGTTATGTTAATGCATCAATTTTCAAAGCTTTTTATTGTTTAATTACATTATTATAACGAGGTGGCCAACAACGACTGTATTCCATGATTTGTGACGACCTATATGCTCATTATAGTTCTATAGTGTTCCACCGGGTTACCCCTAATTGTAATATTTTGTGTAAGGGGGACTTCAACATAAACATTAAATTTCTTTGTAGACTTTAACTTTTCGTACATTTGTTTTCAAATAGTGTTATCTATTCGCCTTGTGAGACTTTAAACCCATATCTAAATACATTTTACCATTATGTAGATAATGTTTGTGCCAACCCGATATCCCCTATGGAGAGGACGAATAAAAGATCGGGTTAACTATTTATTTATTGTGTTTTCACCTGACATAGATATCTCAGACATGATGTGCCATCAGAAATTACGACCGTGGGCTTAAATGCAGTTAAATTTATTTGAAAGATATTATAGTTTTACATGACCGATTTTTTTAAAGAACTTCAAGGATTACTTTTTGAAAAAAAAAAATAACAAGAAATGAGAAATTAACTTTTTCTTCGCAATTTTATTAGTACATCAATATTAAATAGCTTTCACGTCTTGTTTTCTTTACATATAACAAAACAATATTATATATATATCGTCAAAGAAATTAATGTTTATTTATATTAGTTATACAAAGATAATTCATTCCCTAAAATGCTCCAATGAAAACAATATTTGTATAATTATATAATCTTTTAATATCAGAATTGATATATACGCGTTTAATACGACAAGTTGTAGGAAATAATCGACAATAATAAAACTCTATTTACAAAATAAATTCTATCTTGTAATCAGTCTACATATTTTTATATGCATCTACTATAACTTTAATCAACAAGAGAAGCTACCAGAATGGTACACATAGATAACTTATGTGCTTGATTTTTCATGACCATATATGAACAACTTCTTCTTTATTAGTAACCAGTTTATTAGACATTTGATATTTCGACGAGTTTACCGTATAATATAATAATTTCAAAGTTAACGCCAGAGAACGTTCAGTGACACACCGATAGACAAAATGAATGCAATTAAAGAAATGGCTAAATGACGTGTGGCCACTTAGGAGGCAATAATGCGTTCAATGATACACAAAAGTGAAACATTTTAAGAAGTTAATGACTGCACGAAGATAATTGTGTAAGATAGAAGACAGATAAAACCTGGTGAAAGATGATAAGGTTAACGTTTAATGTGTGGAATGAAACGATACACCGTTAAAATTGTTTATTTAAGAGAGTCCTCTTTCAACAAAGGAAACTAGTGATTATCTGTTTTTCGCTTAATCATTTAGGCATAATCGTACATACATGATTGCACACTGTCTAGAGATAAAACAGTACGAACTGACAATGTAGGCACAGACTAAGATGAATGAAATGTAAATTGCTGCGCGAATGATGTCAAAATAAGTCAGAATAAACACTGATAATGTAAAATTTACCTTCACTCCCGGTAATCCATCCTGACCATGTTGTCCAGGATTGCCCTGTAATTCAAATTAAGAGTTAATTACTTTATAATAAGATTTTGTTAACTAAATGATATCTTTTTAAAAGTTGTTTAAATATAAAGTGTTTCTACAGGTTAATAAAGAATAACCGAATGATTGTAAGTAATTGGCTAAATTTAAACAACGAATCAGTAAGAATATATGATGTAAATTGTTACGTCATATCCTGGTGTTCCGGGTTCTCCGGCAGGACCACGTGGTCCGGGGGATCCCATCACCTAAAACAAAATAAGAGAACATAAATCAATCATTCTTTATATGTGATATTCTGCCGTAATTCCCTTAACCAAAATTATTCAAAAAATAATTAACCCTTAAAGTGACATTATGCCCATCTAAAGGTACATTGTATATAGTGAGTGAACAGGTGAGAGTCAAAATAAATTTTCATTTTGCCATCATTCCGTTTGATTAAATAATTTACTCCGCATCAACAATAAATAGTGGCCCGATCCAAACGAATTTCTGTAAATATCATTTAGAATTTACCTGTAACGTTCAATTTATAAAAAAAGTGGGGCAGTCTTTTTATATTTTAGCCAGATTTTAAATTCCATCCTAAACCTTTTCCAATATAAACAGTTGGTCAAACATCATTTAAACAGTCAATCTTTTGAAATATAAAGACAAGTAAGCTCAACTTGACTATGAAAATATGAGCATAATCGCACTTTAAGTCTGTTGGCGGCAACTGTTTCTGACCAGAAACCAGTGCAGACCAAAGATCAGCCGGCAAAGCTGCTATTCAAACATGCCAAAATATAATGGTTCAATTTTGTATTTTACATAAATCATTATCAGTACAATTTATGCTTACACTTTCACCAGGAATACCAGGTTCTCCTCGTTCTCCATCCCTACCAGGATCTCCCCTCTCACCCTACAAAACAAAACATAATCAAAGAATTACACAATAACACACTCTGTTTTATGTAATTATTTATTAATTGAGTATTAATAAATCAAGAAAATGATGTGTTAAGGATATAAATACAAGAGAAAAAAAATCTGGAAACAAAGTGATCCCTCCGAATCATTAATCACAATAAAATTACGTAAGAATTGCAGACTCGGTTTGATTGAGTCTGTACAAGAGGGATAATGAATACGTGCAACATCCCTCACGCCCCCTAGCACCGACTTGAGCGGTACTCAATTCTCAACACTTAATAGTGCTGGCATCAATGATCCCGAAGGACATTTACATTATATTTTACATTATATTGTCTAGGCGTTTGAGGATGGTAAAATTCTTAGAGAATAGCTCATTCTTTATTGCAAAATTAACGCTTTGATCTAGTAATGAGAATCATAATAATCAGACACTTATATGAAGTAGGTACAAAATATATTCATAAGATTAATGTAGATGTTGATAAGCATGATAATATATTTAACATGTGTTTGTTTACAAAGTACATCAAGTAAGAAAAAAAGGTGACAATGTTATTGCTGTTTGTGTGTTGTTATTTAAAGCTTATGGAATACATTTGAATTATCTTAGATACATTTTTGTCATTTTAAAAGAGCAAACAATATGGCTGAACATGAAAGTATTTGTTCACTCACTCTTTTCCCTGGAAGACCTTGTTCGCCTGGAATACCAGATTCTCCTTGTGGTCCCTTAGAAATTAAAAATATATTAAATAGATTGCTGACTGAATAATCTAAACAATGAAATAAGTTTACATTGAGCGTTGCATAAATCGACAACTGCATAATTTTGGCAGCATCTACTATGACGCTATCGTCAATAAACATGTAAAAAAAATATTTGTCATGTAAAAGGAAATTTATAATTTGGATTATATATATTTTATGGCTTAGTTGAAACAATAAAATGCATTATGACGGAGATATTTGTCATTCCTTAAATGTGTGATCCGTTGTTATACACTATATAATAATGTGTTTCATCGTTCAATGACTAATTGACATCAAAACACACTCAAATATTAAGGACCAAAATTCAACAATCGTTCTCACCCTTTTCCCCGGAATTCCATCAATACCTGGTAAACCATCTTCACCTTGGTAACCCTTTAGACGAAAAGAACTTTTTGTACATAACAGTATTTTAAGCTTTGTGTATAATTAGAATCTTAATGGATAACACTAAAATATATTTCATATATAAAGCCGACACATACATGAGATTGAACAAACTAATAAATCTGTTTAACTATATAAAAGCATGTTCCTGTACTTTCTTTTCAATCAATTTCATTTTTTAAATGTTTGAAAATTGAAATTTAAAAGCCTAATTATACATTTAGTTAACTTCCAAATATTTGCATGTAGCACATTTTTTATTATACTGCACGTTTTGTAACGTCGCTTCTCATTGGATAATCGTGACGTTTATATAAAAATGATGCTTGCTGTATTATCAATTCGTTATAAATATTTCTGACAGGTTATATGACCGTATATAAACGGTTGTTCGCAATATAACCCGAGATAGTGGCTCGAGTTATATTTATAAACAACCGTTTATATAGGACCATATAACCTGTCGAAAAAATGTATAACTAATAATATAAGTGAATCATCAAATTACCCTCTCTCCGGGAGCTCCTGGCAACCCTGGTTGTCCTGGCTGACCTGGCGTTCCCTGAAACATAATGAATCAGATTACTTATAAAATTAATCAAAAAGTTAGATCGGAATAACAGGCTAAAATCTAAATGAGTACATTTGCAAGAAAAAGATACTAACGTTTTTGATTGTTTACAAATAAGGCATTTGACTTGAAGATTGACAAACTTATACCATAATACAAATGTAATAATAATTAACAGAATTAATATTTTTAGTATTATTAATAGTCGAGACATGAATGATTCAATAAGAAAATATAAACAAAAGACCTTTGTCACTTACATCCTTTCCGCTTTTTCCTGATGTCCCTGGTTTTCCTGGAATTCCGGCTTGTCCATCGGCTCCTGGAAGTCCAGGAGCTCCTTCCGGTCCCTGTGGTCCAATGGGTCCCTGTAAAGTATTTACATTTCTGTCTCACTGTTGTTTTTTGTGATGACTGCAAATTTGTACATTTTTTACTTATAATATATAAAAAATGTTACTGTTTTCTATTACCTCAAAATACAAATTATCATCAAATGTCATTCTTTGATACTACATATGATTCAAAATTGTTCCACACCTTAAAGACTGTACACATTCCAAAGGCAATGATCATAGCTAAATATTAGTTGATTAAATATTCTGAATGAGCTAACGATCTTTTACTAAGAATGTTCTCACCGTTTCCCCTGGAAGACCTGGAGCACCAGCTGGGCATGTTATTGATGAGCATTCACTTTCATTTGGCTGGTCCCCTCGACGTTTACTGCTCTGAAATAGTGGTTATAGTAACTTGCATCAAATTACTTTGTCTCATAAATTGACTGAGGTTAAAGAAACAAACAGCATCGTAACAATTTTTTGTCACTATTGTAATTAAATACTCTAAACAATTCATAATTCTTTTCATTATTTTCATTTAATTTACACTAATTTCATTTTGTTGTTTTATACTTACACATGAAAAACATTGGAATTAATAGTTAAAATTTGAACAGATAACAGACATCTAAATACTTCATCGTGTGCATCGGAAAACATAAAAAGAACAGATGGAGTTATAATAAAGTAATGGGTTGGAACATGCTAACAAAACATCAAAAGCATGCACGCGCATATTGTGAACAGTTGGCAAGCAAAAATAAAATACAACGGTCCAACTGATTAGAAAGGGCATTACATATGTTTGGTTCTGGTATAAAAGAAGATGTCACTAAAACTACCATTTGTAGCCGTCTTTTCTCAAAGTAAAAATATAAAACACAAATATCAAAATATAAATTTCCCCACTTTTTTCACAGTCAGGTGCATGTATATGGCCTACTTATTAAACATTTCTATTTATTTAGAATTGACGGTGACTAGTATTTAAATAAGAAAAAGTGATACAGTTGCATATTGTGGATTCTTTATATGAGGGCAATTAATTAGTTTATAGAAATTCTTTTCAAAATTATTAATAAGTATTATACAGTTCAGTAATTCTGTAAAAGTTATGTTAATCAACCAAAAATATATAATTGGTCAAATGAGATTCCAAAATATACTACGAAATAAAAATATAACAAGATTAAAAGCCATCCTAAAGGTTTTTTATCACTTGCTCATGAGAAGTTTCATTCTCTGGAGAATTTTTATACATTTAGGATGGCTCGATTTGAAGAACAGTATGGTAGCAACTACTTTGAACTGGAGAATAAACGAAAAGTTTCTAATACCTGCTTATCTTTTGGAGGTTTTTCCTAATGTATTAAAGTGTTATGATGAGTATGGTTGCAGATAAATATTGACATTAGTTCGATTGTTTCTTATCAAAATTATTAGTCGAATAAAAGTTGGAACATGGATTATTTAAATATAAAAATGTTTATATCAAAAGTAAGCAAATATATTCTCGGAATAATCCTATTCCATGGACATTTTAACTGTACTAAATGTGTTTTCACTCATCTGTCAGACAAGAGCAATACATGATTTTAAATACACTTGAAATTATCTAAATTCAAACCACACAAACATACCAGTTCTTGCGTTCCCTTGTATTTATTCGCCTAAAACAGACAATGTACACATTTACAAAACATGATATACATTCACTACTTTATAGATTTACATGTATGTGGAAGATGTGTAAATGCGTCTGACTCTTTTGCTTAATGTACCAAAGTACCACTCAAATAAAAATACAACTCAGCAGAACATAGACAGTAGCTGTGCGATAACATTTAGCGCAATACAAAACAACTTCCGACAATGACGCATGCGCAGCAGTAAATTGCAACGCGGTGCAAAAAAGGTGTCCTACAAAAGTACAATAATGTATGATTTAATTTTAGTATAAGTATATAGATAGATTTACGTGATATAAATGATATACACTGTAACATGTAAATATTGTTTTTAATCTGATATATTTCATGAATTTAATATAATAAGAACATATACACAATGTCTCGCAATCTTCCAGTATAGCCAATGTATGCAACTTCTTCACAGTGCGTGATTTGTAAGGCGTGTGATGATAAAAGCATCAACAAATGTATGAATAAAACAAACCGTTTCAAAAATTTTACAAAAAAATACAATATGAGATTAATGTAATATTAATTGTAATACCCTCTTGATTTCCTGACAGTCCCTCTTGATATTTGGATTACAATGAAACAACATCCATGAAATTTTCATCTGAAAGTAATCAATTATTAAATTATTTTTAGCATTATAAACTAGCAAAACTACAGTGTATCTAAAACCGGTTTCCGAAAATGTAAAAAACCTTGTGATCGAAATAATACAAGATGATTATCTTAGAGATTATACTATGAGATGAATTACCAAATATTTGGAAAAAATTGATCCATCGGAAGCATTTAAAACAGAAAAATAACATGAAAATTGCAGACTGGTTTGATTTAACCTGTATATGATGGATAGTGAAAAAGTGCAACATCCCTAACGCCCCTAGCACCGGCTTGAGCGGTTCTCAATTCTCAACACTTAAACGTACTAAACTCAATGATCCTGAAGGACCAGAAAAATATAACAACACTGAAGTGAAGTACGGGGCAACTTTTTACGGCTGCCACACAGCACTTGACATCTGCTGTTGTGATGTAGAAATATCTGGGGGAAAAAGTGATCCATCGGAAACGTTGAAAACAGCAAAATTACATGAAAATTGTAGACCAGGTTTGATTGAATCTGTATATAAAGGATAATGGCTAGTTGCTTAAATATCAGTTATAAATTAAAACAACGCTGAAGTAAATAAGTAAATAATACACATAATTTGTAGCGTTTATGAAATAAATAATAAACTGTTTGTGTTAACCAGAAATTTATATAAAATGGGGCAATATTTGTGTTACACACCCTTTGAGATTTTCCATTAATGTCTTTTGCTATCGATGTATAACCACTTAGATCAATGTATTCCTCTCGGATCCGATCCAGTGTATGTTTGTCCGTGTATTCACAATCAATATTAACTGTAACAACATCGACGTCTTCCATGAACCCTTCATTATTTAAACGTTCAGTCCTCACTAAACTTAGATATATCTTGTGCCAAACTTTTCCCTTTAACGCCTAAAATATAGGAAAAAAGCTATTTAATTACATGTTCTTTCCTATTTAAATATTTCTACTTGCCACAAATTTTTTTAGAGATGCAATTTTAATATGAAAGATAACGTTTATCTCACTTGAATTGATTGCAGTACTTTACATATTTTCGCAGGGAGAAAGAAAATACGATGGTGCAATTTCTTGAAATTTAACAGATGTGTATGTATTTGTGATTTTATTTACTAAAATTTTTCAAAAATGATAACATACTGTATTATTAATAAAACGGTAAAAATATTTTTATAAAATGTAAAACAACAGATATTCCAATATTTCCCGATGATTAGTTAAATAAAAAAAGTTAATATTGAAAATAAATTGACCAAAATCAAAGTTTGTCATTGTATCGATCTTAATCGATCTTACAAAAACACCTGGCAGATTGAATTATCTAATTTAAAAAAAAAAATCACTATTTATTTGTACAATTATCCAAAATAGATTCCGACATGACAAAATGTACCTGTTTTGTAACATTTTTATTGAAGATAACACGTTTTTCTTCTCTGTCCTGGTTTTTATAGACCAATGAAAATTCTTTAGCTTTTCCATTTACTTGTAACGCAAGGTGGGAGAGTCCACCACTGTCGCTAATATTGAATAAGTTCCAGATTCTTTTACGCTGATTGTTCTGATATATTGTTATAAAAACAAAATTGTTCGGAAGCTGATTTGCAAAAAGATTCCTGAAAACAGATAAGAAACCATTGACAGTTAATTCAAGGACATACTATGATATAGTTAAGTTATTGCAAAGCCTATGTTTTCTCTAGATAGTATCATTAATTTCTTTAGTACCTTTAATATGTTATTTTAAGCCCTATATGTCAATGTTAATACCTTTCAATTTTAACGTAATTTTTATTTAAGATGGAATTGTATCTACATGTATTGTATACGTTTCTGTTCTTCTGTCCTATTATATTTCAATACTTTTCAAGTAGCTGCCAGCTAAAAATCCCTAACGACTTAACTTTTTATATATAAGTATAGAAGTGGAAAATTAGCTTACAGCCTCTAGCATGATTATTGCTTTTACTCTATCAAGCAACGTTAATTGACAAAACATGAAAAATAAGATGCTGAATAAGTAAATACCATATGAAAATAACATGCTTTCGTTTTGCAAAGACTCAATAAGAAAGTGTTCTGTAGGAAAGAAAATACTCCATAAAAAATAAATTATTTTCTTTTATGTCATATCCTACAGGGTTTTATTTTGGAGTAATTATCGGTCAGCAGTTTAACGACTGTTCAAGATATCATAAAAGTCATACCAATTTTTCTCATCTTTCAGAATTTGTTTTTTCGTGATAGTATAAGCAGTTCCATATTCTCCATAGCTGCTCTCTTTCTTCAATTTAGGTACATTGAACTTAGATAAGAAGTCAAATTCTGTAAGAATAAAACATAAAAAAAAACATAATAGATCTACGCATGAAAAATTTGGAAAAAAATTGTCAAATGCTTTTTAGTTTAAAAAAAAAATAAATAAACAAATTAATAAATAAATAAATAAAAAAAAATAAATAAATAAACAAATCAACAATATTAAAGAGTAAAAGTCAAATTAATTTTTGAGCGCTAGTTTCCCAGCATTTATTTATGAAAAATGTTTTTCAAAAAAGTATTTCAAAATTTAAATATTAGATCTACGCTCAAAATGTCATTTTGTAAATGATCGTTATTATCATCATTATTGAAATACTTTTCTACAAAAGGGATGTTTTGTGACAGTTTAGCGACTGACTGGGCATTTGGGAAATTTAGGGACAGCTTTCCGTGATCGTTACATCCCCTTGTTGATCTTTTATCTTAAATTATACTACACATCATGACACAAAACGTTTGCCATTATATATGTATTTCGTATTAAGTTTGCCTTTTGCCTAAATAAATAAATATGATAGGGACTTATTCATTTACGTTTGTATCAAAATGTGTACAAATACATATTGCCATTTTGCCTTTATATTTTAGAGTATTCCTCCAACAACATGCTATGCATTTGATAGGTACTTTAGACTTCTGAAAATCCTTTTTACATTTAATTTGGAACACATTTTTACCTCATTTACTTTAACATGCGGGGTTCTTTTTAAGTGATTGCACTATATCATAGTTGCTATTTTGAGTAAATTTCATCGATCTCATTTCTGCTAAAATGTATCCATTCTGCATTACTAGAGTAATGAATCTTCTAATTCAATTAATTTATATCTTTTCCAGATAAAGATGTCATTTATCTTGTCTGAATAACTACGTAAACATTTTCTTCTAGCATTAATAAAGTACATTTCAAACGTGAATAACAGAGAAAATAGGCTAGTTTACATTGTAGAGCGCAAACAAGTGTTTACATTTTTGCTAGAGTGCATAGCCAAATACTAAGATTCCATAGTCTAGTGGGAGGCACAGATGATTATTCTATCTTCATAATTATTTTGTTTTTAGCAGGAGATGTTCTTGTCAGAGAATGCAATTTAGAAAATAATTGGAACTTCTTACAAAATGTTTTCAAAGCAGAATCAACATTTGAAGGGGGTAAATTTTGAGAAGATAATTGGGAGAAGTTTTGGAATCACCAAATTATAGAGTCATCATTTTGAAGTTTATTATGTTGTCTCTCAATTATGATAAACACTTATGCATTGAAAAAAATGCAGCGATTACATTGTGAATTTCACGATCACAATGTCCTAGCTCTAACATTAATATTTAACTTAGTTAATAAGCCTTTTCTTTTAAATTCCTACCTTTGACATCGTAGCTGTGGCTATCTAGGTCACCTTCAGGACATACAAATTTTCCCTCTGAAATTAAAAAAGAAATTCACGAACTGAAAATCTTTTCGAATAAAAATTTTCTATGGTGTTAAATCTATCTTCTTACATCTGTAAAATATCTTTCGTTTCTAAAATAACAATTCTAGGTATCTATTTATAATATTGTACTAGAAAGAACATTGCCTTTGTATACACTTAAAACAAGATCATAGTATTTGATATCACTACTGTAATGTGTAACACGTTTGATATAATGCAAACAGGTGCACGATAAGAGCAGAAAAAATGCCTGCACAAGAATAGATATAGATTTGTGATAGCTCATCGTTGTACAAGTTTAAAAAATGTTTACGCTGAATTATTCTTATTGTCGTAGCATTATCAAACATTTATCTGCGTGTGAGTCCAATGAATCAAAAATTGTCTAATGGTGAATTAGGCAAAGTGCACACGTTGTTTAAATCAAGTGTGAAGCTTTTTGATTAGAAAGCAATACAGCGAAAAATAAGGTGATTTACGTGCATAGTAATCATTTGTACATCAGTGTATATCTTAATGTGTATAATAAAGATATATTCTGCCTTCTCGGATACCACATTAAAGACGTTATAAAATGATTGATACATTCTCTCAGATAAAACTAATTGTGACATAATTAATGCATATAAGCATTGTTTTGATGTAAAGATTCCAACTTTGAAACATTAATATTTGTTTAACCGTGACTTGCTTTGAAGATTACATAGCGATTTAGTAAAAGATTCCTTAAAGGCTTTCAAAGGTTCATTTACAATTTAAGATAAGCAGACAATCAAGGGACGGCGGTTTGGCATGCTTAAGTTAGAATGAGACATCATCGTTCCAGTGCACGAACCTTTTAATAGTCTACAGTCTTAGCCCAAAAAAAAAGAACATTCGTTTATCTTCCTAAAGTAGCTAACCTTTACTAGTACTTTATGACAGCTGTTGTAAAAAGAATACTTGTTTTTGCGATACTTTTAACTTTATGTGCAATGAAATCTTAACTTTCTTTAGGTACTTAAGCTTTCATTACTATATTATGTTCTTTTCTGTGTATTTCATTATTTTCTTCTTTATATCATTATTCTGGTCAAAATAGCCTTTTGGAAAATGTCTAACCTTTGTTAAAATGATCGCTTGTGAAACAACCATAAATCGTCTTCAAACTATGTAAAAGAATATGATAATTTAAACTTGGTTCGTGCACAAACTCAAATGATTTCACTTATTTGTTTGGTATGTTTCAATGGACAGGTATAATTGTGTTCATGTATTTAAAAGGGTGACAGATCGTCAGACAACTCCTCCAAAATACGTGTCGGCTGAGATATGGTGAAGGTATTTAGCATTCAATAATTGTCGCTTTAATTGACTTTCATGGTGGCACGAATAATTGACATGGTAGTTTACGAGCTATTGATAGGTCTAAATATGAATAGGAACTGATATCATTTTCGCTTGACCACCCAATGTCTTTACAGTTTTGATAGACCATAGATATCTGATTTATCTAAAAACTTCGCTTAGAGTGGTAAATTCAAGAGGAAGACAAAAGAAATCAATAAACGATAACATCACATTTGACTTAACAAACAAGGCAGAACACTTATTTCAGTAAAAAAGCGACATGTTTGACATACTTTACTGATCCGAATAAGACAATTTATCGTGATTTATGTCTTTTCCGTAATTAAGCAATCAACATTAAAATTTTGTAAGAAAATCAAAATAATCAGCACGTTACACTCATCTATAATTACAGCAAATTCAGATATCAAAACATGTCCATTTAATTGATCGAATTATTGACTTTCTGTAAAGAATAAACTCGTCCATTAATTTAATCATTTGATAATCTTATCATCTAATTTTCTCTCTTGAAGTCATATTCAATTGTACATTTCATTTACAGTATACATGTCAACGAATGTACAAGATACCTATCACTTGTCAACGTTAGCGTTCCTATGCACTTAAAACAGTCACGTTAATCTATCTTCCTATAAAAGTTGTTTTCAATAATTATGAAGTTGAAATATATATTCACAACATTGTATGCACTCTTTTAGGTTTTCTATACCTGGTAAATATCGTATATATAACTGACGTTTAATAAACTTTTAGCAGACCTATAAGCAATGTACAATATAGTGTCAATATAACAGATGTTTGTTTTCACAAGTGACAATTAAAAATAATAACTCAGTTAAATTTAGTTGACTATGATGCTCACAATTTCATCATTTCAGTCAATTTATAATATAAACATGCTTCTTCATTTAAAACATTTTCATACTAAGAACCATGTGAATCATTTTTTGCACTATTTGTCCTCGAATGAACGTGAGAATTCGATAATCAATAAATTTATAAACGTTTTTACAAACGTATGATATCAAGTATTACTATTTTTAAACCTATTATTACGGTTTGTAACACACTTTCCGTGATATTTCTATTGCTGTGGTGGAAACATAAAATACGAATATGTGTGACTAATGATACTACAAATAGAAATTTATTGTTTTCTGGAGTCATTAAGTCTAATAGAAAAAGCATTAATTGCTTATTATATAACTCCTTTAATTTGGCTAAAGTAAATATGAAAAATACTTACGAGTTATGACAGAAGGTACACATACAGCCACAAGCACACATATAAGCGGTAACAATTTTACTGAAAAAGAAAGAAGACGAAAGTTCAATAAGTATTTTTATCATAAAAATAATAATAGATAAATGTATATGAATATCAATAAAAAAGAATGGGATAGAAAACGATAAAATTAAGATAAAAACAATCTGACACCTATCAATTAATAGCCGACATTTTTCTTATAATGTTAAAATTAATTTGTAATACATATCTGACAGCTTTAGCTTTGCTATCAGTCGGCGGAAATTAAAAGCACCGAACGGATGATAATTTGTTCAGCACGCAAAAGATGTTTGCAGGATAAGTGAAAACAGCAAAATTGTTTTTTAAGTGGATCGGCAAGAATGCAGTTGGAAGTACAAACTACATCTGTGAAAAATCAAATATTTTCAACCAAGGTTTAATGTCAGACATTTTAATGTTTAAGAATAAAAAATGAATGGACTACCTACAACTAACATGATGACATTCCATTACATTGACTTGCTATGTAATATAAAGAGGTATTAGCTATCGCTTTAATGTTTTCGTTTAAATATACATTATCAAACATGATATGTACAAACAACCTCCCAAACATATACACAGCTATTCACTAATTAAGTTTTAAAACATTGACTTTAGAGGGGTGTCGAATACCAAAACATAGGCCTTGTATTTTATCTACAAAACGATCTAGTAAAACTAAATTTGATTGTTTATACAGATTGTATGCGGATTTATCTTATGTCATGATGCATATGCATTTTTGCAAGTAGTGTTTCTACAGCTGATTGATGTGATGTAAAAATTTGTACAGTTCATGTTTTTCAAGTCTTGTCAATAATGCAGATTTTTATTATTTTATTTTAGCGAGGACATTTTAAAAACTACATCAAGATAGAATAACAGGTGTTTTATGCAACATCTGACCTTGTTATAAATATTTAGTAATATCATTGAACTACAAATAAAAATTTACTAACAATAGATCACAGGAATATCATGTCTTGTCTGGGGCATAGAGCGCATATAAATTATTATTTTTGTCCCAATGCAAACCCAATGCAGTTATTGTACAAACATACGACTCCTGACAGTTCTATTGATAACATTTGACTTGTTTTTGGCACTCACTCGAACCGAATCCATTTTTTTTTTATTGAAACAAGAGTAGTATATATTTGGCAAGGCTTCTTAACAGGCCAAAATATGCACAATCAGTGTAAAATGAACACCTGTTTCAACTAAAATGTGTGTAATAATATACATTAATTTTCTTAACAAACTTATCTTGTAACTCAAAATGTTTCAAATCACCATCAAAGTCATTAGAGTCAATTAATTAACATTCCTAGAGGTTGCGATCTTTAATGGTTTGTAAAATGTACCCTTGTGTACACAGACGTACATTGTTTCACTTGATGTAGGTTGCCAAATTGGACAGTTTTCAATCTATGAAAGTGAAGTACACAAAGGTGGTTTCGCAATAATGTGTTTAACCACATACACATAAAACATGAAATGGTTAAGGTTATAGCAAGTTCGTTGAATATCGCTACTATTGCACAATAAAATATTCTTCATTGATTTTAACGCATGTACGAGCGTAATAAATAGGTGCAGAACAATTCTTCTCTAGTGCTATAAAAGCTATGAATTAAAACTTCATTCGTTCACCTGCCTAAACTTCGTTATTTTGAATTTCCATTTTAACAAGCGTAAGATACATTCGACAGAAGTCAGTAGTTTTTAGTTGGATACGGATTTCATAAAAAGTATGGTATAAAACTATTAAACGAATACAAGAATACTTCATATTATACCATTATTTGTATGGAACGTTTAAACGGTCGTCAAATAAATACACTTCACATTTAAAGTGTTGAACATTTAAAGAGATAGAACCAAAGAGAAAACAACAATATCAACTTTGCAAAATGATATTTTTAAACGGAAGTTGTATGAAACGAAACAGTGTTTATTTAAGCAATCTAATTTTGGTACATATTGGTGTCACAACTAACAGTATGACGTGTAAGCAAATATCGCACAATAATGCATTCGACTATCAAATCTGCATGATAGGAGAATAAAATATACCCTTTGTTAAGACGTAATCATATTCAGAGTATTAATTGGTGTGTGTCGAATATCATTATTTATTTGACTAGCCTTAGAAATGCCAATTTCATTTATGTCAAACGACAAGAATAAGAGAGAACAAATTGTTTTGTGCTGAAAACATTTTCTGGACAGAAGAAAACATTGCTTTTTGCTATATTATAATAAAAAGAAATACAAATAATGATAAACATAACCAATCGCAATAAAAAACAATTATAGCTTCATCAAAACCAAGGCAATGTCAAATAAAAGAAAATAACATATGTAAACCGGAAAGTGTGACTGATATATAACAAACTGTTATGCCAAGTGCTTGCACATATTTACAAACATTTTTTTTGTTGCCAACAACAGGTAAGATAACCTCATAGATAAAATGATTAAGGTGATTTGTAGTCTGGCTGAAACAATAACTGTCGTAAATAATCATCTAATGTAGAACATCTTGAAGTCAATTAGCAAAACGAATTTCACTCCAGAGACTTTCTTTTAAATAGCAACCATATCTCAACTCGGTATGGTGCTCTGACGGCTTAATGCAAGAAAAATAACACACACTTAGAAGTTTACACGAACTAATTGAAAAGAAAAATATGAATGATGCAAAATTTCATGATATTATTATTGAAATAAAAAAAAATCCCTAAATTTGATTGACTCTTATATTCTGCGAACGGAAACGCGCACGAGTTACAAGATTTTAACTACCCGTGCGTATAAGAATAATAATGGTTGGGTTTTGTTCATTATGGCACTTTTTCGATTATAAAAATGGTTTATGGTGTAAATGTACTTTAATTACTAATTACTTTCTATTTGCGCAAGATTCACGTAATCTTTGAAGGTCAGTTGTCGCCTTCTTTACGTGCATATATCATTCTTTTTACAGAAGCATCATTATGAATCATTGTATATACCCGAGACTTAAGCATGGCCTATATTACAATTATTGGGTTTATTTGAATTAAACTAACAAATAGTTTACTTGAGCAAACGTTTGATACCAAATAAAACAAATTGAAATGTAGAAAAAATCCTTCTTATTGAATTCCCCTAGTTGCAGTCAATTGATTTGATATATATTCCAGATGAAAAACATGATATTTTGGCGTTTGCAGCGATGAATTAATCCTGCTCAATTGAGACAGCATATGTGCACTTTAAGTAAATATTGGTAGAGAAAAAAGCAGATAAAATGAACAAGATTTTGAGGTCTTGAGAATTCATTGCAACAATTACTGTTTTGTTTATTTCAAGCAACGAATTATTTACATTATAAACTTTCTACTTTTAGAAAGTATAAATTCTAAGGAATTCAGCTGTGTCAGCTGAAATTACTGGAATTGCTTTTCGCAGCAAGACCTTGAAATTAAATCAAATACGATTAAACAAGTGTATTAATTCTACAAATATTTACGTACTGGAATTTTAACTTTGGCCTCGGTTCATTTTCACTTGAAAACAACTCATTTATTACGTTCGGTGGAAACAGGTTTTATATGTTGTTCATTTATGCAAAGAAACCATTGGACATCAGTACCAGACATTGGCAAGTCATGACAACCTGCGCATTTTTTCATTGTTAGAAGAAATTAACTGATTTTCATCTTTAGAAGAAATTAACTGAATATATTCTTCTAAATTACTATTCTAATGTTGTTCTTGAAATTATGAAACATCAATCAAAGTTTTTTTTAGTTACCACTTTGAATAAATGATTACAGTTCAGCAGTTAATGACATGGTGTTTTCTCTCAAAGCAGATTACTTTTCTGATTTGACGTGAACACACACACATACATTTCCAGTAAATAGTTTTCAACATTCTCCGGTTTTCATACATATCGTTAATGATATCCATTTAGATTATGATGGCTTACGTCAGACGGAGAATTGAGGACAAGCTGGAATAAAACAGTAGTAAAATATCCAAAAATCTTCCGGAATTATCTTTCTACATCTTTTATTCGTTTCGGTTTGGCAGACAACACATCTTGCGCTGTATGAATTTTACAGTGGTTTATGATTAAATGTAACAGGTCTTAAATTATGCTTATTTAATATATGTTGATGCACTGAATGTAAAAGTTTGTTCTGAAATGGGTACCTATTTACAGAAAATGTACCTTCAAAATGTCAACATAAATCTTTTTAATGAATATGAGAAAATATAAAATACAAATATATATTTTAATTTTCATTTTACCGGTTTTTCATTTTTAGCTAAACCTTTTTAAAACGTTTTATATATCACCCGTCGGGTTTAAACTAATATTTTTTTTCCTTTTTAGGAAAAAAATAACGTTACGTCCCAAACGGGCACTTGCGCATATAATTAAAAAATCTTCACTTATAATTTAATTTCCCCCTAGTTTGGGGGTCTTTGTGTCCAATGGGGTTTTAACTATCCAGTTCTATTTTACGTCGGTGTAAACAGAAAATTTAACACCCCCTATTTTACACCATCGCAAAACTAACTGCAACTTTCCCCTTTTTGGGAAATGGGTTTTGAAAAAAAAACAAAAGTAAAATTTTTGACAACCCACAAATCTCTTTAAACCCCTTTTTTTAAGTCAAACCACCCAATTTTTTTTGTAATCCTATTGGTTTTTAAAAACCCCGTTTAAAATCGTTTTAAGCTAGCCAAACAAATTTAAACAAAGAAAATTCCCAAAAAAATTAAAAACAAAAAAGGTTTATTGAAAAAATTTTTTTAAAACCCGTGGGAAAACGAAAAAACCCACCAAAAATTAAAAGCTATTTTAAGTAAACGAAATTTAAAAATTATTAAAAAAAAAACCTCTTAGAAAAATCTTTTAGTTCAACACAAACAAAATTAAATAATTTTTCCTGATATAAAAAAACTTGATAGTTTAAAAAAAAAATTGCTTAGATTTCTGTTATTTTAAATTTTTTAAAAAAAGATCTAAAAAAGTAGGTTTCCCCAACCTTTAAAAAAAGTACCTTTTGAAATTTTATATAGGGAAAAACCAGGG